CTGCCAAAATTTTCCACTGCTTAAGGAACCTGCTCAAGATCCTGAAGAAGGGCAATGAGAGCTGAGTTGCTCACATGTGTCTTACCTGGAACCTTGGTGACCCACAGATGGGGGTAAACCTCCATTTGGTTTTCTCAAATTTTGATTTAGATTCCAAGCGGCCACGCATAGAGCAGCTTCTATGTGTGACAGTGTGACATGTTACATGTGGTGGTCCGTTCCCACCTAATCTTCAGGGGTACATTCAAACCCAAGGCTGCCGACAATCTCCAACCAAGTAGATTTGCCAACTACGTTTGTTTCGGGATATAAGGGAACCCACTTCAAAAACAAAAACAAAATTCAAAGAAATGATTGTTTGTGTTTTGTTTTTCTTGATGGTGGCCATGGGTGAGAATCTCGTGGGGGTTCATCCATCCCTGGTGATTACATCAAGTCGAGTTCAAGGATGAATGCGTGTTTGCAACAATGCAACATGCCTTATGAAACTACTGTCGATACCATAGTGAAGACATGGAGAATGCCGAGAATGGAAAAAATACCGCTAAAATCATTTTCACCAAATCAGGTACCATATGTTCTTTGGTTCTCCATCCCATGCCAGGTCCAAATGATGTGGATCCTGTCCTGGCTGGCTTTGCGAAGCTCATAGCTCATGGAGCCGTGGCCTCATGCACTCGTCCTGCACCGTAAGTTGGCTGAGTGTTTTGTTGGGTGAAGTCAACCTCCTATAGATGTGAAAATTTATTGGCCCAGGCGCTACATGCACACAGGATCCCACACAACATCTGATTGAATCCATTGATTTCCAAAATTAATCTATATGTAAAAACAATCCACCAAAAAAATGATAAATGTTTTTCTCTAGTATGCTATGGGTTTCTTGAGAAAAACATCAATCGGGAAATGAACATAGCTATATACCACATATTCTTACCAACCACCGACTCTGGCCATGGATGATGATGATGATTTGGTGGATTTGCTTTCCTATCAATGCCCTTTTACTGGGAAACGTCGAACTGCTGGTTGCGAAGATGGCCAGTTATATCAAAAGCATCTTGGCGGCATGACATGGGGTCTGATTGGCATCATTTTCTACAACTATGGGGGGTAGTTTGTTGGTTTAAAAAACACGTGACTTAGGAAACAAAAAAGTGCTGATGATCAAGCTGATGGTCCAATTTCCGGCCCAGATGATGGGATGTATATGGATTACATCAACCGAAGTCAACCATCTCAAAGCGACCATGCCCCAAAAGCTGCATCTCCTCCCAGAGCGATCTCAGCGCATCAAACCGTTGCCATGGCAACTTAATGCAAAGTTGAATTGATGTTTTGTTTTGTGTTTTTCAAATGCCAAAAAAATATAGCTTAATTTTGAAACCTTAAACGCATGGGAAACCAAAAAAATCTAAAAACACTGGTAATCCCTTCATATCCCTTCGATTGCCTGAGGATGATCGCCTTCAGCTGCAGAAGTTTGCCAAGTCATTTTCGGCTGATTCCTTCGATTGGAGCTTAGTGAGACGCATGAATCTTTTGAACCGATGCCTGCCAAGCGGCCAAGCTGCGAAAGCAACTTGTGGCAAACTTTTGTCACATTGCCGGGAACAGACTATTTGTTTCCGTGAGAACGTTGGTCTTCGACTTTGTGTTTTCAAAATCGGGGTAACCGCTAACCCCATCACCCGGTACTTGGACTATTTGGACCAAGGTTACCAAACCATGTGGCTGATAGCTGTTTCGCAGAGTGCTGATTTAATTCACATGCTCGAGGCAGCCTTGGTAATGGAGTTTCACAAACATGTAGGATGTAGGAATAAGGAGGGCTCAGGAGGTGAAGGTGCACTTAATAAAAAAGATAGGGTGCCACCACCTTACTTTGCCTATGTTACAGGGGGTCGAGCTGATCAACTCCGAAGGATTGGTTAGCACCAAGACTTTTTGGTCGCCGGATGATGGGTCAAAATCATTGCTGAGCACTTGCTGGCCTGTTGCAAGTTTTTCAATTTTCATCAATTTTCCACATGTCATACTTCAAGAAATCAGAAAAAACCATTCATATACTGCCACCCAGCATCACCCAGAATCACCCAGCATCCCCAAAGGGTTTTGCATGTGTTGGCAACTTTTCTCGGCGCTGAGGCCTGTTGCAAGCACGTGGTGGAGACAGCCAAAAGTGAGGTTGAAACCAACCGAAATGCTAGCAGGGCAATGCGAGAGTTTGCAGCCATTAGGCTGGAGGATGCAGAGGTTGGTGTTCGCAGGGTTCTCGTTAAGTACTGTTTAACTGCTGCAATTCCAATTTCTTGGATTGATTTGGGTGAAGAGCCCCACCAAAAGAACTTTCCTTGGGTCAAATTGTCAAGCTGGGCACAGCACCTCTTAGACACTGGCCTTTTGCCACGTGTGCTGGTTGGCGTGAATGACTTTGCCACTATGAAAATAGTTTTGACTGAATTTTGGTCTCGCTATGAAGAGATGGATGCTGGCCACCCTGTTTTTGCTTTGGAAAGAAATGGCATCGTTTGCCGTGACCGCTTGGTGCCCTTTTATTCGCACAGCGATGAAGGTACAACATTTCGAGATGCAGCCTTGTGGGTGTTGAATGTCCATGGTGTCATTGGACGTGGCACCAGATCTTTTTTGGGATCAGGGAAACACCGTGCTCCAGTCCACCGAAATGCAATGGGCTTGAACTACCTTGGAAACACATGGGGCACCCATTGCCTCATTGCGACAATGATGAAATGCGTAGCTTCACCGGAAACTTTGAATGTGTTGCTGTCTGCCTTTGCAGCTGATGTGAAAGAGTTGCTGCATACTGGGATCACCAATGGTGCCGAGAGGGTATGGATGTACCATCTAGCTGCAAAAGGTGACCTACCAGCACTTTCCAAAATTGGCAATCTACTTCGGACTTTCGGGCATGCTCCGAGGGCAGCTCGCTCGAGGAAGCCTTGCAGAGGTGTTTGCTGGCTTTGTCTTGCTGGCCAAGAGCGAGATGATGCACATGGTCGTGAAGCTTTTCCTTTTGAGGATATGTCGATGTCACCTTGCTGGGAGCCTACCATTTACAAGGAGCTTCCGTGGGTAACGACTCCGAAAATCTTGGAAGGCCTGGACCTGGACGATGCAAGGGCAATTGAATTTTTTCAAACCGATTTCTTCCACAATGCCCACCTGGGGACACTGAAGAGTTTTACATCATCTGCTCTTGTGAGCTTTGTCGAATCTGACCCTCCTTTGCCATGCCTGGCGCATTGCAATTCCGTTGAGGCAAAGTTCCAAGAGCTGACCAGGATGTACAAAAGTTTTTTTGCTAGCCGGGGTTGCAAACCATGGGTCAATGAGCTGAATCGTGACATGGTGTGCTGGCCAATGTCTTCTGCTTGCCCAGCGGCCAAGTGGAACAAGGGCATGGCAACAGTGCAGATCATGAGGTTTGTCGATTGGTTTGGAAAAACCCACCTTGCTGCTTCCCGGGATCCTGTGATGAAGTCAATCGCTCTTGGGTTGCAACAATGTTACTGTATTGTTTTTTGTTTTTCGTATGTGTGTTTTTTGTAATTTGGATGACCCAAAATTTCCAACAAAGATTGCATGGTTTTGGTGATGGGCCTGCTTCTGTTTTCAGGCTGCTGGTGCAAAGGCGATGAATGTGGCAGTGACCTTCCTCTACAACAATGGCTTGTGGCTGAGAGCTTCCAAGGCCAAAAAACTGTCTCGGTGGCTATTCTGCTTCCTCGGGCATTATGCCATTTTGGCACAGAAGACTTTGGAGGCAGGCAAACGCCGCTACCCAGTGTATCCGAAAGGACATATGCTCTGTCATGCTGCCTTGAAGTTGCTTCGCCTTGCTGAAAGGTGTCGCTGGGTGCTGTCGCCAATGGCGACAGCATGCCAGCAACAAGAGGACTACATTGGAAAGCCATCTCGTATATCGCGCAGAACCAATGTTCGTCAAGCCCACCGAAGCATTTTATGGAGAAGTATGATTAACATTAAGGAATCTTTGGCCCAGGCTGAAATTGATCAGCGTGGCATGGATGCATACATGGCTCACTGATCCCAGTGATCTACATGTGTCAAAAAACAATCATGGCTGTGCATACAGAGCGAGTTCCAATCATATTTGTTTGCTTTGTTTGGGTCAGGATCAGTGACTTCGGATGAACATAGCTGAGATTGATCAGCTCGACCGCTCCAAGATGGAAAAATAAAGGGGGCGCCACTTGTGGCAAAAAAACACCAAAATCAAAAGGTAGCTGTTTTTAACAAAGGGGTGTATTTTGATGTTTCCATGTTGGTGACCATTGAAAGATAGCCTTTTGCTCAAAACAGGCATCAAACCGGTTGAGGGTATATAAATACAGCATGGAATATCTACCAGACGTCCTAGGATCCTAGTCAGCCTAGTTCTCAATCATCTGACCCGCCAGCCCTGGGGTTCTCCGACAGCAAATGCTGCGGCAAAGGAGGCATGGAGGGGTGGGTGGGGGGCCAATAATGTTCATTTGTGTGCGTTCTAAATGTCCTGACGGCAATACCAAGACGCTATTGATGCTACGCTCTGAACATCTTCTCAGTAACTTCAAACGCGGTGTTGATTCTACGCTCTAATTTCTTCTTGGCATGCTCTTGATGCTACATTCTAAACTGATACAAATATAGATAGATAATATATATATATATATAATAATAATATAATATAATATTATATTAAAATAATATAATATAATATAATATAATATAATATAATAATACTATAATGTAATATAATATAATAATATAATATAATATAGTATAATATAATATAATATAACATAATATAACATAATATAAGATAATATAATATAATATAATATAATTAAATATAAATGAATACATATTTATATCATAAAATAAATAAATAATGTTATGTATATATATATATATATCTACAGGTGCCATTCCTGCTTGCACCCGTCATCACCAGTCAGTTTCCCTCGCCGCACCTGAAATTTCACGGGGCTGCCGTCGACCCTGTTTCAGGGTGCGTAAAACAACGGGCCGTTTACGTCGTGTGGTCAAACCTACGTAGGTAAAACACCATACCATGCGATTTCACACGGATAAACATGATCTGGTTGGTGGTATACCTACCCCTCTGAAAAATATGAGTTCGTCAGTTGGGCTTATGCCATTCCCAATCTATGGAAAAATAAACAATGTTCCAAACCACCAACCAGTGATGTACGATTAAAAATTTAAAACATGTCAGAAGTATCTGTGGAAATTCAATGGACATTTCGTCTTCAATGGACTGTATCTGGGGCGGCAAAACCAATGTTCTTCTCCTCTGGAAACTGAGCTCGATTTCGTGGGTTCTAATAGGAATTTCAACCATAGCGAGTCTGACAAGCCAATGGGAATGATGACTGGTTGGTGGTGCAATAAACATCTTCAAAAATATGAGTTCGTCAATGGGAAGGATGACATCCCATATATGAAATGCAAACTAAAAAAAATGTTTGAAACCACCAATCAGATGACATACCACAACACTTCTGATGATGGTATTTTTTTCAGTCACCTGATCTAAGGAAACTTTTGCACTGAACCTCCGAGTTTTTTTCTCCCAGTAGACCTACATGGCTTCTTGCATTTTTTTCCTTGAACCAATTCTGGCTGTCATGATGTGCTTTCCTCATTTCTGTTGTTGTCAAATAAGAACCCATTGACAATTGCGCCAAAATTCCGTAAAGCTACACTTCACATTGGTCAACACCATTCCCCAGCTATTCGATTATTCAAGTTGGTGATGAATTATGTCAGGAATATCCCATGGAGGATCATGGAGGTTTCCAATCCATGGCTACCCCTTAAATCATCCATTTTTACTTGGATTTTCAATGAAATAATCATGTATACACTATCCATTGGGGATTTTTTCCATGGCTATGGAAAGTCCCATGAAAGTCATGGTGCTATACTGGCCTCACCCACAGGAGCCCTGCCCTACGAGGTGCTTCATGGTTGGCACCGCATACGGCTTCGCTGGATCGGCAAAGTAGATCCACTCGCTGAGCCAAGCCCCTACGAAGTCCTCGAGGACGCCGCGGGAAATCATGGCTGAGATCTCCGGTGTTTTGGAAAATGGCGGAGGTAGGAACACCAAAAATAGATGGAGATGAGCCACAAAAACCTAACATGATGGACGTTGATAATTTGTTGGTAACATGGTACTAATAGAGAGTTAGTGTTTGCATCATGTGACATGTGACCAGAGAAAAAAAACGTTGAAACAATGGAAGGTGTTCATAATTGGTGGCGTTCAGAAATCCCCGCCCCCCGAGGCCCCGAGAGGATCGCATGATGGGACCCCATGTACTCCATCAACTGTTGGCTCCGTCCTGATGTTTCCTCGTTTGAAGCTAACGACTTACTGGTGCTTAGCAGGGAATGAGGGAATAATCCATAATCACTATATAGTCATCCCAGCAACCCCCAGCAACCCATCCATTCCCTGCGTTTAGCACCAGTAAGTATATCCCCAAAGAGCCATATATATATAGGAATGATGAATGTCATGAAAATGCTAAAATGTAATGTTCAGCAGTTGCAATTTGCAGATCTCAATGATAACCCATGTTGACAAATCTCATATGATGAAGCAGGAATGGAACCATGAGGCATACAGTACCCATGGTGGACCCTCTCGGACCTGTCCTGCAGCAACACCTTGCCCAACTTCGAAGAGATGTCCGGGGTGCCCTTGTAGCCATGCTCCACCGGATCCGAGGCTGCCTGACGCAAATTTCCGCTGTAGAGTGGATATACTGTGTCTAAATAGATTATAATATACATATATATGAATATATATAATTGAATAAACATAAAAATAATAATGGTATTATATTATATTATATTATATTTTATTATATTATATTATATTATATTATATTATATATAAATAATATAAACACACACATATATATAATATACATATATATATAATATAAACACACACATATATATATAATAATATAACTAATATAAAAAAATATATATATTAATATAGGTAATTTAGAAAATATACAAAATATACATAATATAAATATATAATGCTGTATATAGAGAATATATAATATATTATACGATATATATAATGATATATATATGTTATTTATAATATACTATATATATAATGTATAATATACTATAATATATATATATGTCCATATGGACGTATGTCATGTGTGTCATGTATATAGTTAATATTAATAACAATAATTATTTTGCTAAATTTAGTTTTGACCCTTTGTATATATATAATATACATATAGCTTATTCAACATGGTGATGACGTGGGGGTGGTTTATGACTATTGGCGATCTAATGGGTGCTATAAATTATTGCTATTATGTATAGTACAAACCCTGTATTATATACAGTATATGGAGGTTTCCTAAAATGGTGGTACCCTAAGTTATCATCCATGTTCTTCCTTATTATCAATTGGAAAACCAATGGCTTGGGGCACCCATAATTTATCAAACCTCCATACATATGTATATATATATATGTGTGTATCATGTATATAATATATAGCAATTGTTATTTTGAATTAAACCAATAAGAAATCAGAATAAACTGAATAAACATAACAATCTAAGATATACATATATAAATGTGTATATAAATATACGTTGGATGATTCTTTTTTACTTGGTATGAATAACGTGTGCAAGTTAAACAAGTCAAAATAGAAGAAGGCATCTTGCTGATTAATGTGTCTGACAACCATTAGATTAGATAAGGACTTGCTATCCATCATGGGAGTGACTTCCGGATTGAAACAAAGATACGTACACTGCCTGCGATACGGCCATGGTAACGGCGCTAAGGTTCGGGAGCGTGCATGCCAACATGTCGACTCTTGTAGAGGCCCACGGACTTTCTTACCATTATCATCAAAACATGTTTGTTTGCTTTTTTTTTATAACCATGCAACCAGAAAAAACAACGGCAATTCGACCAACAAATCTAGGAACACTTAAATCCGGATTTTGTTCAGCGATTGGAACATGTTGTTGCTTTCCGTTCAACCCATGTTCATCCCTTTTTTGAATGGTTTGTCATTGGGGACGACTTCACCCCAAGGCCCCAAGTGCTCCATTTAGGGATGGGTCATGATCAGCTACGCCTCTGACCAGGCATGTAGCTCATTTGGTCAGGGGATGATGGGTTGTTAATGGGTTTGTAAACAAACTACTCGTTGGTGGTGCAATAACCATCTTGAAAAATATGACTTCGTCAATGGGAAGGATGACATACCATATATTATACTGCTTGGTGAAAAATATGACTTCGTCAGTTGGGGTTACTATGACATGACCCCAATGTGACGGGAAAAATATAAAACATGTTCCAAACCACCAACCAGATATATAGTTATTCCAATTATTAACCATTATTAACCATAGATTAACCATAGATTAACCAGGAAAAGTCATGTTCCAGTCACCACCAACCAGAAACATATCTCTGGGGAGGGCCCACATTGTCACCAGACACCATCCCCTGGCCCAGAAAAACCTCCACATCCACGTCCACGTCTTTCTCGGCGGATGGCTTTGCTGCCAAGGGCGACAGATCCTGGAGCGTTGCTACAAATGGGGGTGTCCTAAAATGGAGGGACCCTCAAATGGATGGTTTATTTCATGATAAATCCGAAAATAAAAATGGATGATTTCGGGGTACCCCTATTTAGGAAACATAGAAAAATAACTATGGATGTTTATAGTAGATATCTCAGCAGATGGCTGAAACTAAACTAACTTAATCCTCTCCCCCTCATGCTAAACCCCGGCCCCCCCCCAAAATAATAAACACCTCAGGTAGTTTTTATTCTTAGGGGGTATATTTATTATTAGGGTTCCCCCTAATACTAATGTTTAAACCCTAATATTATTATGAAAAAACTATGTTGATGTATTTCAACATCGATTGGGTTTCCTTGTAAAATCTAAATAAAATATTGCCAAAAATTGGATTTCGAAGCTTCCCCCTAATAGTAAGTTTAAAACCCTATAATATTAAAAAAAAAAAAACTATTGTGTTCTAGTTCAAAATCGATTATATTTTCCTTTACAATCTAATAAAAATATTGCCAAAAATTGGATTTCGAAGCTTCCCCTAATAGTAAATTTAAAATCCTAATATAAAAAACTAGCGTGTTCTATTTCAAAATTGATTATATTTCCTTTTAAAATCTAATAAACATATTGCCAACAATTGGATTTCGAAGCTTCCCCCTAATATTCAATTAAAAACCTTAATATAAAATACATTGTTTTTCGACCTTAATTAAAAGACGGACCCTAATTAAAAACACCCCGGGGTTGGCTAGTTTTAATTATTACAGGGTGAAACCCTGAAATGCTAGCTTCATTTTTAAATTGTTTTCTACAGGGGATCAATTAAAAATCAAATTGGCCAACCTCAAATTTTCCAAAATTGGAGACGGAGCCGGAGCCTAGTTTTTATTATTTGGGGGGGTTTAGTTATAGGGGGAAGGGATTACAACTGAGGGACAGCACTTGGTGGAGCTCAACCAGCAAACATCTTGGATTGTAACCAGACAAGGGGGTGCACCCTAGATTTGACGCACATAGTTTGGTCAACATTTGGGTTTATGGAGGATATAACGAATGTCAATGGGGGTTATAAACCAACACAAACCAACTTATAACTAGGGGGGCCACCCTGCATGTTTTAACTGTTTAACTCTTGGTTTTGTAAAAATGTTTACGGCATGCTAAACCCCCCCAAACGGCAGGCTAGGGGACGACATCACAGGAAGGGGCCCCAGAAGGATAGGTAAGTCGGTAAGTCCAATAACTAGGATTTGTGGTGACTATATTGAACTAGTTCGGTGGGGTTATAAACCAACAGACATAATGAGGAGGCCCCTTCCTACATCCACGCCTGTCCTCTTTGGTTTCGCTTGGCTGATAGACCAAGATCTTCGGTGAATCCCAGGGCAGACCGCACAAAGATCCGCCTGAAGCAATCGCACGCAATCGGTATAGTTTACGATGCATCGTCCGCCATGGTCATGAAGTCCCTTTGTTATATCTATCTCAATCTCTATCTCAATTTCTATCTATCCTATCTATCCTATCTATCCTATCTATCCTATCTATCCTATCTATCCTATCTATCCTATCTATCCTATCTATCCTATCTATCCTATCTATCTGCCTGTCTGTCTGTCTGTCTATCTGTCTATCTGTCTATCTGTCTATCTGTCTATCTGTCTGTCTGTCTGTCTATCTGTCTATCTGTCTATCTGTCTATCTGTCAATCTGTCTATCTGTCTATCTGTCTATCTGTCTATCTGTCTATCTATCTATCTATCTATCTATCAATCATATCCGTCTGTCTATCCACTTTTCATCCATTTTCACGCATGATTATCATGTTATATCCATTTATATCTCACTATACCAATACAGTCAACTCTCAATCCATATAAATCCCAAATCATGGAAACCATCCAAGATCCAAGAAAACCTCCATTTTCATGGCGCTTTTGACCCACCTTCCGACCTTCCCCGGTATTTTTACCACAACCGCTCCGCCTAGGACAGCGCCGAAGCCCCACTTGCCGTTGCCCGTGCCCAGAGATCGGATATCGATGGTGGAGGCCGTGGAGGATGCAGGATCCACCACCAAGATGTCGTGCCTAAAAACATGTTGAAAGATTGGTTGGTGGTTGGTGGTTTCAACCTAATGATTGGTTAATAATTGTTAATAATGGTTATAATACTGGTTAATAATGGTTAATAATGGTGAATGATGGTGAATGATGGTGAATGATGGTGAATGATGGTGAATGATGGTTAATAATGGTTAATAATGGTTAATAATGGTTAATAATGGTTAATAATGGTGAATGATGGTGAATGATGGTGAATGATGGTGAATGATGGTTAATAATGGTTAATAATGGTTAATAATGGTTAAGAATGGTTAATAATGGTTAATAATGGTTAATAATGGTTAATAATGATTAATAATGGTTAATAATGGTTAATAATGGTTAATATTGGTTAATAATGGTTAATAATGATTAATAATGGTTAATAATGGTTAATAATGGTTAAGAATGGTTAATAATGGTTAATATTGGTTAATAATGGTTAATAATGGTGAATGATGGTGAATGATGGTGAATGATGGTGAATGATGGTTAATAGTGGTTAATAATAGTTAATATTGGTTAATAATGGTTAATAATGGTGAATGATGGTGAATGATGGTGAATGATGGTGAATGATGGTGAATGGTGGTGGATGATGGTGAATGATGGTTAATAATGGTTAATAATGGTGAATGATGGTGAATGATGGTGAATGATGGTGAATGATGGTTAATAATGGTTAATAATGGTTAATAATGGTTAATAATGATGAATAATGGTTAATAATGGTTAATAATGGTTAATAATGGTTAATATTGGTTAATAATGGTTAATAATGGTGAATGATGGTGAATGATGGTGAATGATGGTGAATGATGGTTAATAATGGTTAATAATGGTTAATAATGGTTAAGAATGGTTAATAATGGTTAATAATGGTTAATAATGGTTAATAATGATTAATAATGGTTAATAATGGTTAATAATGGTTAATATTGGTTAATAATGGTTAATAATGATTAATAATGGTTAATAATGGTTAATAATGGTTAATAATGGTTAATAATGGTTAATATTGGTTAATAATGGTTAATAATGGTTAATATTGGTTAATATTGGTTAATAATGATTAATAATTGTTAATAATGGTTAATAATGGTTAATAATGGTTAATAATGGTTAATAATGGTTAATAATGGTGAATGATGCTTAATCATTGGTTAAACAATTGACTGGTTTGTGGTTGAGCCCTACCCCTCTGAAAAATATATGAAAGTCAGAGTTCGTCAGTTGGGATGATGACATGGCCCCAATACATGGAAAAAATAATCCAGTCATGTTCCAAACCACCAACCAGTATGAGTAATTTCAATGTGGTAAAGTGATGTAAAGTGACTATTGAGAGTAGTGCTGTAAAGCTCTCAATGCTCTAATCTGAATCTGGTAAAGTTGATAACAAAGCTACGCTTTGTGGATGCGTTTTTTTACAAACCATGTTTGGTGATATTTGGAATGGGTTTATTTAGTCGAGTTAGTGATGTAACATGTGAATAGACATTTAATCACTCATTAACATTAGACATTTAATTAATCTATGAGTATCGCAACATCAACGATTAAGTAGTGTTCTTAGTATGATGTTGTTATTTTTCAATATTTTTGAAATGGAGAAACTGCCAGGAAATTCAATAATGGACTAGACCTATCCTGGAAGTCTACATCTATGGTCCAGCTGTTCAAATTCATGGTTAACAGATTGCTTTCCCTTCCCAAAGACATATCCAACTTAGCATCCAAATTCCATCAAGACCCTGGCTATAAGGCCTGACATTCTTCAATTTGTTGGTACCGCAGTTATCATCCAGTCGTCATGGATGACCATGACTTAGTATTGAAACCCGTGGTGACGCCAGGGTATCCCCCATGACTTAAGAACCCCCCAAATGATGTTGTTTTGATCGTGGACTTTCCAGGAGGTTTATGTTGGACGGAAAGCCCCTGCTGTCCGTATCTAAGTATTAAAAAAAAAATCGAAATGGCTCCTTGACGATGGTTAAATCTCCTTGTATCTGAATAAACATAGTATGGCTAAAAGGGCTAAAACATGCAAAAACCATGCTAGATTCCCCTCCTTTCATGGTCAATCTTTGGTAGTCAACAGAAATCATCGTTTGCTGCTTGCAGTGATTTTCCATAGCAATCAACCCAAGGATTCAACTGATTCAACTCCCCATCCGGTTGGGGGGGCCCCATCTACCCACATGGTGGCCATCTGCCGCAAAGCTTCGCATGGTATGGCACTGCGTAGATTTTGCCCCCCAGCACCGCCGCGGATTGCCACTTGGCCGTGCCATCACAAACGCCGCTCACGTCGATCCCCGACACCTCCTGACCCAAGTGGAAACACCGGCGCCGCTTCACCAATGACATCGGCTGAATGGGCTGAATGAAGAAATGTCAGACTTATTGTCAAGCATATCTGAGGGATGACACATATGACCTATGACATAACTATCGAACAATCACATTTCCAGAGGATTTGTTTCTATCAAAGTCGAGGATTTGATTGACTCGCACATCAGACAATGACATTGTCATTGTCTGAAGCTGCTAGGTAACCCATTTGGATCTATTTGGGGGATATGGAAAGCAACTATAAATGTATAGGTTTCAATGGGAAAATCATCGAACTAAATGGTGCATGTTCCATTGGCATGTTTGATTGCAGAAGCTATCTCAAAAGCTACGTGTACCAGTCAACAAACAAATGCGATGATTAGAAAATCCACGGAAAGATTCAAAGAAGGATCATGGCTAAACATGGTTTGGAGCAGCTGGGTTTTGATCCCAGCAATCCATTTCAAACATACCCACAACTATCCCAAACTCATGTATTTTAGTCAAAACATGTTCAAACTATGAAGATGTATTGATTTTTCGAAGCTTGAATTCCCATCATTGTCAGTCTCCCTGTGTTTGTTGGTATATTCCCACAGGTTGACTCACAAATGCATGAACAAAAAAAACAGGATAACTTTGCCACTATTTCATAATTGGATTTTTATATACATAATATTTACTAGGGTCCAGATAATCATTTTACCAAATCACGTTCAATTCACATCCTCTTCATTCTGTCATGCTCCAGTAATATCCATCCCATATAGTATTGATTACATCCCCTAATTTACCTGATTGCCTTTCAACTCTCAGGATAAAAACAATATCAACAGTATTGCCGAAATCTTATCCCCACCATCATATTCTGAATATAATCTCATTATATACCATCGTTGTTTCCTCTATATTCTCATTGACATCTTCATTTCAGCTATAGTCTCATTTTATTGCCAGCTTGTTTCGACTATACGTTCGTTCTATTGTTTTTGTTTGCCATCTATTGCTGAATATCCAGTTTTACCCCTGCGTTTCCTGGCGAAATTTAAGGTCTCCCATCATGTAAGTGTTAAAGAATAACCCGTTTTTCCATGGGATTTCACCCATGATATTACCATTGCTTACCGGTTCTATCTCACCATCATATTCCCCAATGATTGGTTCCCATGATTTGTACCTAGACCCTCCGTTTGCACCCATACAAATTAGTAGTCATTTATAGACATGTGGTGTAAAATACCAATCTTTCCGGATACAAACGGAGGGTCTACGTACCCCTACAGTAAACAAACATCATTGATGAGGTGATTTTCCCATCCAAAACATGCGAACACCTCCATTTAGTTCAGGGATGTCCCACATGTTTTTCCATCCAAACATCCTCCGTGGTCGGATCGAAGACCAAGACGTTTGAGGCGCGGTCCGGGATGCCGTAGATCTTCTGCGCCACCACGACGCAGCTGAGCCACTTGCCCGGTCCGGTAGCGACCTGGAGGGTTAAACTGGGGAAATGGTTTATCTCATGGGATCATATTGGATTTAAGCAAACGAGTTGGGATTCAAATCACAAAATTGCAACAAACATGCCGCGGAAATGAAAAAAGGTACGCAATTGACGGGGTGTTCCTACCGCGTTCTCCAGTCGAGTCACATTTTTTGGGGTCTGACCTCGTTCTCCATGCCGCACTTGTTTTAATAGCCAAAAGGTTTACTTGCGATGCCTACCTAGTTCTCGGATGTTCTCGGGGTGTTCCTACCTCGTTTTACAACCTAGATATGATGTGTTTGACAAATCGGGGTACGCCACAATAAATCAAACAAACATATTTCATAAATTTCAAATAATCTAGGATAATCGTTGCTCCAACTGTGTGAGGATCTAAAAAATGACCAAGGTGACCAAATCTGACCATCAAAGCACCATGGGAATTCACCGTCAAAACCACTGATGGGTCATTTTGACTCATCCCCGTCACAGTATCTAAAGCACACCTTCCAAATGCGGATTTAGAAGGCAAAACAAACTTGTAACCACGAAGTCCCAATTTGATGGGCCTGTCGGCCATGAGCAAATTTCGCGCTGAAAATGATCAACATCCCTGGGTTTGGAGGTGTTGCACTACCTATACACCCATCACCCTGAAAATATCATTCAAGGATCCATATAAAAACCGTGCGTTTTACCACGTCTGGGATGGACGGTCCACCTGGATCAGTGCTACCTGGATGATTGCGGGGCCACCCATCACGTTTCCGAAACCCCACGTTTCAAGAGCCATTTCACGCACCTAAACTGGAGGTATTGTGCCATATAAAACCATATTTTGGAGGTATATCCACTTACATAGCCATCAAAATAGACCTTATATATGGATAATATAATTTATAACTATATATATATACAATAGCGGTCTGGTAGGCCTCTTTGTCTGTTGTGGGGGTCCAAAGCCCTTGGAACTATTTGCTGATAATATTGCGCTGATGAATATCTGGTGTGGCTCTACTAGTGTGCCATTAAAGGTCTTCACGTTTGCAGCTGGGACTGATCCCCATTCATTTCTCAATAGTTTCCAAAAAAATCGCTACAAATAGTTCCGGCCTGTCACAAATAGTTCCAGCGCTAAAAGGGTCCAAAACAGAATTTAGTGGATAAACAGGCCAAGCGGACTGCTAATAAAAAGGAAACACATATAATATTGATGTATATAATAATATATGGTAGGTACCTCCAATTCAGGTTGATGAAATGGCCACTGAACGTGCTGAACGCTGCATCCCCACAACTCCACTAAGAGGCAGCTCTGGTGTCCACATGCGACAGCCGATTGTTGGAAGGATCAAAGATCAGGATGCAGTCAGCGTGGCATGGGATGGCATACAGCATGCCTTTCAGGGTTCTAGCAGGGAGGGGGTGGGAACTCGAAGCCCAAACACACAAGCAAAATGGTACCTTAACCCATATCCATGTATGGTATATATGCTAACATTGGGGGTATATTGATGGTAAATTATGTTACCATATATATAGCATACATGGATCCTATGGGTGATGGCCAAACAAGAAACCAATTGATGGCAGCTCAAGGCAGCCGAACATCTCCGTCCGCATAGATGTCAAAATTCACCCGGCCTTGGAAGGCTACAGCGCACAGCCATTTGAAAGGTCCCGAGGCGTGGTAATTGGTTGGAACACCCACTGAGGAATGGCTCAGTGGATCATACACCAGCAGGGCATCTGAGTTGCACGGAACACCAATCACCTCCATGGGGCCGGAGAAAATGTGGCACTAGCTATGAAACATGGCGACTCAACCGAACCTAACCAGCAAAAAATGGGGATGGAATCGGGATAGATGGGGATTGATATTGGATCTAAGACGTAGGCTGAGTTGAGAGAAACAACAATCTACCTATTACATCCTATTACCTAGGGTTTATGGTGGATATGATATATCTGAGTTTGACGGTTGAAGCTACGACTCATAACTGGACAGCTCCACATTGTGCCGCGAGAATCGAAGGTCAAAGCCAATGAAAATTAATCCTTCACATTCTGATAGATCGGATGAACACCTAAAGTTTGAAGGTCGATTGGTGTTCCAAAACGTTAGACCATGGAACACCTTTAGATAGCACGCAAGATTTTAACAAACATTTTGTCTCTTGCCACAATGGTGCAATCTCGACAACCTAACATCCAAAATATGAGCCCATACAGATGCGCACCAAACACCATTCAAAACGAAAACTCAGCAACAAAAATACCCACCGCGCCTTGCCACCCAGACTTAAGCCTGCCAGCCATTTCAGCTTCCCAGTGGCAACGTGACCAGTCTCCACCCCACTCAATCCATCTGACTTCGAAGGACTGGATTTGGGGCGGCTGGCAGAGCTGTCATGGACCTTGGGGTCGAAGACCAACAGCTTCTCGGCGTTCAAGGGAATGCCGTAGACCTTTCCTGGCGACGGCATTAGGATTTCTGAAAGGTAGCACTTACCGGACGGATGAACATCATACAGCGATGCCAACCATCAACCCACCCTTGGAATGATAAAATTATGTGTGATTGAAAACCATTCAAAACCCCTAGAACTACCTGAACACCTTCAGGATAACGGTTGGAAGGGTTAGAAGAGTTGGAGGTTGGAAGGGCGTAGTGAAACTCAGTGTTCACAGCATAGCCAGCATGGTCAATGATTCAAGCAACTGAATGAGAGAAGAGTTCAAGCTGGTCGATGGTATGGTGTCATATGTTATCCCTATTACATAACCATACATAACCCCTATCCGTTGATCCAATTTGATGATATTTGATGTGTAGATATCCTTCATCTTCAACTGATCAACGCGACGAGCTTCCTGCCAACGAAACTGCGGATTGCCACTTCAGAGGCCCCTTGGCAACTTTTCGCGTGTCGATGCCAATGACTTGTTTGGAAACAAAGTCGTAGATCAGCATCGCTTCCTAGCTGGCTGGGCTGTTTGGTATGTTTGGTTCACACGTTCTGACCTGGGGTTGTGGTGAGCCCAGTAACAAACCCGAATTTTCTAAAAGGCTGCTAAAATAGGACAATAGAACATATACATACTGAAAATGTGTAAGGCTCGTGAGCGCTCCACATATTGTCCTTATGTATTTGTGTTGCCCTTTTTGGGATCGACACAGCAAGGGGTCAGCAAGAGGTCACCCACTGACTACCCATGTCTCGACAGCATTCGACAGCTATGTGGCTTTGTCTGAACATGTTGAGGGGAAAAAAATCACACGCAACATTTCATGGTTGAAGAAACCAATAATGATGTTCTCTCTTTCACAAACGGACATAGGTTGAGCGTGAATCACCGATTTTTTGAGACAGCCAAAGACAGAGATCACCTTCAAAAGAGAACATCTATGGATTTCCTTGGTTTTCCTTGGTTTTCATTTTTTTCCATGGCTAGATCCAACTGAATTTCCATACGCGCCATGGTCAAAACATATCAAAACATGGCATGAAAATCGGGTATGGCCATCTCACCATCATGGGATGACTATCATTGTCCATGTTATCATGTCTCAATGGCTAAGCTGCTTCATGTTTTACATTGTTTTACCATAGTTGAATAATGATATAATGATTCAATAATATTTAATATACTGTTCCATTTTTCAATACTTAGTCCATTTAATTTTCCCGGTAGAATCCATCACAAATTCCCCAAGTTGTCTCTTCCCGCTTTCCACCTACCGGAAAAATGGCCTAGCATAGATTCGTTCTTTTCCCACTGGTCGATTAATAGAAAATTCCCCCTCCGTTCGATAACCAATAAATAGGTATAGATAGCAATGAGTAAAGCAATAATACACCAGCCACATGCTAATGGTTTACACCACCCCATGGCAAATTTGGGGAGGATCCTATTGCGCTCACGGATACATTTATCACAATATCTCACATTATATAATAGTTTCGAAAATCAGGGACAGTATTGCACACCCAGTGTCCGCCCGATCAGGGATGCCATAAAGTTTCCCTCCCAGCGCTACGGTGCTACGCCACTTCCCCTCGCCCTTCGCCACACTGCGCGTGTCAATGAAGGTCACGGGATCCGTAAAGCAGCTGGGGTCGAAGATCAGAAGGTGCTCGGCGTTGCATGGCAAGCCATAGAGCTTGCCTAGGGGCGAGAGGGATTTGGGAGATTTTCATAAAACAATTGACCAGCAAAAGTCATATGGTCATTTAGTGGGTGTTTAATGGGATTTGGATGGATTTGGTGCTATTTAGCTAGCTGAGCTGGTTTAGAAGCCTACAGTACTACAGTAGACCTAGGCTTTATATAGTATAGATATGATATATCTGTAGTCAAGTGACTTAAGTGGGTCAATAAGTGGAGAAACCCCCTTGTAGGAGAGAGGGGATGTCGCTTGCTATAACGAACAGTATTTTAATACAACTAACTAACATCTAAAATGGTCATATAATTATATCACATAATTAATAATACTAATTCATAATAATTCATAATAACAATAATTACTAATAATACTAATTAATTAATTAATTAATAAATAATAATAATAATAATTACACTGTGTATAATAATCTGTGTACTATATAATATTGGCCAAAGGTGGTCCCCATCAACGTTGCCCAGTCCCAGTTGCCACCCAAGCCAACTCCTGTCCACCATCTCTTTCCACCGGTTGTGGCCAGACTGACGTCCACGCCCCGTGCCCCCGGCGTCGAAGCTTCCGCGCCCATGGCGCCAGCGGTACGGGGCCATGGCGGAATCCCCGGGAGGTTGGTGGAAATCTAGGGAAATCTGGAGAGAATCTGTTGATGATCCAAAAAAATGAGAGAAAAACATGTGAAAGGACTAACTATAATTAAACTAACATAAATATACCTAAATTAACTAACAATATATCTAGATAATCGATTCTATTTGTTTCATCGGAGTTTTTAGTCATGATGAGTGGATGATCGATGATCCCTGAAAACTTGTTGCAATGATCCACCTCGTCACAATGCTATGGAGTTTGTCCGCTGCAAACATCAGGCAGCTGTTTTGATTTCGGCGCATGTTTGGCAGATCCCGAGGTTCTGATTTTGACACTGATAAACTTAAATACATGCCATGTTCGCTATGTGTAAAAAACAACAAATGCGACTGTATGGTTGAGCCTCAAATAGCCCGTCAAACATTGACTGTCACGAGAAAGTGAACATCATGATTGTGAGCAAAACTTAATATACACTTGGATTTCTCTCTCCTTCCATGTACATGATGTCCTTTTACGGTACCGCATATGAAGCGAATCAAATTCATCCCACTTAAATGTGGGAAAAGCCTTCCAGCCTGGGGTAAACATTTCGATAACAGTTCGATGTGGAAAACGCATGGTTTCCCCAGGAACATGATCTACAAAAGGTGGGTTTTCCACATCGAACTGTTAGTTTACAGGATGGGGCATCATTGATTTTTTGCACCCGCACCCTTCGTCTTCTTTTTGCTCTCTCCACATGTTCATGGTGCTCGTGCAGGATTCAACCAGCCGACAAATTTCGATAGCAAAAATGACGGGGAATTTGAGCGGCAAAGTTAGGGGGTATAAAACCAAGCATTTGATGTGGACATAATTGCATCTAATGGGATACATCATGATAAACCTCTTTCCAAAGTATTCATTCCAAAGGTGACTCCCCAAAAAATGGTTGGAGTTGTGGATAGACCGAATCTGAACCAAACAACAATGACGAATGGTCGGGGTTCGGTTTAATCCTTATGAGCTGTGGGTCCAAACTTATGATTGGATTGACTGGCTATTGGGCCCCAGTCATCCAGTTTTCTGGGTACTCAACGACCCATAAACATCCATAAACTATTTATGAAGTTTTGGTCTTGAGTCCAATCACTGGAATCTGATGCAGTCCATTTTGACTCCAAGTTGAGATATCGGGATTTCATGGGATTTGCTGCTGCCCCACAACAGCCCTACGCCCTACGCCCTGCGTCACTGCCATCTTTGGGACAGCTTCGCGTCGCCTGTGCGGCAGCCCAATCAGCTGCGTTCAGAAGGGCGATGGAGACTGACGCGACGGACGCTGCGACTGACGTTCCAAGTCAGAGGTGGAACGAGGATGTAAAAAAAACATGCCGAAATCCTATGGGATTCATTGGATTTGGGTTAGAAAACGAGACTTAAGTCTATGATTAAACCCATGTGTATCAATAGCCCATTGGATTCTACATGCTTCGTGGTCAACATCCTCATCTTGATCAGTTTGGATATGTTTGGATTCAGGATGAGTGCGACCAGTCATAAGATGGGACAGAAACCACCACAGCCCTACCATCGATGACTTTTAACACCCATAAAAATACGCTAATCTGCTGGTTTATGGCAGAAACCAACCACATTATACCATGATGTTCATGGCTTCATCCTGCACATAGCCCTGCCGAACTCAACCAGGGTGAACTCACCAAAGGTTTAGCCAACATGGTCATACGGTAAAATCATGAATCTCCTGAAAAAAAAAACAGAAACTATCCACTGTCCATCCATCTAAATCCATCTAAATCCCATGAACTAAAAGTTGGAGACCCCACTTATAAGTTGGCTTCTAAACCCCTTTAACATCCATTAACTATATAGATCTATCCTACGGTGAGCCGATCCTCCCGCCTGTATGGCAATCCTTGAAGAACTCGCTGGCGGACTCGCCGCAGACCTTGCGGAAGCGACTGGAAAAGTTGGGTGAGTTTACAATACGTTCGAACATGTTTAACGATGAACAAAGTCAAGTGAACTTGAATTGACAGAGTGAAACATGATCAAACATAGGATTTAACTCTATGAAATATGGGGAATTCATGGGAATTCACTATCAAACATGGTGATTTAACAATCAACATTTGGATTGAGCCATCAAAATGACTTGATCCCTGAAGCTGGATCGTTGTCCGAATCAAGGACCTCAAGGACCCCAATGGGGAAGTCCCAGAATTTTGGGCTTATCATGTTGTTTTTTTTTTAACATGAATTAAGCATAAATAACCCCAACATTGACCTCAAACGTTGGAACAATATGGAACATATGTGAACATATGATGATAATCCTCTGGAGTTGGGTTGTGGCCCCAACCTCTTTCAATGAACTCACTTCAGAAAGTCAGAGATTATCAGATTTACGTTCCAAGACGGGACGGAAGAGCCCCCAGAGTTTTATACCTGTGTTGGTTTATCAGCCCAGAGTTTATAGATTCGAATTGTATAGAGATTAATCATGATATATCATGATATTTCGAACATCAGTCCCTGATTCCTAGTTAGCCTATAATGCAATAAACATGAACCAATATACTACTGGTTGGTGGTGCAATAACCCCTCTGAAACAAATTAACGGGAAGGATTATCCCATATATTCCCATATATTATATATGGAAAATAAAAAAATGCTTGAAACCACGTGGCATCATGTGGCTGTCTTGATAGAGACCTTGCCACGTAAACCATGCATTTTTTTCAGATGAAAATCCTCGTTATTTATCTTGAAAGCTACACGAAATATACCCTCTGGTTATTTAACATAGCCATGGTATAGATGGCCCATAGAAATAGATGGTTTACCGTTCTTAAAAATGGTGGATATTTCCATGGCTATGTCAGCCATAACCAGATGGTAGACATCATTGAAGAAACATGTCCATGTCTTGCCGTAAGTCCCAAAAAGGGGCCCCAGGGGGCGCAGGGGATGCAACCAACTGGCGAAGCCCATGGCGAAGAGTTCGGTTTCCCAGCCAGCTTCGCCACCAATTCGCCACCAAATTTTTACATAACCAATTTTTGTGAGAGTTAATGATTGGTTGATAAAAAATATCAAGAAAATAGATATATCAACCAGATTTTAAATGTTTATTAAAATCAAATCAAACCTGGCGAATGTTGACTATAGTAAACATGTAAACTGGGTAAACATATCAGCCAGTGATAGTCAAATCCGGCTTTCAAAACAAACCTGTTACCCCAGTAGCTTCAGCATCATGGGGCGACCACATCAGCAATTTTTGCACGCTGCCTTTGCTTTATGTACAGGAAACATGTCACCCAGTGCACATTGGCGCAAGGTGGCAGCGCCAACTTCCAGTTCTTTGCCATAACTTGGGCCATGGTTATTTTTTTTGTGAACAAACCCACACTTTTATCTACGAAATTGTTTTTATATTTTCGGGGGAAGACAAACCCACATTTTTCCTATCTACAACCTCTTGAGTTCCTCTTGAATCGCCGTGCTGTCGCCACCAACGGTCGCTTTGCCCCACGTCACCAGCGATCCCTCCGCGGTGCTGGCCGCGAAGGCGCGGCCCGTCGCCTTCAGCTGCCGCACCTGGCGCAGCTGGGCAGACACCATGGAGCTGTCACCACCGCACCTTGGCAGCAAGCTGGAGCTGGTACAAAAAAACACCAAACAAAATGCCACGTTTACAGATTCATCCAAGGTTTAATTTAACTGTAAAATTCTAAAGCACTTGATTTATTAGTAAAAATCCAACTGTAATCCAACAGAACTAATTTGATCTATTGGGTAAAAAATGTAAAAAAACTACAAATCGTTCTACAACTGTGTGGAATAATCCTTAATTATATGAGCAAGTGCAACAGGTATATAAGTCTATATGATAAAATATGTGTTTGACAATTATAGTCATAATTCACTAAATCCGTCAGGATTATGAATTATAGCAGGATATGTGGGATGCAAACCCATCTAAGTTGACAACTGTTGAATAGTAGCATAAGATACTATAAATCATAAATATATCCATAAACTATATCCCAGATTATCCCAGCAAGCAAAACAAATATGTATGACTAAACCCCATCTGGACACTCTGCGCGACCCCATGTAACAACCGATCCATCTGAGAGGATCCCGGCAAAAGCCCAACACGTCGCCTGAATCTGCTGCACATTCCTAAGCTGAGCTTGGACCTGAGAACTGTCACCACCGAAACGTGGATCACCCCATGTCACAACTGACCCATCCGCCAGGATCGCAGCAAATGCGAAGTCTGTGGCTTGAAGCTGCTGGACATTCTTTAGTTGATCTTGAACTATCGACATGTCTCCGCCGTCCTCTCGGTTGCCCCACGTGACAACTGATCCATCTGCCCGAATCGCAGCGAATGCCGTGGCCGTGGCCTTAATCTGCTGTACAGCACAGAGCTGATCTTGGACTTTGGAGCTGTCACCACCCAAGCGCCCGTCGCCCCAGGTGACGACCGATCTATCTGCCAGGATTGCGGCGAAGGCAAAATGGGCAGCCTGAATCTGCTGCACATCAACTAGTCGATCCTGGACTGCAGAGCAGTCGCCACCTTCAGCTGGAACTCCCCATGCAACAACCGATCCATCTGATAGGATCGCCGCAAACGCAAAACGCGCAGCGCAAATCTGCTGTACGTTCCTCAGCTGATCTTTCACCTGAGAGCAGCTACCACCAAAATCAGGTCTGCCCCATGTCACCACTGAGCCATCTGCCAAGATGGCCGCAAACGCACGTTCTGCAGCCTCAAGCCGAGTCACCTCCAGGAGCTGATCTTGGACAGGAGAAGTGTCACCACCAAACTCTGGATGCCCCCAAGAAACCACTGAGCCATCTGCCAGGAGTGCAGAAAAGGCCTTCATACTCCCCCAGATCTGCTGCACCCCTCTGACTTGAGCCTGAACTGCTGAGCTGTCACCACCAGCATCTCTGTTGCCCCAGGTGATTATCCGATCACCTCCCACGCACCAGAGAGCGAAGGCTTCCTCAGTGGCTGCAAGCTGTGGTGGACTGGCGATGCCCGTGAGATGGTCCCCATCTTGTAGCTGCAGTTCTTCCAGTGCTAGCAGGGGATCATTCAGCACCTGCCCATCTGCTGTGGCAAGCCGAAGGAAGCCTTGCTGGAAACATTCTTGGGCCTGAAGTTTTAAGTCCCCAACTTTGGAGGATGGCAGAATGGAAAGGCTCTCACTACGACCACTGGGTAAAGCTACATGTAACTGAAGCATCTGAAGGCGACGGTCCACTCTGAGAAAATCTGAAACTCTTCACATGTCGGCCAAAACATTTTGAGCCAGTGACTTTCGAAGCGACATACAGCGCACGTGTGAGTCACTCGGCGTTGTGCTTCACACCACAAATAACGAAAATAACAAGTCTAAGTGATCAACGAGCATTTGTAGGATACGAACCTATAAATACTGTCACAATCACCAGTGTCACTGCAAATAAACAAGTAACTCAGTAACTCCCAGATTTTTCATGATACTCCCGGACTTAGAAACACATGATCCACATGTCCCGAATTACTATCATTATCCTCATTCATCCCCAATTTTAACCCCTCAGAAACTAAAAGTTGGGTTTTCCCCACCATTCTCAAAAACTGCAAATCATTCAGAACATAAAGAAACTAAATGACCATATTCATCCATTTTTTTGCAGATTACTACAGTGGAAAACCAGTTCTGATCCAGTCCATGCCATCCAACTAGTGGCGTTTGTGCCCCCTATGGAAACCCCGACACCCACCTTGAAGAACTTCGGGTGAGCGGGGGGAAGCTGTTCGTGCGCGTAACGGCTGAGGAGTCTCGTCCCGGAGCGATGGCATCGAACATGTAGAGGGACCTGAAGCTGGATGATGGGGAAATCTATTACAAGGTGGAGCCCTATATATAGTTGGCAAAGCTGGTTGAAAACTCCGTTAAGTATGTTGGGTTTATATTATAAATATATATATGGGATATGTAATGATACAGAATCACTATAGAATCACTGGCGTCTACAAAACAACTTATAACTGGAGGCCGCCTTGTAGGAGACGATCCTTACCACGGAAAATCGGAGAGGTTCTTCTTGTTCTATCCATGATGGATGTGTCATGCAAACTTTTGCTTGAACCACTGCTTTGAAGAGTACAAGCTAGGATGGTCATTTTTTCTGTGGAAAAACAAATGGTTGGATCTGGTCGTTTGGCAAAAAATACTGGTAACGTTAGTAAAGCAGCAATAAACCACCCATATTTTGATGGTTGATACCATCTATTCATTCTCAAGGGATGCTGATTCTTGGGTAGAGTAAGGTCAACGTCTGCCCTGCCGTCGAAACAGCAGCTTGAAAACCAGCTCGAACATATCGAAGTGGTTTGATGGCAGCTTGTTACACTTAATAATTTTTCTAGTTGGTGGTTGACCTACCCCTCTGGAAAATATGAAAGTGAGTTGGGATGATTATTCCCAATATATGGAAAAATAACAAATATTCCAAACCACCAACCAGAATTTACCGGGACACACACGCCAAGCAGTGGGGTGAAATCACCCGCAGGAATCGTGTGAGTTCACCGCGGTTCGGATCCAAGGAGTCACATGACAGAAAACATGTGTCCGTTGTGTTTTCACAGGGTGAAATTGACAGAAACCATTCTTCAACGTTGAATTTTGAAGGTGCCATCCTGAAATCAAACATGCCTTAATGGAAAAAATGCACAATTGACCCTCTGGTAAAGTAACATAGCTGACATAGCTATTGAAAATGGCCCATAGAAATAGTGAGTTTTCCCATTAAAAATAGTGATTTTCCATAGTTATGTGGCTGTTTACCAGAGGGTAGTTGGATGACTTTCACATTAAACCCTCCAGAAATATCGAGATTTCCCATTTCCGCCACATCCTGAGCAGCCCGTGCGACTCCGGAGGGGTTTTCACATGAAGATCCTTGGTGAATGTCATGGTAACCTTGAATCAAAGAGATTTAAGGTGATTTTATGGTGATTTTAAATGGTGATATGCCATCGATTTCCTATTGGATATCCATCAAATAGGATGTCAATGGGATTTTTCATGGTGATTTTACGGATATCCAATAGGAATTTGATGGCATTTGAGCGGAAATGTCACCAACAATCTATCATATGGCAGTGGGGTCTGTCTAAGAATGAGGAAGTTGCATGATTTTGCTTCAATCTTTGACTCCACCTTCGCAACAAAACATGATGAACCAGCAGGGTGTACCCCATCTTTGGACACATCCACCATGTATCTTTTGAATATTGTTGAATAATGATTGGGGAATCAGTGAGGCATAAAGTGTGTGTGGTGCAGTCACGGATTTGTTGCTCCGTGTAAGAAGATATGTATAGTTCATCAAAATTGGATACCATGACTACAGAAGAACCCACCAACCTCCAGAAAAACTCCGTACAGCCGAAACATCTCATGTTTTAGTGGTTCAAGCCTTAACAGGAGCTCAGGCTGATCTCAGGTTCCCTCACGCTATCGTGGAGACCAGGCGCACTGGAGGCCTAGAACAAATTTGGGAACCAAAATCGTGGTTTAAGCCACAAGAAACTGCGACTTATTGGTTTTAAGGGATTCCAATATGATTTTATGGCATTCTGATGAGTTGTTATGCGATTTTATGGCATTCTGATGGGATTTTTTATGGCATTCTGATGGGATTCTTAAAAAGCGATTTCATGAGATTCATGAACCAACAATGAACTGTGGATTTAATGACGTTTTGTTGTTGGTTATATCCATATATTGCAACAACATTTACAGGATATAACCAACAACAAAACGTGATTTTTCATGGGACCATGGATTTCTTATTCAATGATGGCTCCAATGGTGGAATTCATAGGCTTTCATAGGGATTTCAGGATCCATCGAGGTGGATGTTTCGACCCTTTTTTCGCTTGGGCTTAGGGAAACACCACGATTTTTGGTTCACGAAAAAAGGGGAAACAGCATGTTTTTCAGATTTAATGGTGTCGTCTTTGGAATTCTATACCGGAAACCATGGAACTGGCAAGGCAGTTTTCCAACTACATGGGTTTCATGTTGATCTTTGATTCATCCAATTCTGGAGAAGTTCCAACAGGCCATGACATGTCAAACAAATTCTCATCTGATTCACCAAGGGGACAGGGGCCAGGTCAATTGAAATAATCATCCCACATATGCGTTGTCTGATTATTTTCCCCATAAGATGCTTAATAATCATTAATCATCCCAAATGATCATTAACCAAGGGTACACAAATGTGATGCTTTGTCTGATCATTTTCATTCATTTTCCCCATGAAAATGACCATAAATTGTAGAAATCAAGACCACCAAAATCAGACACAGCCATTACTCATCAGTCCCATCGGTCTCATCGGTCTCATCGGTTATAAAATATATCCATATACATATTGTAATAAATTAACTCATATTATTCATATCTTATATTATATCATAGTGTTAATATATTATATTATTTATATATTATATTGTATTATATTATATTATATTGCATTATATTATATTATATTATATTATATTATATTTCAAACATTTCCCATTATATCCCCATAAACAATCCAAGATAAATATATAGATATATATAATCCTACCACATATCTATGCTTAAAACCACAAACCAGCCTGGCTTCGTCGTGAGGATGGGGCGAAGAAACCTGTTGACTTCACAATGGATGTGATTTGAGGTGATTTTATGGGAATATAACAATATGATGATACACTGTAAGGGGAATATGTATATATATAATATATGGATTATAATGGGATATATTATCTGGGTAAATTAAAATATTTCACTTAACCTGAATTAAGGCCATTTTGGGATGATTTCCCTTATTCACCATGATTTCCAGTGAGGTCGCAGTGAGGTCGTTATAATTTACCCAGATATATGGATTATAATGGGATATATTATGTATCTATGATGTACTGGTTTTGTCCAAGAATGGTGAACTTCAATGGATCTCATAGCAATTCTCATGGCAATTCTTGGTGATATGTCTGATAAGTGCAGCTGACAACAGAATTTGGGATGTAACACTCGTCTTTATTGTTTCAATGGGATCTAAGCAATATAATTTTATTATATTGGGGTATAATATATGGGCTACATGGGATTGCCTGAAAATTAGGGATATCATCCCCAAATGGCCATGAAACACGTGCAATTTATGATGATTCACCAGTGGGACACACCTGATTTGATGACGGAGCATACGTTGACATTGAAAAACCGTCGGACTTCATCAGAGATGGCCGTTGGATTTGATTTGTCCAGCTATAGCAAGAAGAAATCTTATGGGTATATTGCAATTCATATAAACTATACAATTCAGTTCAATATAATATATATATACTCTATAATTATAATATCTTCACTAACATGTCGCCAATTTTGAGTGTCTCATGTCGCGGTTTCGTTGGAGGGATGGTAAGCCTTGATTAAAGCTGGCAATTCATACCCTGGCAATTCATCTCTCCCTAGTTCGATCCCACGAAATTCCATGAACAATCTAATCAAATCACAATTAGCATCAAAATTCCAATAAAAAACTCATTAAGCCCATATGGCAAATCTCCATTGACATCAATCAGCATAAATAGGTCGCCATTTTTCAGTCTCACCATTGGTGCTGAGAAAAACCATAGAAATCACCATAGAAATCACAGAAATCCATGAAACATCACCGTTGAAATATGCTGAAAAATCACCATTGTTCCATTAAATCACCATAGAAATCCATCGAAAAATCAGCGAAATCCGATCCCGAAGCCTGCCACAAAGTCTCCTTGAGGTGCGCTGATGAAGCTCAAGTCCTACACCGACGGCTGAATTATCGATGTGGATGGTTGATGGATGGTCAATGGTTAGATAGATAGATAGCTAGATAGATAGATAGATAGATAGATAGATATCATACTACCATGGTTAGATAGAAAATACAACCATGGTTTATGCAAAAATATATAACATATCTATCTAACCTATGGTATTCGTTTGTTTAACCAACTTTACCTTGGTATTGTAGTGTTTGGGAACCTACGGTATCTAAAGTGAGCCAGTGCTAAACCAGAAAGTCGCCTGGGCAGGGGATTTGATACAATACAGTATTGGGGGTGGATGGGATTATATCCAGTATCTGGTTGGTGGTTTCAACCCCTCTGAAAAATATGAAAGTCAGTTGGGATTATTATTCCCAATATGTGGAAAAATAAAACATGTTCCAAACCACCAACCAGAGTATACATGAACTATGAACTAAATGCTTTGTAGCCGCTTCTTACATCTTCTTACTGGGATAGATGTTTGAGGTTGTAGACTTATGATGCCCTATGGCTCTCTTCTGGGCATTCCATTGCAAAAACTTCGGTCCCGAGACTCTGATTCCTTAAAGAAAAAAGTATATAGTTTGATCCCAAGGGTTTCTCCATAATAGCAACATATCGTCATGTACATATGTACTTTAGATTATATATATATGGGTAAATTATAATATTTCACTAACCTGAATAGTTGGGCCATTTGGGGATGATTTCCCTGAAATAAACCATGATTCCAGGGTTCGGTCGCGACGTGAGGTCGTTATAATTTACCCAGATATATGTATGTATAATAATAATAATCTATAATCTTGGTGTATACCCTCTGGTAAACTAACATAACTATGGAAAATCACCATTTTTAATGGGAAAACTCATTATAAATGGCCATTTTCAATAGCTGTGTTAGTTTACCATAGGGTAGTTGTATTCACATGGAAAAGTTGACCATCTCAACTGGCCTTATGACATAAGCAAATCATACTTTTTCGGGGCTATCTAACAATTACAAGGTGGTGCCCCGCGCCACAACGGCGACCACAAACTGGAACAGTTGGAGTATGTTGGAGTTATTTGCACCAACTCAGCCAACATCAATGAGTTATCCTTTGGTAGACTCACATAGCTCTGGAAGCCATGGCCCATTTATCGATTTACCATGATTTACCTAATTAAAAGGTGATGTTCCATAGCTATGTTAGCTTATTGGAGGGTATACATGCCATTTTCCACTGGTTACATCTCCATTGAGCGGTTCAAGCCGTGGCTAACTGTGGTTAGTGTGCCTTGCTTGCTTCGATCTGCGCCACATGGGCTGCTGCTGACATAAAGAGCATAGCCTAGCCGCATGGGCGTCATGACTTCATCTGACCATGGGGGTATGGGTCAAATTTAAAGATCTGGGGGACCATAGATTTACCATCTGGTTATTTAACATAGCCATGGAAAGATCCACCATTTTTAATAGGTAAACCATCTATAAATGGGCCATCTATACCATGGCTATGTTAAATAACCATAGATTTAAGTCTATTTTCAGAATCCATCCAATAGTTGGAGTACTCATTTTTGACCCATACCCAATAGGTCTTGGATGGTCTTGGTATACACCCAAGCATTTTCTGGCAATATATGTTGGTAGGGGAACTCAGAAAAAACATCCAAACGAAGTTCCTGAGGATTTAAGGGGGAGATATAGGGTGATTTCATGGGGATTTACTGTAATATTACAATATAAAAAAGACAATTGAATACCAATGGGAATGTATATGTATATATATATATGGTATTTAACAGGAATACAATTGGGTATATACTTGTCATGACTTCAAACATGGGATATTTTGCCATGGTATTTCATAGAATGGAATATCACATCATATAACTATATATACACTATAATCTATATATTATCATCATGATAGCACTAAATAATATTGTTAAAACAAAAACATGATTATAGTCGTGGGATATTTAGCCAACACAGATAGATATTCCAACATTATGTTTTCAGGTAAAACCATCTCAAAAGTCACCCCAAGAACTACTGGTGAAAACGGTGTACTAACCATCTAAGTGATCCTGGGGTGAAGTCCATTGAAGTCCCCATCTCGTTGATTATATAGAATCTATCATAATCTCTATAGTCATCCCCAAATTTCATCGAATTTTCGTAGAACAAAATAAGATGCTACTAAAATATAGATTAACAATGATTAACATATATAGTATAGTTATGCTTTACTGTTCTATCTTTTTCTTTTGGGGTGGTTACTATATCCAATCCATCACCATCTCCCAACCTAAGTGGAACCCAGAGTTATCCACCTTCACACAGATGGCCACGGCCATGGCGACAATGTCGAACCTCTGTCTGTGACAAACGGCTCGGCTCCGTGTTCTTCTGGGGATGTCTATGGGGACTTTAATGGGATTCAAATCAGGGGATGTCTTTAAGGGGACTAAAAAATGGGATTCAAATCCGATGGCCTTCCAAACACCAGTGAAATCTCCAGTTTTCCATGGTTTCAATCATGGTAAATCATGGTAAATCCATATAAATTCCATATCTGGTTGGTGGTGCAATGTGCCCATCTTGAAAAATGATGGAGTTCGTCAATGGGAAGGATGACATCCCATATTATATGAAATGGAAAATACAAAAATGTTTGAAACCACCAACTAGCCATTGTTTCATTCGTTGCTGGAACTTGGAACCACCATTGTTTTCCGATATATAAGGGTCAACCGTCAACCATTGGTTTTTCGTGGTCTTGCAACCCCAGAGTTTACCAACAAAACAATGGGGGGTTCATGATCAAAAACGGAAATCTGACCAACAACAAGTGTGTTTTCTACCAACACAGCAATGGTTGGTTGATGACTCAATTTGGCTTTGGGTCAGAAGCCATTCAATCGACTTGTTGTTCACCCCAGATTAGCTCGGATTGATTCATGAACGTTCATAGCTTCGCACATATTAGTAGTAACAGTAGTATGCTTTCGACCAATTCACAATTTTTGGCCAACTTGAACATAATGGTTTAATGGGAATATTCAGTGCGATACCCAACAGATCAATAGGGTACCCCCAAGTTCCAGTGGTATTCCAGTGGTTTATCGTCACTTTCCACAATGAACAGACAATCCCTTATTTCTGGGCAAAGAAACTAGTTTGAAACAGCGTCAACTCACCTGAGCAGTGTTCAAAACGCTGTTTGAAGCTCCAACTAGCTGCCCATCAGGTGAATATGGATACCCATAGTGAGGGGCTCCACCATGGGATTCAACTTCTCTGAGCTTCAAACAAGAAGGAATCCAAAAGAATCGAGAAGAGCAGCACCTGGCGAAAACTTGCTGCCCTGTGAAAACATGGTGGATTTTTCCTCACAACCTTGGTGAGGCCACGAAAAGGAAGGAGAGCGTTTTGTGTCGACTACTAGCTTGGGTGAGTTGATTCGGGATGTAACATGATGCAACTATTGTTTTTTTTCAATTTTGTAGGGCCTCACCTTGCGGCTGACCCGGTAGTCGTCACCTTGCGTCCATACTTCCCCCGACCGCCACCAGGTGAGTCCCGATGCGGCACCAGCAGGGCGAAGATGGCATTCCACATGCCGAAGAGCTCCAGATTGGCAAAAAGCCGACCCAGATCCGGATCCTGCGATCTTAGCCGATGGATAGGCCATGTTTTTTTGGCCAGTCTTCAGTTGGTTTAAAGCAGTTTAAAGCCATAAAAACTCGAGCATACTGTCGCTATATCATGCTCTATCCCACTAACCATAGAATTCACCAAGTTCTGAGTCAAGGATCGACTCAATGGGAGCCTCACCTGGTAGGGATGTGGTGTGTTTACCCAGGATTTGCAAATCATTTCCCAGGCTTTCAAACTTTCCCAAGGGTTTTCCACATCTTTTGGTATGTTTTCCCTTTAATGGGTACATAACCTGTTCTATCTGTTGGAGGTCAAATTGTAACTTTGAAGCATGGATCTCAGATGTCAAGTCATTGGCGGGTCAGGTTTGGACCAATCCAAATGCTAATTTAAACATATTTAAATATTATTGCTGAATTTTGCTGACTAATCAATGTATTTTAACTATTTTTAACTACTATTCAAATATCCAATACATTTGGTCGAGTCCAAATTCAATGTATTTCTGACATCTCTGACTCATCAGTCGGATTGATGTCCGCACTTCTCTCCTCAGTAATCAGGAAGAGCAAGCCAACGATGAGCCTCAGTGCTCTCTCTCACTGTAACAGGCGTCTACAAGCTGTCCATAAATCCTGCAGCAACCCTACTGAGCAGTGTTCCAAAGTCTCTGTCATTCCAGCTATAGCCCTGGTTGCTTAAGAATGGGATTCCATTTCATGAATGATGATCATCCCCAATACCCTCTGGTAATTTAACAGTTTGCTATTGAAAATTACAATTTATAGTGGATTTTCCAATTAAAAATTGTGATTTTCCATAGTTATGCCAGTTTACCAGAGGGTATATCAACGGGAGTAGCCCGTTACTCCCGAATCATCAACCAACAGTTCCGTTGCAAGCAGCGCCAAAGGTTGGGCCAATGGTGGCAGAAGAAACCAGACCTGACGGTTTTGGAGCTGAGCTGGGAGCTGGGAAATCCTGACCTAAATGGAGGTTTTTATATATTTTTATGGGAAAACATCAATGACCCATAGGATATATAATCCCTGAAAATGGAGGTTTTTATATGTACATATAACATGTGGTTAATGGGAAAACATATATTGATGACCCATATAGGATTCATGGTGCTGCTATGGTGACATGGATCCCATCAATAATTATACCCCCTTTATGTTAGCATATATAATATATACCATGGATCCTATGGGTATGTGTTTATGGGAAAACATCAATGATGGGTTGTCCATTGCCACGTTCGAAAAACATCGAAAAACCTTTACTTCCCGGAGACGACGTGGGAGCTGGGTCTTTCTGGGCATTCCAATGGGTAAATCATAGGATGTTCTGCCGGAGTCACATCCGGATGGCACCGTGGCACTATTCGTACTACAAGATTATCCCACCAAGTGATTGACAATCCGGGAAGTCCCCAAATTCTGGGTTATCCAATTGATAACTGGACCTACCCCCAGTGCCAAACCAGCTGAATGTCTTTTCGCTCTCGCTACCTGGCAATAGAAATTTCATGAAAATTCCACCAGTTTACTTCGAGAATTTTCCTAGTTCAATGCCCCCCAATGCTCCATGTATGGAATATTTGCCAACATTTACCTCCTAAGTGACCGAAATGTAGGGACATATTCCATATATTGGACCTGCCATGAAAAGTTCGAGACATTTTTCCGGGGAAAAAAAACAACGCCCCGGGCTCATCCTTAGCTTCCGACCAGCCCTGCTGCAGCGCTGGTCTTGAAGAGGATCCAGAAGACCAGGCTGAAGACCATCAGATCAAAGGCCAGAAGACATGTCAAGGACCTCAGCTAAAAATGGATTAAATTAAGTCGTTAGGCTTCGAGCTGGGAACATCATCAACGAATTACAATAAGTACCTTAAGGCAAATGTGATATATATATATATATATGATATATGGAAATACGAACATGAATAAACATCTGGGCAAATTAGAAGGCCTGAATTGGACATCCAAATTCCACTTGGCCACTTGGCCACTTGGGGGATGATTCTGGTGAGATCCGCAGCAGGTTTACTGGTGAGGGGAAGTGCCTGCAAGGGTTGGGAAGTCACAGATTCAGTTCACATTTATGGATGAAAGTCCAATCAGATTGTATTATCATGAAATATCTATTATTAGATATTATTATTATCTAGAAATGAAACCGCAAATCAGTGATGACGATGAGGATAATGATTTGCGACGACTTGCAACAAAAATCAAAGAAACAAAAATATTGCGGGAGGAACATTCACCTGTCTGTGTCTATATATATATGTGTGTTTTGTTGGTATTTATCCACCAAACATAAACTGTGCAAATGACACGGTGAACCAAACAAAGCTACTGGAGGTAAGCTCAGCAAAGGCCAGGCCTTTAGGAATCCCCACCGATACCGATAGGAAACAAGTTGATTTTAACGTATGAAATCCTTGAAAAGATACATAAAAAAAAAAAACACAATCTCAGCGGTTCACCATGCGCTTTACCTTGATGATAGGCTGGATCTAGGCCGATTGAGATCCAAGAAACACCAAGGTTCTTGCCGCAGCCCCTTCTGAACCTCAGCCAGGGTGAGATTGAGAATAATGACACCGATGTTTCCCCTATTCAGCATACCCATGGCCGATGCTGGATACTATTCAAAACTATGCAAAAACAGTGCCCAAAGTATTATCATGTGGTTGCTCTCCATTCAATACGGAATATAGACATAGATACAACACAAGTACAACATGATACAACCATAGCTCTACTCACCAGCTCCCTCCTAAGCCCTGTGGCAAAATCGCACCTTTCCTTTACCAGTCACTCTTCCAACCCCATCTGAGTATCAAACCTTTCCCCCATTTTAGCAGCAACCTGCCACCGGCATCCCCAAGGTCCACCCAGGCGCATGGGGTTGGTGAAGTATTTCATGACCCGAAAAAACATGCTGCTTGTATATTTCCAGCATATTGTATAATTTGTATAATACTGTTCTGAAAATATGATTGTACTATTCTGACTATTCTCATATATGTTTCACCTTGGATGGGTAAATGCCTATTGTACCAAGTTCTGGGGCTGGGGTATGAATATTCATTTACCAGCTATGTGTTCACCAGAGTATCAGGGTTTTGGCTGCCAAAATAGTTGCTTCAAGAACCACATGTCCACCTAGACCCTCCATTTGTAGCCATGAAAATGCCTGTTTCAGTACTCAAATCATTGGGTAAAATACAAATTTTCATGGCTACAAACGCAGTGTCGAAGTTCCTTTCTCTGTGTCCTTTCAACCACTTCTACCCAGCCACACCTCTGCAATCCTCGATTGTTGCAGTTGGTTTCACTTTGAGCCGCCGTGTCTTCGCCTTGAAACCAGGGGAACATCATCAGAAAACTCCCTGGTTGAATCTGGGTGGGAAGGTTGTTCCCTATGTAGATATGTGATATGTTTTGTGGTTCACCACTTTGACTTTTGGGATTCTTCTCCAACATAGCAATTATATATGTAAATTGAGGTCTCCCAGTTCGAAGTGTTAGTTTCAATCAAACCACGTTAAAAGAATCAAAGATTCCAGCGCTTCTTCTGTTATGTTTCCCTACTTACGTATCAATCACCATGTTTCGTGCTTAAAACACGTTTATAAACCATCAAAAACACTTAGATCGTATCAAATGTTCAGTACGTAGACCATCTGTTGAAATCCTCTGATTGGTGTTTTTTCGCCCTGGCCCTACCCCTCTGAAAAATCATGGAGTGAAAGTCAGATTGGATCATCATCCCAACTGTTGGGAAAAAAACACATGTTCCAAAGCACCAACCAGTCCGGTTCTACCCTCTGGTAATTTAACATAGCTATTGAAAATGACCATTTATAGTGGATTTTCCTAATCATGGTGATTTTCCATAGCTATGTTAGTCATTACCAAAGGGTATCTTCTTGGAGGTTACTATCAAATCCCAACTGTTGTGGGTACAAATGGAGGATCACCAATGGGGGTGGAGTTCAACTCTTATCCAACTTATGGAGGTTAAAATCCCATGGTTGTAGCCATTAATCACATTTAATAACCATATAATATAGTTATAAGTTATAAGTAATAAACCATTAAGAACCATTATTAACCATCATTAACCATGATTATCACATTATACCGTTATTATCTGGGTAAATTATAATATTTCACTAACCTGAAATAAGGCAATTTTGGGATAATTCCCCTTACTAACCATGTTTTCCAGTGAGGTCGCAGTGAGGTCGTTATAATTTACCCAGATTAAATCATTAACCCCAATTCTGCACCTCAAAGCCTCAAAGTAGGTACAATGACGGACCAACAGTTAGAATATAAAACCTTAAGATTTGCTTAGCTGACCTAAGCCGTTCTTCGGGGTATAGGGTATTTGGACCTAAGCCGAAAACCTTGGTCTTAGAATATGGGCTAATGCACTTAGAATATGGCCACTGATGTCAGAAGAACCGATACCATGTTCATCGCGCCGCAAAGATCATGCTCCGGACTTCAATGAAGCAAGACCAAATGATGCATTTACATATATTCTAACTGCAGGAAATGACCACAGGTGTTGCAAGAATACGATATAATCACATTTGGTTGATTCAATTGCTGGAGACAACATTGACTTTCAGGTACTGTGCTGTACCATACTTCAAGACATGTAATCTCACAAATGGAAATTGACTTTGTTATTGTGTCTCTATATTGTGTCGGCGTATTCTAACTGCAGAAAAACCACACAGGAGTTGTAAGAATACGGTACTGCAAAAGATACAACACAGTAGTCACATTTTATTGATTGGGGTGCTTTTGAAGTCCTTGACTTCAAGCATGGTGAAAATTGCATTGCGCAAGTTGTTTGCTGGTATTTTATTTTGTGCGGTTGTGTGGTGCTGCTGGTGTTGGTTGCGAAGTGAGTGAGGGAAAAAAAACCATCCAAACCTATCCATATTCTAACTGCACTTTTCACCACCAGAATTCACAAAGAAAACAAACAAGTTTTACCGTACCAACCGACCTCGGGAAAACTTTGGCCAACATAATTTGCTGTATGTGTATCTTTCAGCATGTTGGAAAACAGGACAGAAATCATGCAAGAACAAACATGGTGAAAATTGCGTTGCGCAAGTTGTTTGCTGGTATTTTGTGCGGTTGTGTGGTACTGCTTGTTGGTTACGAAGTGAGCGATGAAAAAAAAACATCCAAACCTATCCATATTCTAACTGCACTTTTCACCACCAGAATTCACAAAGAAAACAAACAAATTTTACCGTACCAACCAACCTCGGGGAAACTTTGGCCAACATAATCCACTGCATGTGTTTCTTTCAGCATAATGGAAAACAGAACAGAACCCATGCAAGAACAAGCATGGTGAAAATTGCATTGCGCAAGTTGTTTGCTGGTATTTTGTGCGGTTGTGTGGTGCTGCTGGTGTTGGTTGCGAAGTGAGTGAGGGAAAAAAAACATCCAAACCTATCCATATTCTAACTGCACTTTTCACCACCAGAATTCACAAAGAAAACAAACAAATCGTACCATACCAACCAACCTTATTGAAAATTTTGGCCAACACAATCTACTGTATGTGTATCTTTCAGCATGGAAAACAGGACAGAAATCATGCAAGAACAAACATGGTGAAAATTGCGTTGCGCAAGTTGTTTGCTGGTATTTTGTGCGGTTGTGTGGTACTGCTGGTGTTGGTTGCGAAGTGAGTGAGGGAAAGAAACCATCCAAACCTATCCATATTCTAACTGCACTTTTCACCACCAGAATTCACAAAGAAAACAAACAAGTTTTACCGTACCAACCAACCTCGGGAAAACTTTGGCCAACACAATCTACTGTATGTGTATCTTTCAGCATGTTGGAAAACAGGACAGAAATCATGCAAGAACAAACATGGTGAAAATTGCGTTGCGCAAGTTGTTTGCTGGTATTTTGTGCGGTTGTGTGGTACTGCTGGTGTTGGTTGCGAAGTGAGTGAGGGAAAGAAACCATCCAAACCTATCCATATTCTAACTGCACTTTTCACCACCAGAATTCACAAAAAAAACAAACAAGTTTTACCGTACCAACCAACCTCGGGAAAACTGTGGCCAACATAATCCACTGCATGTGTTTCTTTCAGAATAATGGAAAACAGAACAGAACCCATGCAAGAACAAGCATGGTGAAAATTGCATTGCGCAAGTTGTTTGCTGGTATTTTGTGCGGTTGTGTGGTGCTGCTGGTGTTGGTTGCGAAGTGAGCGATGAAAAAAAAACATCCAAACCTATCCATATTCTAACTGCACTTTTCACCACCAGAATTCACAAAGAAAACAAACAAATCTTACCGTACCAACCAACCTTATTGAAAACTTTGGCCAACATAATCTGCTGTATGTGTCTCTTTCAGCATGGAAAACAGGACAAAACCCATGCAAGAACAAGCATGGTGAAAATTGCATTGCGCAAGTTGTTTGCTGGTATTTTGTGCGGTTGTGTGGTGCTGCTGGTGTTGGTTGCGAAGTGAGTGAGGGAAACAAAAACCATCCAAACCTATCCATATTCTAACTGCATTTTTCACCACCAGAATTCACAAAGAAAACAAACAAATTTTACCTTACCAACCAACCATATTGAAAACTTTGGCCAACATAATCTGCTGTATGTGTCTCTTTCAGCATGTTGGAAAACAGGACAGAACCCATGCAAGAACAAGCATGGTGATAATTGCATTGCGCAAGTTGTTTGCTGGTATTTTGTGCGGTTGTGTGGTACTGCTTGTTGGTTGCGAAGTGAGCGATGAAAAAAAAACATCCAAACCTATCCATATTCTAACTGCACTTTTCACCACCAGAATTCACAAAGAAAACAAACAAATTTTACCGTACCAACCAACCTCCGGAAAACTTTGGCCAACAAAATCCACTGCATGTGTTTCTTTCAGCATAATGGAAAACAGAACAGAACTCATGCAAGAACAAGCATGGTGAAAATTGCATTGCGCAAGTTGTTTGCTGGTATTTTGTGCGGCTGTGTGGTGCTGCTGGTGTTGGTTGCGAAGTGAGTGAGGGAAAAAAAACATCCAAACCTATCCATATTCTAACTGCACTTTTCACCACCAGAATTCACAAAGAAAACAAACAAATTTTACCATACCAACCAACCTTATTGAAAACTTTGGCCAACACAATCTACTGTATGTGTCTCTTTCAGCATGGAAAACAGCAGAGAAACTATGCAAGAACAAGCATGGTGAAAATTGCATTGCGCAAGTTGTTTGCTGGTATTTTGTGCGGTTGTGTGGTGCTGCTGGTGTTGGTTGCGAAGTGAGTGAGGGAATAAAACCATCCAAACCTATCCATATTCTAACTGCACTTTTCACCACCAGAATTCACAAAGAAAACAAACAAGTTTTACCGTACCAACCAACCTCGGGAAAACTTTGGCCAACATAATCTGCTGTATGTGTCTCTTTCAGCATGGAAAACAGGACAAAACCCATGCAAGAACAAGCATGGTGAAAATTGCATTGCGCAAGTTGTTTGCTGGTATTTTGTGCGGTTGTGTGGGGCTGCATACACATGCAACATTGCACATATATCATATGTTCATATTCTATCTGCATATGTTGTTTGCATATTCTATCTGCTGTTTGGGGTCTTAGGTTTTTAGGTTTTTGTCCATATTCTATCTGTGACCTAGAAGTTTTTCATATTCTATCTGTTCGTCCAACATAGTACCTATCTTTCAGCCCTAGATCTGGGCCCTGCCATGCCGTGCCTATGTTGCTGGCGGAATGGCGTAGCAATTCATTGAAGGCCTTGAAAGAGTTCAACGCTCAAAACAATGGATCTGGATAAATTGATGGGGGTTAAAAGGCATTTTCGTACCGATTTAATGGGATTTCATGGGATTTTGATGGGATTTAATGGAATTGTCATGCTGATTTAATGGGATTGGTGATATCTGTGGATAATTTTCATCAGAATTCACTAACCTCAAAACTTCGGCCATTTGGGAATAGTGACCCGAATCCTAGCCTTCATTTGAAGTGACGTCGCAGTGAGGTATGAAATTTATCCAGATGGATGCGTTTTACCAACCAAGAAATGCATGGGTTTTGACCATTATATAAACATGGGGATACAACTGGATTTAGCCATGAACAATTAATTGGCACCGAAACAGTGATTTCATTGTGAATTCAACCGTTGGCAAATTTCTGAGATTTTGAAGACTTTGAAGGGAACCGTTTACAGGAAATCATGTTTTTAAAACCCCGGAAATTGATCCAATTCCAAGAGAAGTGAACTGAATGGGCACGAATTGGACAGTCGCCGATTCGGAAAATTGGAGATGAACTTGGCCCCAGTGAAGGAATTTTTGGGCATGATTCACAAACATGTATAAACAATGTCTGTACTCTTTACCCCAAGTAGATAGTGGAATGCTATGTGGGTGTGATCAAATAATTCAGATGTGGGTGTGTCCCTATTTTCAGGTCCCAAATTTCAAGTTGCAACTTGATCAACGTATGCTAACATATCGAAACTATTTACCACATACCTTGGGATCATCATCGGAATGGACACCCAGCTGGAAGTGAACTTCAGTATTTGAAACGCATAGCCGCTTTTTGAAACTATCCTCATTTCATTCCTGAAATCCCAAACACCCAGAAATGAAATAAATGGTCGTTTCCCCTTTGGTAGTGACAAATCCCTACATAAAAGATGGTGTGAACATTGGGTGAACATGGGTGAACTGGGGTTTCCCTACCCTAAAATTTCTGGCTGTTTGGGGTTCCAGGTACTTAAATCTGACAAACATCCTTAAAATTCCCCGTGAATTAAGTCCCATTAAATCATCCCATAAGAATATCATCCCATTATCATCCCCTTATCATCCCCTCATCATCCCAATAACTGGTGGTTTCAACCTACGAAAAATGATGGAGTGAAAGTCAGTTGGGATCATGACATTCCCAATATGATGGGAAAGGCGACGAGTCAATGCATTGAGACAATCTGCGATCGTATCCATCAGGCAGATCTAAAGACTGGGGACCAGCAACTGTGGCTAGTCTCACACTGATGGCTAAAGGCCAACATCTTGGAAACCATAGATTAACCATAGATTAACCATAGATTAACCATAGATTAACCATAGATTAACCATAGATTAACCATAGACTAACCATAGATTAACCATAAATTAACCATAGATTAACCATAGATTAACCATAGATTAACCATAGATTAACCATAGATTAACCATAGATTAACCATAGATTAACCATAGGTTAACCATAGGTTAACCATAGATTAACCATAGATTAACCATAGATTAACCATAGATTAACCATAGATTAACCATAGATTAACCATAGATTAACCATAAATTAACCATAGATTAACCATAGATTAACCATAGATTAACCATAGATTAACCGTAGATTAACCGTAGATTAACCGTAGATTAACCATAGGTTAACCATAGATTAACCATAGATTAACCATAGATTAACCATAGATTAACCATAGACTAACCATAGATTAACCATAGATTAACCATAGATCAACCATAGACTAACCATAGATTAACCATAGATTAACCATAGATTAACCATAGATTAACCATAGATTAACCATAGATTAACCATAGATTAACCATAGATTAACCATAGACTAACCATAGATTAACCATAGATTAACCATAGATTAACCATAGATTAACCATAGATTAACCATAGACTAACCATAGATTAACCATAGATTAACCATAGATTAACCATAGATTAACCATAGATTAACCATAGATTAACCATAGATTAACCATAGATTAACCATAGATTAACCATAGATTAACCATAGATTAACCATAGATTAACCATAGACTTAGATTAACCATAGATTAACCATAGATTAACCATAGATTAACCATAGATTAACCATAGATTAACCATAGATTAACCATAGATTAACCATAGATTAACCATAGATTAAACCATAGATAGATTAACCATAGATTAACCATAGATTAACCATAGATAAACCATAGATTAACCATAGATTAACCATAGATTAACCATAGATTAACCATAGATAAACCATAGATAAACCATAGATTAACCATAGATTAACCATAGATTAACCATAGATTAACCATAGATTAACCATAGATTAACCATAGATAAACCATAGATTAACCATAGATTAACCATAGATTAACCATAGATTAACCATAGATTAACCATAGATTAACCATAGATTAACCATAGATTAACCATAGATTAACCATAGATTAACCATAGATTAACCATAGATTAACCATAGATTAACCATAGATAACCATAGATTAACCATAGATTAACCATAGATTAACCATAGATTAACCATAGACTAACCATAGATTAACCATAGATTAACCATAGATCAACCATAGACTAACCATAGATTAACCATAGATTAACCATAGATTAACCATAGATTAACCATAGATTAACCATAGATTAACCATAGATTAACCATAGATTAACCATAGACTAACCATAGATTGACCATAGATTAACCATAGATTAACCAGGAAAATTCCATGGTTCCAGTCACCACCAACCAAATCCCAGGAACTCCGAGACCTATCGCTATATGATCCCCATGGATTCCCGCGCGCTTGCGCGCGCCTGGAGACTCATGGGAGTGGTCAATGCTTGCGCCTCCAAGGAATCCAGATTTCGGATGGGAGAGACCAATTGTTTGGGCTGCTGTTCATGGGATGTTCATAATTTTTCGTAGAATTTCATTGGATTTAACGGGATTCGAATCGGATTTTACGATATTTTATGGAATTTCATGGGATTTGAGTGGGATTTTAATATGTTTAATCAGGCAAACATTTTTCAGAGCTCAGCGTCGCGGCTCTGGGAGTTCATCCGCAAGATATGGAGCTACCCCAAAGCATCGGTTTCCCCATGGAGAAGAACCAGTTGATGATTTTGGGCTACCCGAAAAATTGAGGAAACACCCAACTTGTGCAAAGAATCAGGAAGATCAAGCGGACTAAAATCTTGTAAGTAATCAATACGGTCATACATAACCAACAAGAATGCAGGTCTAAGAGGCAAAAGAGGGGCGTGTAACCAATTAATCATGGGGATTGCACCACATGGCAAACTTCCGTGGCCCAGGATTCCCAGTTCCATTGAAGAATCACCCAAGAGATCCACTCAATGATGATCTCGATGGCTGTAAGCTGGTGAAACCAAAATGATCAAAATGGCTCCACATTACGGCTGGGCTTTAAACTTTGAACATGCGAAAAAACATGGTGATTTCACGGTGATTTCCGGTCGTTTTCCTTAATGTTCTTATCCGGTTTGTTGCGGACATTCACATGTTTACTGTGCTCAATGTTTTTTTATTGCTTGGCGGCTGCCATGTTTTCTTGGAAACAGATTCTATTTTATTGATTTAGTGATATGACTGCATACCATCCAAACGGCTTTGGCTTTGCATGGCACCTTGGCCGGCGTCGACTCTGCCGAGCTCACTGACTCTGCCAGACCTTGCTGGAACGTGAAAATTCATGGGGATTTCCAAAAGGACACATACATTCAGCATCATTCAGCTTCCCTTTTCAGTTCGTGGCCTACCATGTCCTACTCCATTTCAAGGAAATAACTGAAACAGTTTCAAAGGCACGCGCAAGTTCCTTGTTTTTACCTGCACTTCGAGTCGTTGTTGAGTCTCAACATGGCAAATCAGGGCGCAGGTCTGGGATCAGAATCTTCCCTTCGATGGCCAGCTGCAAGCGGCCAACTCGTTGCATTGGAATCAACCCGGCTGGTACTTCAGTGACTTCTGTATCGGTGAAGTTGGCAAGCTGCCCGTAGGACAGTTCACTGTTGTTGGGTCTTGTGCGGATCAAATGTTGTAACCAAGAGTTCCCATGTCACCGGGCCAAACAAGGTACTTGCAAACATTGCCGAGAATATTTGCAGCTGGATCAGCAAGGAACACGTAATCAATTCCAGGATGAATATTCCATTTCATAGAAGCAGCATCGCCAAGGAAAACATGTGGCCACCCCCGGCTGCACAATGACGGTGCCAGTGATTTGCAACATCCGAATCGAAGTCCTTCAACCTGTAAGCATCATCGCAAATGAACATGACGATACATGACGTATGAATACTGAAATCCTGCGCCTTTTTTCTTTGTACTTCAACTTGTTGCCACAACATGTTGATCTCTTTGTGCATGTGAACAAAATTGCGAGGAGCAAATGGCCCACGGTTTCTCGAAAAAAACCGCAGTGGGCGTAACCAAATCGCTTCCGTTGATGAATGACCGATCGTCCGCACTGGTGTCGTAGTGGTTGAACACCTTCGAACACACAACATCTGCACCAAACGTCTTGAGTTTTTTAGCTATGGCTATGGCGGCATCAAGATCTTGTCGTTCAACCTTTGACAACGTTGGATCTGGTTCAAATGTTGCTGCCTTGGGTTGCCATGCGGCATTGCCTCCGAGGTTACCATCGTACAAGTAGAAATCATCTACCTTCCAACCTGCTTTGAGTAGAGGTGCAATCAAATGTTCCAAATGTTCAGCTGTGGAATCCAGGCGATATCTTGCCACAGCTGCCATTCAAGTAGCGATTAGTAGCTGTGAATCCCAGCAAGGTCCTCAGTGATACATTGCTTCGACCTGAAACGTCACAGGAAATGGAACATGGTCGCGGCATGTCGAGCAAACTTTCAACGGCGATTTTTTTCATCAAACTGGAGCAAACACGCCAGCGTCTGTAAATTCTGATTTCCAATGCCTAACAATTCCGATGGACATTCCAAACTATGGACGTTTACAAAGAAATATTACTGTGAACATCTGTGAACGTTGTGAATTTTCAAAGTAGGTGTGAATTTGGATGCTTGGAACGGGGTACAGTTGGAGGGTACGGTTTTGAGGTCATTGTGCGCTCATGGTACGGTGCAGTGCTACGGGTCATAGCACGGTATGATGATAAGTTTTTGTTGCATAGTGCGATATGATACTACTGTACTGGGGTATGATATGGTACTGTGAAATATTTTGAAGTCATTGGGATAAAGGTGGTGTACATTTAAATCTTGGCAGAATTTGATTATCGTAGATTGTTTAAGTGAACATGATCATAAACCATAGAAACCTTATCGTCATTGCTGAAATAGTAGTTCTTGCTCTACACCCTAAAAAACGGATCCGTGTCCGGCGGAGGAAACCATTAGACTCACAAAAATAAGCGCCGTAAATGATGTTCATGTCGTAAAGATCTCAGGATACGACAGCTTATTTCGCCAGAATATAATGTACAGTATCTTATCCTATTTTATCTTGTCTTATCTTATCTAGATTCAAAGGTTTTGCTCAATAGGCTACCCCGATGGCCCTTTGAGGCCTACACAGAAACTCGCACAAACAATGACAAGAACAGCATACTTTAGTGCAAATCAACATCAAAAACAACAACAACAACGACAACGACAACAACAACAACAACAACAATCGTCCCTTAAATGTATGAACATAACATATGCTCGTCATCGAAAAGCAAGTGTCGCAGTCGTATTGTTGAAAACGATCAATATTTGAAACGTTTTGAAACCACTAACCAGTTTATGTGTTTCTATCAAATTGGCTTTCTCAAATTGGGTTTTCTCTAAAATGAAAATACCGCTCGATGCGTCTTGCTGGGCATGCCATCAGCACTTTGTGTCCCCAAATTGTTGGTTTACTCCCCGGTATCCTCCGGTGTCATCAAACGTGGCACTGGAAAATCACCTATAAATGGAGGTGGATTGTCCATTGGTTTAGTCGGTTTATTTTTTGGAAAGTGCCCCCTTCTGTATGAAATCCCAAGAGTTGTGCCACTTTGATTGGACTTTTGCTTGGCGTGTGGGATGTCTTCTCTAGCTGGGTTGGTCTGAAAATGGATGCTATACCCTCAAAATGAGCATTTTAATGGAAATTATGGGTATATCAATTTTTTGATATTCATGTTTTAATGGAAATTATGGATGGTATACCCGAAAATGGATGATACTATCATGTGGTTTGGAAATTTTGGAAACTCAAACAGTAGCTCCGGACAGCTCCCCACAATATGCGGGAATACTTTCGAGCTCCGGACAGCTCCCTCCGTTCACCGATAAATCAGTTGATTTGGAGATACCCATGGATACCCTCAAACAAACCCAGAAGTGTCACACTTCTCGGGTTATTCCCACCCGCCACCAGCATCAAATTCTGGAGAACATCGGATAGCTATGCTTCCCTATTAACCTTGACCATCCACTTTCAGTGGCTAATGGGAAAAAACAATGCAAATGCTATAAGTTTCACTGGACATATTGATCAGAGCACACCAAAATCCCAGTCTCATCATTAATGCTCCCATTTTCCCTATGAAAATCGCAAATTTTTGGGCAGCCAACCATGGCTAATCCATATGCTGCCAGGTATCTCGCAAGGGTTGAGAATTGAGTGAAAACTAAGCACAGTCCTTGGTAGCTTGGGCTTTGGATAGAGAATTGGATGCTTCCCTGGAAGTTGAGCAAATGGTAGATGGTAGACCTGAGAATAATTCATGGTTCTACGATGGTTCCAAAATGTTCTAAGATTTTCCAATTTTGTTCTAAGATGTTCGAAGATGTTGCAGTTCAATAAATAGTTAGTAATTAAAGATTGTTGCCACTAAAGAATCACAGCAACTGATGCTGTACAAGTGCTTGATAGATGCTCCAGTCATCTTTCTGAGATGAAGAGCATGCCACTTCCATCGTGCAAAGCTCTATGATGGTCGATGTCCAACTAGAATGCCCCTAAGTTGGTTAAAATATCATTTATTAAGGTGATGTTCAAAATGTATTTATGATATATATATATAAATAACTATATATATATACATAACATCAACAAACATCACTGGGCACCTTTTTTGATCAATGAAAGTGGGTCGTTTCACCGGCAGTCGCAAGGCTGTTTGAATCCGGAGTTGCGCTGGTTGTCAGCAGCTCTGTAGCCCTTTGATCAAATTTAACCTGTCCCAGTACATCATTCCAACCACCATTGATCAATCATTGATGGTTTGAAACCCATCAAGAAGGGTTACCCTCTGGTAATTTAACATAACTATGGAAAATCACCATTTTTAATGGGAAAACTCACTATAAATGGCCATTTTCAATAGCAAACTGTTAGTTTACCAGAGGGTAAACTGGTTAACTTGGCGCCCAGTGCTTGAAAGTTTACCCTCTGGTAATCAAACATGGCAGCGGAGTATACAGCACTCCACTCCGCGTTTCGATGATTTGCCCAGCGAACGAAACCTCGATCGTGGGTTTCCGATTGCCATCTTTGATCACGGGAGGGTATATCCCATTAACATCCCAACATATCCCATTAACATCCCATTGATGTCCCATTCATTTGCCATTGATACCCTATGAAGACCCCATTGATATCACATTAATATCCCACAATCAATGGAAAACTTCGCACAAGACTCGAAGTTCACTTCTTTTGGTCCTCCTTGACCGAAGGGAGGCGTTGGCATTGCTTTGCCCCTGGAGCATTGGGCTAGAAGACCTTGGGTTGTCCATGGCCCATGGCTATATATATATATATCAATTTATAAAATAGCCAAGATACATCAAGATTCCATAGTAAACCTGGTTTGATATTGGGGAGTTTTTTTTATGATAAACAACCCAACATGATGTGGGGAATAAAAATCAAAGCTAGGTACGAACACACATAAGCAAAGCAAAGAAACTTGTGCTTCTGTGGATCCCAAAAATTTGACTCATGTCCACGTGTATCTACAGTAGAGTCTGTTGAAACCAAAGTCTCTACCAGAACTATTGGAGCCATGGTCAAAACATGGTCAGAACGATATGATGGCCATGGTCATCCGTCCCATACTGGGAATCCTTATGCTGGATGTATGAGTACCTATTAATGGAAAGATATGGATTGATGACCAAAACTCCCCAATTCAAGGGTGTATGATCAATCTTTTTGCGGCACAGAATTGCAGCCATTTATACGGAATTGCAGGCAGCTCCACTAGCAAATGTTGAATCGATGAGCAGTCAAATCAAGCAGCCACAACCTCTCTATGTTCACTGCCCATGGGATTTTCAAAGCAACCACACCTGCTCCACCAGGTCCATGAAACTGTTCTCCGACGTCACATCGCCCTAGAGGCCATGCAGCGAAGTGGGGGAAACTGGACACTTCTGAATCTTTGAATATCTTTGGATCAACCCTCCAAAGTTGGGTATGCTCATGTATGTTGTCACAGTAATGCGATCAGCGCTGTCCCGCTTTTTGAAACCGCGGGAATCAGCGGCATTTTGATTCAGGTACAAGAATCACAACAATCGGTGGATAATGTATGGTACCTCTCGCCTGAATTCTAAGATCTAAGTGGAGAGGGGCATTGTGTAGAATTGTTGGAAAAGCTCAAGGGGAGTTGTGTAGAATTGTAGAATTCATTTATAATTTAACACTGCATCCCATCGTATCTCAGTGAAATCATACTAAGTCATGAATTCTTTAAGGAATGACATCACCATATGTTCCCGATAAATCGATTGATGTTGATCTAATTTGTTGAACCCAATAATGGTATCCAATCTATTTCCCAATAAATCAATTAGTTTCCCATCTATGGGTGAAGCTGTGTAAATAGATTGATATAATCGATATCCCATGATACTCCCACGAATAGACCATTAATATTCCATCATCAATCCACAAAATACATAGTCTATTGATGTTCCATTAAGATTCAAATGTGTATTGCGTATTTACGGAATATTCATTGCATCTGAAATGACCATTACATGATGATTCCATTGGATAACTGGGTAATATGTCTTATAATCCCATTATATATATATATTTATTTATTTATTTGATAAGCTGATCAACTAGGATGCTCCCGTTTGATATATTAATATAATTATATAATCACATTGTTCCACTATCATTCTAATTGATATTTTAAACCCAATTAATAATCATCCATACATGGATGAATTTGTGGAATCATGTTGATAATCCCATATTCCATTAATGGATTAATTAGACCCATTATTATGGATATATCTATGTATATGGAGGTTTCCTGGAATGGGAGTACCCCCAAATCATCCATTCATAGATGGAGTTTCCAGTAAATTATAAATCATTCATTTTGGGATCCCCCCTTTATGGAAACATATCTATCCCATCATATCTATAAATGGGACAACAAAAACATCACCACCCTCCTCCACATCTAATTGGTGGTTTCAACCCCGAGAAAAATATGAAAGTCAGATTGGATCATCATCCCAACTATTGGGGAAAATAAAAATTCATGTTCCAAACCACCAACCAGGGAATATCATGGAATATCATGGAATATGAAAGTCAATGGGAAGGATGACATCCCATATAGTATGGAAAACAACATTCATGTTTGAAACCACCAACCAGAAATATGTCTTAACTACTCAACCATGGTTTCTGGGGGATGTTTAACTACCCACCAGTATATAGCGATATATGGTTAAAAGCTACTTCTATGATTAATATGGCTACTACATGGTTACTTTACATATTCTGGTTGGTGGTTTCAACCCCTCTGAAAAATATTAGTCAAATGGGAGTATTATCCCCAATATATGGAAAACTAAAAAATCTTCCAAACCACCAACCAGAGTATACATGAAATATGAACGTTCAATGCTTTGTAGCCGCTTCTTACATCTTCTTACTGGCATAGATGTTTGAGGTTGTAGACTTATCTGGTTGGTGGTTTTAACCATATTGAAAAATATTAGTCAATGGGAAGGATTACCCCATATATTATGGAAAATAAAAAATGTTTGAAACCACCAACCAGTTATGCCCGTAACACTTTTCTATGATATATTCCCGCTGCCGCCTGTGGGCTCTGCGTTGGACTCGCCACGCTGCCCGTGGGCGATGCCGCCGGAGCCGCAGCAGGCCGGCTCGGTCGCCCTGGAATCCACGATGGATACCATGGAAGTCGTCGATCTTTTTGAGCAGCAAACATGGATAAACATGGTGATTTCATGGAACGAGGTTTGAATGAGGTTTGAATGGGATTTCATGGGATTTGATGCGATTCTACTCGTAAATTTCATGGGATTTGATCGGATTTAATGTGATTCTAATCGGAGTTTTGATGGGATTTTATGGCATTTAATCGGATTCAATGGTATTTAGCTTGCAAAGTTGCTGGGGTTACAAATAACCCCTGATAACTGGATATATTTCATGGATTATCACCCACTACATGTCACATCTAAGCAGGTGCTGTGTGCATCAAACATGCTCAAAACCATGACATGTTACTTACTAATGGCTGCAAATTGCAATCAGATAAACAAGGCTCTAAGATTTGCTCACCAACAACCAACCGTTCCTCTTGGTTTCGATCAAAGGGTACACATACGGCGGTTTTCCAGAACGACGACCACATGACAAGTGAGAAAAACCGTCATGACCCACCTTGGATCCAGTCGGCTGACCCAAAAATACAATGTGAGGCCCCCAAGATAGCGTTCAGTTGGTTTATAACTCCAATAACTATGGTTTATGGTACTTATAACTATAGTTACTGGGGCTTATAAACCAACTTATAACTGGGGGGCCTCACATTGTAAGGATCGAAGATGATCCAACCTGATCTAACCCATAGTTCTGTCATATCCTATCCATCTCTATCCCTATGCCAATCCTATCCCCATTTTTGGGCTCTCTTGAAACACCATCCACACCTCGTCGGTTTATAGAGATGACGCAGGCTTGTACACACCCAGCGAGCCTAGGCTCCAGGCTCCGCCCCCGAACAGTTGGCCTAACCTCCATGAACAACCCAACTCTTATAACCCCCTTGGGTCCATTAACAGTTGGGGGACCTAACCTCCAGGACTCCATGAACAACCCAAATCTTATAAGCCCCTTGGGTCCATTAAGTTGGGGGACCTAAACCCATTAATGGTCCATGATACTTATAACTACGGTCCAAGGTATCATTGACACAGCATGGGGAATCACCAACTTGGTCATCCAAAAGGTCCCCACACAAAGTGGGAAGCAACCCTGCTGATGTTGTTTTGGTGCGTGAATGTTCTTTCGAAATAAAACATAGTTCAAATAAGCATGGTGAACACATCAAACTCAGTATCCATGGGTAACTTGGTTTTAAACAAGTGTTTTACTTCCTACTATCTATGTGCGATTTTGCGGGAAGTAGCGGAAGTAGATCAAGTTGAAACATACCCCGGCAACACAAACAGCTACCACAAGTGCATACAACCTGAATTCCCAGTCTATTTTGTGGGGTCACTTCACACCAGCGAGGTTTGATGATACCGCTCACATCCGCTCACGGACCGTGCTGGATGGCTGGGCCGCACGGGATGCATGAACTGCAAGTGGGTCATAATCTTTTTTGAGCCAGTGTCAAGCTAGTTACTAAACGGCTGCTAGTTACTAATCAGCTAAGGAATCCAACCATCCAACCGTTGATGTGGAGCTCTTTGAGACGGCACCATTTTTCGGATGTGGACCGCTGAAAGCTCGTGTGAAATATCCCTGTTCTTAGTGATTCGAAGCTTCTGAACTATAGGATATACAACTTATATGCATATTGCACATATATATATATATATATTAACATATATATATATATATATTAATATATATATATATATTAATATATATATATTAATATATATATATATATTAATATATATATATATATTTATTATTATTATTCTCATGTATGTATACACATGTTATATATACATTTAATTTATACTATATATATATATATACGTATATAATAATTGATTGTGTGCAAAATATGTGTGGATGTGAATAGGTTTCTATTCCCACCTTCTGACTCCCCTCCTTTTAGCCAAGCTTCCCGCACTGGGACGCGCATTGTTCCACGGTTTCATGCAGCTGTTGCAGTGAGTCGTCTTCATCTTTACGCAAGTCGTCCTGTTGTGAGACATACCCGGGCCTATTGTTGTGATTTTGCGATGCAAGGCTAGCTTGCTGGAGGGTAATCTTGTAATTAACAATGAGAAATCTCTATGGCCACTGCATATTTGATCGACACTCGGGACACAGCCTTTGGCAGTCATCCAACAATCACCGGGAGAACTGGCATTCACAAGGGTGAATTCGCTACAGTGTGAATGGCTTGTACAACTCGCGAGGTGCATCACCACGTCTGTTGGTGAGTCTCCACATGGTTCTTGAAGATATGGCTGCTGGTTTTATAGACACCCTGCAAACAAGTTAACTTGAGCCGCTTGGCACTGTATTACTCTCTGGTAATCTACCATAGCTATGCAAAAACACACTAAATCATGGTAAATCATGTGATTATCATCTATTTTCATGGGCCATGAATTCCGCAAAACGTTCCGTATTACCCTCCCATTCCCATCATGTTTACCCTCTGGTAAACGTTTACATAACTATATGGAAAGATCCACCATGCTATTGATGGCTAAATCCACTATTTCGACTGGGCCATTTTCTTTGTCGCAAACTCTTAGTTTCCCAAAGGGTACCCATTGCTATGGCAACCCGTTGAAGACGTCGTCCCCAGCACAGCACCTGTTGAATCTTCCGCGCGGCGCGGTTGAAGGTGGAGATCACCGACAGGACGGCCGTGGCACCGAAGTCCGTGTGCTCCAAGAGTTGCAGCACCGGGTCACCTGACATCCCCCATCATGGGAATATATATATATATATGTGTGGGTATATAATGGGTATCCTTTGGGTAGGGTAGAGAAAGATGGGATATCTAGTTGTTTTTTTTGTAGATCACCAATGAATTGTTATTTTAGATCCCCAAATACGGGTGTACAATTTGTACTATCAACTTTTCACCCTGAAATAAAAACACTGAAACTTTCCCTGATTTCACCTAAAGAGCCTGGGAGTAGGATGGATGGGACATCGGAAATAAAAAAAATACCAAGACCCGATTCTCAAAAGACTAGAGAAGAAAACAATCATATTGCTGTCAAACACCAACGTTTCCGTATATTTTTGGTAGTTTTTTTGGTGTAAACGTGTTCAAAACATGTCAAAACCCTCATTTGAAGCAGTTTCTCTCTTTCTCTCTATTTTTGCAGCACTTTCTTATCTTCCTGGCTGCCCTTGCTGCCCTCGCAGCATTTGCCGCCAAAGATCTGATGTCAACCTCGAAAGGGTCGGAAAATGTGCCCTGGCCCTGTACAGGAATGAGCCAGGCATCTTTCAGCAGGTTCACCTTAGAGGGGCAGCCCGCAGCTTCCGAAGCTTCCGAAGTGGCTTATTCCCATCTGTAGATAGATGTTGAACATATACGAGTAACATGTACAAACAATTATATATACAAATAACATATATATATATACATGTATCAGATATATATATATATACACACATAGTATAAATACTTATACATATACATAATATATGTATGTATGTATGTATGTATGTATGTATGTATGAATGTATGTATGTATGTATGTATGTATGTATGTATGTATGTATGTATGTATGTATGTATGTATGTATGTATGTATGTATGTATGTATGTATGTTATATATATATATATAGGTTATATATAAGTTATATATATATATATGTTATATAATATATATATATGTATCTTATATATATATAAATGTTATATATATATAAATATATATTATATTTACATATACACATAGTATAAATAACTATACATATACAATATATATATATATATATGTTATATATATGTTATATATACATATGTTATATATATATATATGTCATATATATATGTTATATATATATATGTTATATATATATATGTTATATATATATATATGTTATATATATGTTATATATATGTGTGTGTATGTTATAAATATATATATATTATATATTTACATAATATGCAATATACATAATATATAATACATACATAATATATATATATAGATTATATATATATGTGTAGATTTACATAATATATATAATTCATGCTATATGTATATATATATATACATACATAGATAATGTATGTATATACATATACAATAATATATATATATATACCTAAATCATATAATCATTATATATAATTTAGATATTCATGTTCAATTACACTAAAACCCCCAAAAAAACCCTACATCTGGTCTTTTATTTTCCTGTTCAACATGGAACTCCGCCCAGTGACTGGCGCCCAGTCCAAGCGCGATCGTGCGAAGTCCAAGACATCGAAATGGGCCAAGGTCGCCTTGGCGTCGCAGCCGAAGCGCAGCACCAATTCCTTCCCTGGCGCTACCGTGGCAGCGAAGCTGTTGAAGGTGACCATGTGGGAATGTCTGGGATGTCTCTGTATATAATAATTATTATATATATATATATATTTATCTGTGTGTGTGGGTGTGTCGAGTTAATTCGAGTTTCACTTTCATCCATTTTCAGAGCTAATTCCGGCAAATGGGCCATATCGTTTTAAAAAAAAACCATTGGATCCCAATTAAATCAATATTAAATCCCATTTTCAGAGGTAATTCTCGCAAATGGCCAGTTCCGCAATCCCACTAAATCCACATATTTCCCCCATGCTCGTTCAAATGTTCATCCACCTTAACCACCACCTTCGACCCGCCGCGCTCGCCACCTGGCTCCCGAATCCAGGTCCACAGCCGTTCGCTGTCGCAGAACTCCATCAGTACCTTCTGCACCTTTGGAAGTCGCGTCAAAGGATGGCCCCCCGAAATATACGAAATATAGAGATGTGTACGACTTAAGATAAAAGGTTTCAATAAATATAAAACTTCATATCATGTTATAATATGAAAATAATTAACATTCATTCCCATAGGATCCATGGTGCTGGTATATATGCTAACATTGGGGGTATATTGATGGTAAATGTTACCATATATAGCATACATGGATCCTGTGGGATTGATAACTATACCAATTCATTCCAGACCTTTCAGCATCCCAAGGGTTTTTTCCCGGCCTTCCTGGCTCGCCGCAAGCGCTGCCAGCGCGCCACCAGCGGCGCCAGTGGGGGATAGAGGTGCCGCAAGGCGCTAATCAGATGACCCGACACCCGACTCACCTCGAAGCGCGCTTCGAAGAGTGGTAAAACTGTGAAGAATTGGGGGATTTTTTGGGTGGATTTCATGGGAAGAACTGGGATTTTTTGGGGCAGTTCATGGGAATACTATACATACAATGTGAGGCCCCCAAGATAGCGTTCAGTTGGTTTATAACTCCAATAACTATGGTTTATGGTACTTATAACTATAGTTACTGGGGCTTATAAACCAACTTATCACTGGGGGGCCTCACATTGTGTATATATATACTGGTTGGTGGTTTCAATCCCTCTGAAAAATATGACGAATCGTCAGTTGGGATCATGACATTCCATTCCCAATATGATGGGAAAGTCATAATCCAGCCATGTTCCAAACCACCAACCAGTATATATATATATATCCTCTGATCATTTCACATAGCGAAGCCATGGCCCATTTGATTCGCTACGGTATCATCTTTCCATGGAAGTTGTTTGTCGCTGGGAAACTCATCGAACTGTCTATTGCCATGTTTGATTGCCAAAGGGTAGCAACTATATCTCCAGAAAAGATAGTCTCCAGAAATTTGCCTATTTTTTTATCATATTTTCTATATCCAAATAGGGAATTCCTGGAGTGGTAACTAAGTAGTAACTATATCTCCAGAAAATGCAATGCTCTGGACAGTTTCCTTCTGGACTGCCAGGTGGCTGAACTAATCCATTAAAGAAAAAAAACAATAACAACCTAGTGGAATCAAAATCATTAACAATGCTCAGTATATGATTAGTCACCAGTTATATCCAATTATAATCAACTAGGTAAAATACCCGGTTGGGTCTGGGGTCACTGGCCAGCTAAAGTCAATGAACTAGCTCCATGGACCATCAAAGTCCCTGGATGTATTTGTTGGTTTATAACCCCAATCAACTATAATTATAATCACCATACACCCAGCAAATCCATAGTCAGCTATATAGTTGGAATCAGCATCAAAGCTAGTTCCAGCATAATTTTAGATTAGCATCATCCAACACACACATATATATATACATAAATAGTGGTTATATATATATATTATATTTATTATTAAATATTATAATTATTATTATATGATATTATATTATATTATATTATATATAATTTTATTAAGTTGAATGATTAATCCCATGAACTTTGAGCTATGGATTAGCCGTCCACTTCGCCACGGCTCCGGCCTCCGTGGCCTTCTTCACTTCCGTGGACAGCTGCTGCCAGCGATGCTCCAGAACCATCTCCTCCAGCCCCGCAGGCACCGTCTGCGGCAAGAACCAGGGCGCCAAACGGGTGTTGTCGCCCATCAAATAGACACGACCTTTAAAGGTGGCTGGGGAAAATGCCAAAAGTTGAGGGAAAAAAATCGGAGTTGACTAAAATACTAAAGACCATAGGGGATTTCTATGTGATTTCCGGATATACTGGGAATGTTCGAAAGCTAACGTTAGGGATGATGAGGGGATGGGTTTTATATGGTTTTTGTGGGATGGTTCACCCTAATTGGGAGATATCAGCATAATGGAGAGACCCGTGGGACATTTCTCACCAAATATCGATCAATAGATGGGGATCGTTAGGGATATAGACCAGGAATGGGATGAGATCACCAACCGAAAATGCGGATTGAAGCGTAAAACATGGGTGCTATACAAGCCCAACCAACCAAGAAATGTGGATTTTACTACTAATTAAAAGGATTCATGGGAACATTAATATATATTTAAAAAAAGAACAACCGATACATGGGGAGTTAAACATCAATAATTAGGTTTCATTACGGAACTATATACACTTAAGCAAACAGCTAGGATATATAGGGATGGGATATTGGGATGCTTGATCCATCAAAATGGGTAATCTAACCACACCAAAGTAGTTTTTTTTGTGTCAACAAGTTGGATTTAAGCAGAAACATGAAACTATAATCAACAAAATTGTGAGGAGAATCCATGGATATAACCAACCAACTCATGGACTGTCACACTGTCAAACAGTCAGATTGAATCTGATGGAAGCATGACACATGTGCATTTAACCTGCTGAATTTGTGATTTGATCAACCAACAAACGGGGCTTAAACTGTCAAACTTGTGATGTTTTCAATCATCAAAGGGCGTATACTAAGATACAACAATGGGGTTGTTAACAAAGATATGATCAGATATACTCATGGAGACGCAAAAAAACATGATGAAATAGATGGTGGATGATTCTTTAAGGTAAACATCACTCAACATCGCCATTTTCCAGTATGGACATGTATGGAAATATGGACAAACATCACTAGTGAGGTGATGTGTAGCAATGAATGGGATGATCTGCATGTGGGACAGACTGGGCTTCCCCTGTCAATCCAAATGGACTATCCTGTAGAAAACAATCAACCATGAAGGCGCAAAGGCGTGACAATTTCCCTCGCTGGGCCGGTGCTTCAGTGAATCCCGAACATTCGCAAGGTGGTTTCAAGCTATGTCACAATATATAATATAGTTGATTTGGAGGTTCCCGAAAATGGGGGTACCCCAAAATGATCCGGTTGGTGGTTTCAACCCCTCTGAAAAATATGAGTCGGTTGGGATGATGACATTCCCAATATATGGAAAAATAAAAAATGTTCCAAACCACCAACCAGGTATTCATAGCTATTGATCCATGGCAAATCTGAATCAGAAAAAACAACAAGGAGAACAATAATATATGAAACACACATTTCTGACACAGAAAAATCACCAGTGCCATCCAGCGGCAAACATGAAATGGCAAGTTGTCCCGGTTGATCTGAAATTCCTGAGGCGTGACCGGTTGTGACCGAATGCACTAGACTAGGGAAAGTTGGGGGGTGAGGAGTGGTATCTTTCTGCCATCATCGAGCTGTTTAAGGTCTCCAAACCCAAGCACTTCAAGGATGCCAAATGAAAGGCACATTGGAACTTGAGACAACCACATAAACAAGTGTTGAATCTGATGTGGAAACAGTTTTTTTTGCACCAAGGAAATATTGGTTTGCAAGAATCCTTGGGAAACTTCACGGAACTTCATCCCCAATAAACCCCGAAGGACAGACTCATTCCGTTTTGGTGGTCAACATCCAAACTCAACCAGTCAATCCAAGCTCAAACGGACGATTTTTGTCCAATCAAACACAGGGGATGTCTAATTACAATAGAAATGTTTGAATAATCTGCAAAAGTTTCTGCACAAGCTATATCATATCTTTTATCTTGGTACAGTAATACCAATGTTTATGAAGAAAGGCAACAACTTCACCACAGTTTTCTCCAAACTTAGCTTGTGAATTCCAATTGTTGCTGATCAAACATTGATTGTTGATGCTCAACAAACCGTCCCACCCGACAAGTTGGCTTCCATATCCCCACTTTGGTTCGCCACTTCCCTATGTTGTTCTTGGTGTTCAAATGTGTTTAGCCCCACCATTGGAAGCTGAAGAACCCTATAAATTGATACTTTACCACTTCAAGTGGGATGGTTTAAACCCCCTGAAAGCACCATTTTGCATCATTTGGGTTTGTGTGAAAATAGCCTACTCCAAAATGCACGTCTTAATCATCATGTTCCCAACCGGAAAAATGGCCATTTAGAGGCTACACCGATAGCCACATGTTTTGTCCTATCTAGTTCGATGATATTCCCAGGGAACGAAACCTGGCTAGGCCACGGGGATTTCCCACCTAGCCATGGGTTTCTATCCCATTAGATCCCACGGAATCAGGTGGGCCCCAGTTACACTCCAACCTCAGGGTGCAGCTCCAGCAATTTTTGTGGCTTAGATTTTTCACCATTGTAGAGGCCACATCTCCCAACTTGTGGAGGTTAATGACCCCAACTGAACTGCCAAGTACTTGGGTCCACGATGCCATTATAGTTAAATCCTATCGAAATCCCATAGAAAATCCCATTAATTAAATCCTATTGAAGTCACCATTGAACCCCATAGAAATCCCATTAAATCCTGTGTTAAGTCACCATTGAATCCCTTAGAAATCCCATAGAAATCCCATAGAAATCAATATTGGTCCATTAAATCCCATTCATCCCCCCAAAAAAAAGGCACAGATTTTCATTGCGACCATTCCACGCCCAGCATCCATGGCCCCCCGGCTGCCGTTGGAGGCACAGACCCGGCGCGACCAAGTCGATACAGTCGAGCCGGACCTGGATTTTGCATGGGAATTTCAAGGGGGTTCATGCGATTTTGTGTCGGAAAACCATCTGGTGATGTTAGGGGAAATCATTTACCCATAGGATCCATGGTGCTGCCATATATGGTAACATTTACCATCAATATACCCCCAATGTTAGCATATATACCATACATGGATCCTATGGGTTAGGGAAAATAATGAGATGTTGAATGAGATCTTATCGGATGTTTCTGGGGATTTTAGGGGAAAATTCATCAATGATGGGTCAAACATGAGGGATTTAACCTGCACGACAGAAATTATGGGATAAATCATGGGATAAAGACGGTTCCATCAGCGTTGCCTGTAGATTCCATCCCATGGTTAAACTAAAACCCAATCTTCTTCATAGAATAGAATATAGCCATAGCTCATCCTCTCCAGAAGAATATGGCCATGAATTGGTGTTTAGTCAGTTTGTGTTTCTGACACAACATCATATTTCACCAGAAATCACCATCCTCCAACTGCATTGAAAAGGCTGAAAAATCCATGTTCAACCCATGAAATCCTCGGATATCAGAAACCATTCTTCCAACATCTCGTTTAATCCCCATGTTTTCTGCCACACCCTGAGCTCCCCAAGATTTCCTTTAAAAAAACAAGAAGCAGATCCTCCAACAAAGGTCTGGAGCCGTTCGTCGCCAGATTCGCCTTCCGCCTTCGCCACAGCAACAGTAGGGCCGTTCCCACGATGGCACAGGCAATCCCCAGAACGCCCTGACGGAGGAGAAATGGGGGTTTCTTAAGTCATGGGGGATCCCCAAGTCGCCATAGGATTCAATACTAAAATTTCAGAAATGGTCTAATATTGGATGAACCCTTATTTTAGGAAACCTCCAAATGGATCGAAAGGACAGAAGTGGCTGTGTGGGTGAAAAATGGATGTATACCCTCTGGTAATAAAACAGCCTGGAAAATCCATGAATTTCCCACTCAAACCATGTCAAACCTCCACTTAGTTCAGGGATTTTCCAGCCAGCCACGTTTGATTACCGGAGAGTACTCCAAAAATGATATGGGTCAACAATAACCAGCAAGTGATTGGCATACACCAACATCAACAATATCCTAAGCTATAGAGGTGATATAAATCCCAAAAGTCTATAATTTTACTTGATATATGATATATATATATATGTTATGGATATTGATGGGATATAACCAACGAAACATCATTATACAACCAACAAGTAGAGTAAAGTGTATGGGTGACACTAATGTAGGGTATCCCGAAATCCTCTGGTTTGGATATGTTAGGTTTATATCTTCTAATAATTTGGATCACTATATTTCGAATTATAATATGTATCACAAACATCATTTATCAATCCAAACATGTTAGAAATCCATTTGGATCACTATAAATGATACATTTCGAGTTTGGATATGCTGGGTTACACATGATTTAAATGGACCCACAAAAAACGATCAAGCTGGTGCCATTCAGTTTGACCCAGTTTGACCCATACTTATATGGATACAACTGACACAATCTAACCAACACAGTTGAGGACAAACCACTAATAACCACTAAATCATTGGGATACGCTCGATCCAGAAATCCTGAAATCCAGAAAGATGACCAGACATCGAATCGGACATCGGATATTGGATATTTAACAACAAAAATCGGGGTGACATCAGAGATGAGATCAAATCTTTCTGCCTAACCATGGGATACCATGGGGTACCCCCCCGATTCCAGTGGATAATTCTCATGATCTTTCGCAGCGGAAACAAATGGATAAATTTAGGATATCCCCAATTTTGTGGTTTGCGAACCAGCAACCTCCCATAACTCAGAGAGCCCGAACTGGGAATGTAGAAATGTCCTTTCAAGATCTTTGCATTCCAGCATTAATCATGAAGAAACATGGAAACTGATCCATTTCTCGATTATTCATAGTATTTCCATGGCCATGTTCCATCACAAACTGATAGATCACCAAACGCTAAATCAATCAACATGTGAAGCCTGAAGCCTTGTGTATCCTTGTGTGATATGCTAAACCATGCTAAACACAATACCATAAACCTCCAATCTAATTTGGGATTGTTTGTATTTATACCATTTTAGACCAAGTATTTCCCAACGATTTTTTGGATTGTGATTGGGTCACATGAAAAACACAAACATGTACAAGGTGGGGCCCTCCAATTCTAAGTTGGTTTGCAAACCCCATCAACTAGAGATATATCTACCATAAGGCCTAGGATTCACCAAGTGATTTGCACCAACTCAGCCGAAAAAAAGCGGCCCCAGCCCCCCAGCAGCCTTCCATCCTCCGAAAAAGGTCAGTGCATAGTCCAAGGGATCCAGGCAATTTTTGTTGCTGGCCACATTGGGCACACCCACCGAACAGCTGTAGGGACAATCCGCTGTCGACCACCCCGTGGTGCTGTTGGGATGGAAGGCCCTCAAGGGGATGGGATTGCAGGGTTGGCACATGCCAACACCATCGCTCCAGCTGTCCTGAGCCGGACGCCGGACCGGACAGCAGGAGTTTAGAGTCTGAAGTCTGATTGTGAACATGTTTAATATGTTGATCGCAAACAACAACTTCAGAGAAATCACACTTTCATTCCATTGAAAACACACTGAAGAGCTCTTTAACCTTGTGACACACTACCCTCGAACCAAATTCTGACTTACACTTCCCAAACACTTGATGTTTGAACCCATGTTTACCCTAATTTCTGGTCAACAACAATATTCATTGGACTCCATTGGATCATGCTGCATCCCCCATCAAAACATGTGAGCCTGTTTCATGCCAGATGGCAGCCAGACAAAATGCCAACATCAAATCCATCCGCATCGCCAAGTCACTTTGTCGCAGAGGTCACAAAAAACGCCTGCCTCGGATTTTGCCAAAGATGGCCCCCCAACAACCCAACAAGTAACAAGCTATTGCCATGGCGGACAGCTTGGTGTTCTTGGAAAATCTTAAGCAACATGTGTGCAAATATGAGGAATCTGAAGCAACATGGACATAAAGAACTTTTGGGTGGACGAAGGTGAATGTGAAAGTAACACAATAATCTTCTCAGCAACTCCCAGAAGTTTTCCTTACTACAGTCGGTAATATCCTGTAGATGAGTTTACTCACCAGGTATAACTCGTGGCTTTCTCCGGTTGCCACTTCAAATGCCAAGCCATTGACAAATTATATCAGATCCAATAATTTTGTATAATGGGACTGGATTTAATATATATATATATATATTATATTATCGTAATATATTATTAATTTTGGATATCCTTATTACTATAGATCTATAGAAATTAAATATGATATACCGGGAGTTCCTATAAATTTTATATATCATAATTGTGGGTTATATCTATCCCATTATAATTACAATACATATTTATATATGTAATTATATATATATATATACATTTCCAGTAGAGTCCCGATCCAGATCCAACAACTCCAACTCCCAAAATCAATGCAAAAAAAAACATCAAAAACCAAGCGGCATGACCACCAGCACATGCCGTGATGGACATATTCTGCCCCACTCGGCCAAAGGTAGCCTCCAACATCTCGCGGCCCGGAATCAGGTTGCAGCCGTGTCCCGTTTCATCGGAGCCCAGAGCACCGCCGCCGATCAAAATGTTGAAGTTGGGCCGAAGCAACCTGAGGGACTTCGGGAGTCAGCCATGTTACATCAGAATGCCCTGGTCACATCAAAATGACTGGGAAAAAAAGGGATGGTCATCCCAACATATGGAATTCATCCCAAAATATGGAATAATCATGTACCATCTGGTTATTTAACAGTTTGCCATGGAAAGATCCACCATTTTTAATAGGTAAACCATCTATTTCTATGGGCCATCTATACCATGGCTATGTTAGTCATAACCAGAGGGTAATTTTGAATGGTTTGATCTATCCCACCTGTGATGGGGTTTTGTTGGGAAAATCTTCACCAGAAGATTTAGACAGCCGACAGGATAGCCAGGATAGCCCTAATGCAGCATTTTTTTGGGCATTTTTGTCAATGTTCCTTTCATCAAGGTGTTGGAAGTTCAGGGACTTCTCTTTTGCGTCGGTGAATCATCCTATTCTATGGGTCTAAACCCTCAAAACAATTGTCAATGGTCATTTGGGTTCCAGGTGCATTGTTGAACTTCAACATGGGACTTCAAGACCTAGCCACCAAAAGCTGACATGTTTGCCAACCAAACTGGACATTACTAAGCGGCAAGTGACTCGGCATCAATTTTTGAAACATCACCCATGAAATGGACTTTGGCAATGAAATACATTAAGCAGGGCACCAGTGAAGCAAAATCCCAAAATGCACCAAAGTTCTACTCAAACCACCAGATCTGTTTGATGGTTTTCACAGTCAGTTTGAACCCCTCCCAAAAAAACAATGACTCAGGGTCACTCTTTCCAGCATTAAACACGAACTAAAGACGCGATCCATTTTACCAGAAGAAAAAGGGCCGGATGTTCATTGGATATCACTCTGGCCCCCATCATTTCATGGTCATCTGGTGGACGGTTTCAACCCATCTGAAACAAATATAGTCAATTGGGCTCATTAAAATCACCATAAAATCAACTACTGTACATAAAACCACCATAAAATCTACAGATCATCATCCCATTTCTATGGCTTAAGAGAACACTATTTGAAACCACCAACCGCAACAAGCCATTTTTAGGGATACCCTCTGGTAATGACTAACAGTTTGCGAACTTGAACATGGCCCATAGAAATAGTTGATTTACCCATTAAAACTTGTGATTTTCCATAGCTATGTAAACGTTTGCCAGAGGGTAAAATCCCATTAAACCACCATAAAATCCGATGAAACCACCATAAAATCCCATTAAACCACCATAAAATCCCATTAAACCATGAAACCACCATAAAAACCCATTAAACCACCATAAAATCCCATGAAACCACCATAAAATCCCATGAAATCACCTTAAATGTCATCCCATTCATCACCCGGCGCCCCAGCCTGTCACCACTGGGTTTGCTCCAGTTGAACCCGACAAATCCGCCGCCGCCGGCTCCACTCACGACCCACAGGTTGCTATGTGAAGTGCAAGCACCGTTGCCACCTGTCCCCAGGGTCGAAGGACAAGGTGAAGTGCCCCCCTAGTGATGTGAACGTTGATTTAGAAAAACCATAGTATAGTAGTATGTCGATATTAATCTACCATAAACCATAATTGGAGTTATAAACCAACTTAGCTAACTATGGGGCACCACCTGTCCCCAGGGTCGAAGGATAGAAGTCTCTGGTTATGACAGATATAGCCTGATATAGCTATTGAACATATGGCACCCTGATGAAAATAGTTATAAAACACCAAAGATGGTGATGTTCAATAGCAAACTGTTAAATTACCAGAGGATAGCTTTCTGGTGCATCATGCTGAATGAGAACAGAACAAAATGCTGGAGATAGAGTTATTTTTAGCAACCCTCATTCAAATGGATAAGTTGGATGGAAATTGTGGAGGAAACATCACCCTAAAAGATATCCTGGCAACTTTGTGTTTTATCTTTTTGGGAAACACCTATAATAGATAGATGGAGTCACATGAACCAATCATTTGACCAAGTACAGTATGGAAAGTGGTGATGTACCCTCTGGCTATTTAACGTAGCTAGGGGAAAAATCACCATTTTAATAGGTAAATCATCATTTTGATCATCTACAAATGGGACATTTTGCATAGCTATGTTGAATAACCACAGGGTAAATCAATGAATAGTTTTGATACATCAAAGATTCCAAAAGACCAACCAAATGGAAAAATTGCAGGAGGGATGTTGATTAGCCCCACAAAAAAATGCATGATGTTCACAATCCCATCAATACAAGTTGTAGATCATTCCAAAAGTAAGTATTTTATCTTAAAGACATCTTGCAAACTATCCACGACAAAGTAATCAACTTGAAACCCATTCTACACCTGACTGATCAACTTCAACTGCTGTTTCTCTTCACTGGTGCCTGAGGCTTTGAGAGTAGGCAGTTGATCATCAGGAGCTTTCAAGGAGGGTCCTGAAAAGATCAAGATCTGACCACCCGAACCACCACCCGACGCGAAGTGATTGCTCTTGTCCTGCGCGCTCTCTCAAGGCTGGAAAAAAAACACAATGCATCTGTTCTATCATGCACCTAAAGCAAACAAGTTGGAGATGCAACTGATCTCATCCACAAAACATCAGGGCTCTAAACGGAGTCGTACCGTTCAGTCGTTTCTATCAGTTGAACAAGGCTGTAACCAGCGTAAAATGGATAGCATATAATTATACATGTATACACTATTATACACATACAAACACATATATGCGAATGTGTATGATACTTAATTACATACATATGAAAATATTATAACTATATATATATATAAATATATTATTGTATTGTATTGTATAGTATAGTATTGTACTGTACTATATTATATTAATTTATATTATATTATGTTATATTATATTGTATTATATGATATACTATATTATATTATATTATTCTATATTATATTATGTTATATGTTATACTATATTATAGTATATCATATTAAATTATTATATCAAAGTATATGATATCATATTATATTATTATATCATAGTATAAAATATCATATTATATTATATTGTATGCTATATGAAATTATATTATATTATATATTAAATTATATTATATTATATTACATTATATTATATTATATCGTATTATATTATATCATATCATATTATATTATCTTGTATTATATTATATTATATGATCGAAGGAAGTTTAGAAGTCAAACTTCCGACAATATGGACAGATGAAAAGCAGAGCAGGGACGAGGCAGAGAGAAGAGAAAGATTAGAAGAAAGAAGAGTAGAAGAGAAAGAGTAAGAAGAAAGAAGATGCAGATGCGTGAAAAGGTAGGAAAGTCGCGAAACACTGTGTTTTTCCACTGATTTGGGGCTCCGGAGGGTCGAAAAGTAGGCTCGCTAAAGCGGAGGGTGCGGAGACAGCTGGCCAGATGAGAGATGAACTAGACGACGGATGGCCCGAGAGCGTAGAGGAGCAGAGTCTTCTGTTGTTAGTATGGAGACACTATATTACAAGATAATATGATAAAGATGTATTATAGGCAGACGAGAAGAGTAGTATCAAGACAATATATGACTAGTACAAGACAATAGTTTGCATCGTATTTTTGTAAAGTTTTTCATACACAGAACTCTTTACAGACAGACGCTTTTGCACACAGAGACTTTTACACACAGACGCTTTTACACACAGACGATTTTGCACACAGAGACTTTTACACCCAAACACTTTTACACACAGAGACTTTTACACACAGACGATTTTGCATACAGAGACTTTTACACCCAAACACTTTGACACACAGAGACTTTTACACACACAGACGCTTTTACACACAGAAGCTTTTACACACAGACGCTTTTACACACAGACGCTTTTACACACAGACGCTTTTACACACAGACGCTTTTTACACACAGGCTCTTTTACACACAGACGCTTTTACACACAGACGCTTTTACACACAGACGCTTTTACACACAGACGCTTTTACACACAGACGCTTTTACACACAGAAGCTTTTACACATAGAAGCTTGTACACACAAACACTTTTACATACAAACACTTTTACACACAGAAGCTTTTCCACACAGACGCTTTTACACACAGACGCTTTTACACACAAATGTTTTTACACACAGACGCTTATACACACAGACGCATTTACACACAGACGCTTTTACACACAGACGCTTTTACACACAGACGCTTTTACACACAGACGCTTTTACACACAAACACTTTTACACACAGAGGCTTTTACACACAGACGCTTTTACACACAGACGCTTTTACACACAGAGGCTTTTACACACAAGCACTTTTACACACAAACACTTTTACACACAGACGCTTTTACACACAGACGCTTTTACACACAGACGCTTTGACACACAGACGCTTTTACACACAGACGCTTTTACACAGACACTTTTACACACAAAGCTTTTACACACACAGACGCTTTTACAGACAGAAGTTTTTACACACATACGTTTTTACACAGATGCTTTTACACACAGACACTTTTACACACAGACGCTTTTACTTTACACACAGACGCTTTTACACACAGACGCTTTTACACACAGACGCTTTTACACACAGACGCTTTTACACACAGACGCTTTTACACACAGATGCTTTTACACACAGACGCTTTGACACACAAACACTTTTACACACAGAGACTTTTACACACAGACGCTTTTACACACAGACGCTTTTACACACAGACGCTTTTACACACAGACGATTTTACACACAGACGCTTTTACACACAGACGCTTTTACACACAGACGCTTTTACACACAGACACTTTTACACGCAGACGCTTTTATACACAGGCGCTTTTACAGGCAGATGCTTTTACACACAAACACTTTCACAGTCGCTTTTACACGCAGACACTTTTACACACAGACGCTTTTACACACAGACACTTTTACACACAGACGCTTTTACACACAGACGCTTTTACACACAGAGACTTTTACACACACACAGACGCTTTTACACACAGAAGCTTTTACACACAGACGCTTTTACACACAAACACTTTTACACAAACACTTTTACACACAGACGCTTTTACACACAGACGCTTTTACACACAGACGAAAGGGTTGCTCCGGCACAGGAAAAATCGCAATTTTACCTCAGTTTCTACCGATCGACCCTCATTTCGTGCGAAAGGGTTGCTCCGGCACAAGTCAAATCGCAATTTTACCTCAGTTTTTGCCGATCGACCCTCATTTCGTGCGAAAGGGTTGCTCCGGGGCAAGTAAAATCGCAATTTTACCTCAGTTTTTGCCGATCGACCTTCATTTCGTGCGAAAGAGTTGCTCCGGGGCAAGTCAAATCGCAATTTTACCTCAGTTTTTGCCGATCGACCCTCATTTCGTGCGAAAGGGTTGTTCCGGGGCAAGTCAAATCGCAATTTTACCTCAGTTTTTGCCGATCGACCTTCATTTCGTGCGAAAGGGTTGCTCCGGGGCAAGTAAAATCGCAATTTTACCTCAGTTTTTGCCGATCGACCTTCATTTCGTGCGAAAGGGTTGCTCCGGGGCAAGTCAAATCGCAATTTTACCTCAGTTTTTGCCGATCGACCCTCATTTCGTGCGAAAGGGTTGCTTTAGCACACGTAAAATCGCAATTTTACCTCAGTTTTTGCCGATCGACCCTCATTTCGTGCGAAAGGGTTGCTTTAGCACACGTAAAATCGCAATTTTACCTCAGTTTTTGCCGATGGACCATCATTTCGTGCGAAAGGGTTGACGTTTCGTGACTCCCCGCCGGCACCACCCTCGGCCTTAAGAGAGAAAGATAAAAAGAAGGCGAGAGAGAGAAAAGGGAGAGAGATGTGAGAGAAGATGTGAAGATGAGCAGATGTGAAGATGAGCAGATGTGAGAGAAGGTGTGAAGATGAGCAGATGTGAAGATGAGCAGATGTGAGAGAAGATGTGAAGATGAGCAGATGTGAAGATGAGCAGATGTGAGAGAAGATGTGAGAGAAGATGAGAAGATGTGAAGATGAGAGATGTGAAGATGAGCAGAGTGAGAGAAGAGTGAGAGAAGATGTGAAGATGAGCAGAGGTGAGAGAAGATGTGAGAGAAGATGTGAAGATGGAAGCAGATTGTGAAGATGAGCCGATGTGAGAGAAGGTATGTGAGGAGAGATGTGAAGATGAGCAGATGTGAGAGAAGATGTGAGAGAAGATGTGAGAGAAGATGTGAGAGAAGATGTGAAGATGAGCAGATGTGAGAGAAGATGTGAAGATGAGCAGATGTGAGAGAAGATGCGAAGATGAGCAGATGTGAAGATGAGCAGATGTGAGAGAAGATGTGAAGATGAGCAGATGTGAGAGAAGATGTGAAGATGAGAAGATGTTTTACAGACCCCCACTTCTACACACAGAAGCTTTTACACACAGACGCTTTTACACACACACGCTTTTGCACACAAACGCTTTTGCACACACAGTCTTTTACACACAGACGCTTCTACACACAGACGCTTTTACACACAGACAAGTCCGGCACAAGTAAAATCGCAATTTTACCTCAGTTTCTACCGATCGACCCTCATTTCGTGCGAAAGGGTTGCTCCGGCACAAGTCAAATCGCAATTTTACCTCAGTTTTTGCCGATCGACCCGCATTTCGTGCGAAAGGGTTGCTCCGGGGCAAGTAAAATCGCAATTTTACCTCAGTTTTTGCCGATCGACCCTCATTTCGTGCGAAAGGGTTGCTCCGGCACACGAAAAATCGCAATTTTACCTCAGGTTTTGCCGATCGACCCGCATTTCGTGCGAAAGGGTTGCTCCGGCACACGAACAATCGCAATTTTTCCTCAGTTTTTGCCGATCGACCCTCATTTCGTGCGAAAGGGTTGCTCCGGCACAGGTAAAATCGCAATTTTTCCTCAGTTTTTGCCGATCGACCCTCATTTCGTGCGAAAGGGTTGCTCCGGGACAAGTAAAATCGCAATTTTTCCTCAGTTTTTGACGATCGACCCTCATTTCGTGCGAAAGGGTTGCTCGGGGGCAAGTAAAATCGCAATTTTTCCTCAGTTTTTGACGATCGACCCTCATTTCGTGCGAAAGGGTTAACGTTTCGTGACTCGCCGCCGGCACCACCCTCGGCCTTAAGAGAGAAAGATAAAGAAGGCGAGAGAGAGAAAAGGGAGAGAGAAAGGAGAGAAGATGTGAGAGAAGATGTGAGAGAAGATGTGAGAGAAGATGTGAAGATGAGCAGATGTGAGAGAAGATGTGAAGATGAGCAGATGTGAGAGAAGATGTGAGAGAAGATGTGAAGATGAGCAGATGTGAGAGAAGATGTGAAGAACAGCAGATGTGAAGGTGAGCAGATGTGAGAGAAGATATGAGAGAAGATGTGAAGATGAGCAGATGTGAAGAGAGGAGCAGATGTGAAGATGAGCAGATGTGAAGATGAGCAGATGTGAGAGAAGGTGTGAAGATGAGCAGATGTGAAGATGAGCAGATGTGAGAGAAGATGTGAAGATGAGAAGATGTGAGAGAAGATGTGAGAGAAGATGTGAGAGAATATGTAAGAGAAGATGAGAGAGAAGATGTGAAGATGAGCAGATATGAGAGAAGATGTGAGAGAAGATGTGAAGATGAGCAGATGTGAGAGAAGATGTGAAGATGTGAAGATGAGCAGATATGAGAGAAGATGCGAAGATGAGCAGATGTGAAGATGAGCAGATGTGAGAGAAGATGTGAGAGAAGATGTGAAGATGAGCAGATGTGAGAGAAGATGTGAAGATGAGAAGATGTTTTACAGACCCCCACTATTGGAAGAACCCTGCGCTCAGACGCTCTCGGGAAAAATTGCACGCCGTTGTGGCGCGAAGCACATTTGCAAGTCAAAATGTACAAAACACCTGGGTCTCGGAGCACTTTTGGAAGTTGAGATGTCGAAAAAGTGCACGCCGTTGTGGCGCGAAGCACATTTCCAAGTCAAAATGTACAAAACACCTTAGCGTCGGACCCACTTTTGGGAGTTGCGATGTCGAAAAAGTGCACGCTGTTGTGGCGCGAAGCACATTTCCAAGTCAAAATGTACAAAACACCTCAGGGTCGGACCACTTTTGGAAGTTGCGATTTCGAAAAAGTGCACGCGGTTGTGGCGCGAAGCACATTTCCAAGTCAAAACTTGCAAGACACACCATGTACGGACCATTTTTGGAGGTTCAGATGTCGAAAAAGTGCACGCCGTTGTGGCGCGAAGCACATTTCCAAGTCAAAATGTACAAAACACACCATGTACGGACCATTTTTGGAGGTTCAGATGTCGTTTAGCGTGGCAGGCGCAAGGGATTGTGGACCTTGTCAAAAGTGACCAAAATGTGAGGGTTTTGTAGCATTTCAAAAAATGATGGCAGGCATGGGACATTTGAAGAGGATCTGCAAAGATGCATTTTCGTGGCAGGCACGGTACAGAAGACATGTTCATGAGAGATGTTAGGAGGTCAGGGTGTTGATTTCCTGAGAGGGGTTGCATTTTGGAGTATCAGATGTGCAGGTTTGCTAAGATGATTTTGCGTGACAGGTGTAGCCCTTCGTATGACCTGGCATCAATTTTCCGTGGCAGGCGCAGTACTTTAGACAGGTGGACTGGAAAAATCGCAAAACGCATTGGTACGAGTCTGTCAGCTCTGCACTCAACTTTCCATTTTTGAAGGAAGTCTCGCAGAATTCTTTCGTTTTTGATGTCTTGAACTTCGAAAAATGAGGAAGTCTCGCAGAATTGCTTCGTTTCGGATGTTGTCAAGTTCCAAAAATGAAGACGTCTCGCAGAATTGTTCTGTTTTGGACGTTGTTATGTTCAAACATTAAGGAAGTCTCGCAGAATTTCTTCGTTTTTGATCTTGCAGATAGATAGATAGATAGATAGATAGATTGATTGATTGATTGATTGATTGATTGATAGATGGAAAGATAAATAGATAGAAAAATAGATAGATAGATCGATCGATAGATCGATAGATCGATAGATCGATAGATCGATAGATCGATAGATCGATAGATCGATAGATCGATAGATCGATAGATCGATAGATAGATAGATAGATAGCTAGATAGCTAGATAGCTAGATAGCTAGATAGCTAGATAGATAGATAGATAGATTAGGTAATTAGATGAAAGAGAGAGAGGGATAGATAGATAGATCGATAGATAGATAGATACATAGAAGATAGGTTGGCAGGTGGGTAGATAGTCAGAGAAAGAGAGAGAGAAAGAGAGGAGACCTCAAGCACCTTTCGGTCCATCAGTGGATTCGCTCTGCCATCCCTGATTCAGAACAACCAAGCTCTCCTATAGGTTTCCTATTTTTGAAACTTCCGCCACCGCCTTGTGCAGTACTATTATATAAATGTGAAATCCATTGAAATCCCCCATAACCATGATCAAGAAGGTGGCTTGCCATGGTGGCACCACAAGTTGTAGATCCCAGCCGATCAGATTAAGGAGCCCAAAAGGGAGAGATCCTGGATGGAATCGGTGGGTCCCGGCCCTTTCTAAAGCCCCTTTTAAGGGGGTTCGATGTAGCTTCACCCCACATGGGGCTCCCGTCCTTGCCGGCTGCCCCATCCCTGCCGCTGGCATCCAAGCGCACAGCTGCACCAAAGGTGATCCCTGAGAGGCCACTGAGCCAAATCATGCCGCCGCCTCAAGCGAACGGAAAACGCTGGGGTAACCGTGGAATTTCAACCACAGCCATAAACATCTGGTTGGTGGTTTCAAAACCTCTGAAAAATATGAAAGTCAGTTGGGATTATTATTCCCAATATATGGAAAAAATAAAAGCCATGTTCCAAACCACCAACCAGACATCCATAAACATCCGCGAACTGGAAAGTGGTGAAGTACCCGGTCACCAATAACGCTTTGCGAAATGAAAATCACCATTGTGTAGATAAATCATCATGTTGATCATCTATAAATGGGCCATTGCTTCCATAGTTATGTTGAATAACCAGAGTGTGGAATGTCAACCCAGAAAACTGAGAACCGTAATATGGGCCAGAAAACTTCGGGATCCACATGGATATAATCCAATATGGCCTACGAAATCAAGTGTGGAAATAACAAACAGATACAACAAGTTTTCAGGTTCACATCTCAAGAAAACCAAATAATCGGGATGTTTAAGTGGATTCTAACCTTCAAGCAACAGTGTCATTAATACAGTGAACCAATCTTACTTACTTATCCTGGCCTTCAGCACCCGGATAAATGACGAGCTGGCCATGCAAAAAAAAGTCCTGAAATCTACTGAAATCCCCCAAAAAAAAATTGGACAGTAGCTCCCATAAAATCCAGGAAAAGTCCTCAAGTTTGGATAGTAACCTCTATGGAATTCATGTCCCCCCACCGCGCCTGAGGAATGTCCGGACCAAATGGGTGGACCAGTGCCATGTGGGATGCCTGTGGCCCCACCCGAGGCCCCTTGCGTTGGCAAAACATCTCCTGAGGCTCGAAACGATGAAACTGGGAAAAGCCACCTTCTTGGATCAAGAAATCATGAGGATATCATGGAGATATCATAGAAATATGGAGGTTCCAAGTACCATGGTGCTACCCCAATTTTTGGATGGGAATCAATGCTACAATGGTCTGATTTTGGATGATTTAGGGGTGCCCCTATTTTAGGAAACCTCCATAGAGAACTGACAATCATTATAATGGATAAACTATAGTGGACATACAGTAGATTTCATTATTTTTTTCGGCCCAAAAATAGGGTACCTCACATTCCATCTTGTAGTTTAGAACCTCATGTTTCCCAGTCAAATGTCATGAATTGGGTATCACAAATGTCCTTTTCTCACTGGTTGATACAAAAAAAGAGGGTTCCGCCCATTCAACAACCAACAGGTAGATGATTCTAAATAATGTACCAAACAAAACAAATCGGTCCTTCTTTTGTTTCCTAAATGGACAATATTAGTGGTGTATATCTGTTGGATTTCGGGGGTCAACGTGGTCAACATGCTGGTAATCCGTTTTTTGTTCAAGATGCTAACTGGGAGAAATAGAAAATAAAATCCCCATGGATCCAAACACTTCCTCAGAAGATACTTGAAGTCCTAAATTACACCCCAAACATTTCCTAAGAAGGAACTTGGATCCATAGGGAAGATAGTTGAGAGTATTTAAACATTATTTAAACCAAAATTATCACCAACACGTTGGCGAATTGATAGACCAATAGCTTGCTTGCTCTAGCCCCAGGATATCCCCCACCTGCAGATCCAAATCTCCAAAAAATCAGCCAGTTGACCTCAAAATCTCAGAGCTTACAAAGGGATCAGCAGTCTCAAATCATCCCAAATCTTAACAAAATCTGCCAGTTACCATGAGGTACCCCAAACATCTCCGCAAACTCTAAGCAAATCGGAGGCGTCTGGTCTCATTGTATCTGTCATACTGCGCGTCTAAGGGAATGGTTTCCCGGTTCACGTGCGCACCCGTCTCGTCGGACCAGAGTGCATAACCCCCACGGCCCACGTGGGTGCCACCCCCTGAAGGAAGATGTTGATTGAACAAAAAAACTTACCATCTGGTTATGACTAACATAGCCATGGAAAATCCCTTATAAATGGAGGTTTTAATGGGAAAATCATCTATAAATGGGCCATTTTCCATGGCTATGTTAAATAACCAGAGGGTAGGTTTAGGGATGAAATTATGCAAACAAGAGTGGAGATTTAACCAACAATTATATAATAACACTAATCAATAATGAGGATTTGACCTTCAAAAAAAATCATTGAACCATGAAAAAGAGGGGGATCTAACATAATCTAACATAATCATACATCATCTAACAGAATCTAGCTCCTTTTTTTGGATTCAACCGACAAACATGAGGATGAGACCTGCAGGAATGCGTATTCAAGCAGCAAAACCAAGTTGCAAGTTGTAAACCGACAAAATTAGGCACATGTCCCGGCGCAAATCACGCATCTTGGCTTAAGTTTTCCCTTGTGTATACGGTAATCTTCAGCAACATGCCTGGTGTCTTCATAATGTCTCTCCCATCAAATGTCCACTGGTGACATGTGATTGCAATTTGTCCATACGACTCAGAAATATCTTGGTGGCCCTGTCAGGGCTAATCTCGATGATTTTTGAAGTCAATACAAGAAATATGTCCTGTTCATAAAACTGCCTTTGAAAACTGCCACGCAAATCACCAAAATACATTTGGTAACTGCCAAACCTGCTTCAATTAACCAAAGGCATGTGGTAAGTTGCTAAAAATCAGTTGAACAAACACACTTGCAAAGTTCCAAAACAAACAATCATCCACCAAAATCACCCAAATTTCACATAGGGTTCATCCTAGTACAATCTGGGGCTCCCAATAATGTTTTATGCTACTCCATCCAAACATAGACGTACCATAACGTATCTACCATAAACTATCGAACACCTATAGTCGTTTGCACCAATCTAGTTTTTTCTTGCTGAAACACAGCGATTTGATCCCAGATGCTATGTTGATAGGTTACACCTATCAAGTGAGAGCCCCACAAAGTAGTGCACCCCACTCACAAGTTTGTTTATATAATCCCCATTGACAACACAGTAGTTACAATCAATCACCACAAACCTTAGTGATACTAGTTATAAACCGACTTAGCCTTACAAAATCTCAGTGAATCCCATTAAAAATCACCCGTTTTTATCCATGAAAAACCTATGACGTCCCTTGAAATCACCAAAAAATTCCATGAAGTCATCATAAATTCACCTGAACCCGATGAAATCACCCTTGAATCCATGAAAAATCCTAGGTTTTGCTATGTTTTGCTGCTCAACTCCCACCTTTCCAACCCGTTGCGGCGCCTGCCAGCCACGGGGCACCCTGCGGGCCCGGCAACGCCACGCCGCCGGCGCGCTGCGGCGACGTCATGGAAGCCGCTGGGCAGCCAGCGCCCGAGACGTCCACCACGCAGTGGTCGTTGAGGGCCACCTTTTAACCACTGGGTTTTGATCATCAAGGGATTTACCCTCTGGTAATTTAACTGTTTGCTATTGAAAATGGCCATAGAAATAGTTGATTTTCCCATTAAAAAATGCCATTTTCAATAGCTATGTTAAATTACCAGAGGGTAGGTAAGGGGTATAACCAGTGGTACTAAATATCACTTAACTAATTTTGGTCATAACCAGGGGTATACCAGTGATCTTGATCATAACTAATTTAGGTGATCATCACTTGGTTATAACAAGGGCTAACCAGTTGTTAGGGTTAGTATACCAGTTTGATTACAGAAATAACTGCTACGAACCAGTTGCTAGTACTTGAGAAGTAGTTAGTACCCTCTGGTAAACGTTTACAAAAAACGATGGAACATCACCATGCTATTAATGGGTAACTCAACTATTTCTATGGCCATGTTCAACCGTAAATCAACTATTTCTATGGCCATTTTCAATAGCTATGTTTGTTTACCAGAGGGTACCAGTTAGAACAAGGTTAGGGTTTGACAACTGATTAGTAGCAGTTCTTTTTGTTGATCATCCAACGGTGATAAGTGGCTAGTAATGGTTAGTACCTGGGTAACCCAATTATATGGATATAAATATGGTATAACCATAACTGGTTGTTAGTAGCAGTACTTGGTGGGGGTTAGGGGACTAAATTAGTTAGTATAAATGGTATAAGTGGGGTTGTAACCCAGTTATAAATGGTATATAACTAGATGGTAAAAGCCCTGGGGATTTAGTAAGCAGTTACAGTAGGATGAGATGGGAATCGCAATGGGGTTAATATGGGATATTATAGTACACTTGGGTTTATATGGGATTAATGATCATAGGATTACTTTCGGTTCATGATGATGATATGATAACTATAGTTGCGGTGAATGATATGTAGTATTTATACAATTGGATTGGGATAGTACTCAGGGATAAAATGGCGTGTACTAATTACAATAATATATCTATGGATCTAATGAAACATGGGTGAAACTAAACCAAGAAACATACAAGCTGGGGCCACCTAGATCGCTATAGAAGATGACTTATAATTTGGTTAACTGGGGTTTATGGAGGATATGGTTAATGGAAACCAACTTACAGCTAGAGGGCCCTACCCTGTATCATGGTCATTTTTATGGGAATTCTATGGGATTTATACTGGGATTTTAAAATTGGATTTTAATGGTGACTTAATGGGATGCAATGGGATTTGACAGGATTTCATGGGATTTAAGGGACTTTAAAAGGTAGTTGACTATGAAAATAATAGGGATTGAACCGACAAACATATTTGAAAGAGTTTCGGGTTAGTCTTGTGGTCTATGGATTTTGAACATCCTATACGTCATGGAGAATAACTATGGATACGAGTACTGGGTTTACATGAGTTATCATATGATTATGTACAAGTATGCGATTCCAAGCTCCATAAGGTGGGAGATAAGCCCTACAACTATGGTTGTGTAACCCACTTGTTATGACTGCACCCCCAAACACTGAGAAATTTCCGACTTTTGCCGCGAAAAATTGGGATTTGACCAACATGAAAATGGGAAACATGTATAATGTAACGGTAAATCCATGGTGATCTTACCATGAACGATGCTGGAAGTTGATTGAACTTTGGGACTAAACATGATTTTGCCAATGAACATTGGACTTAATTATATGGTTAATGGAACATATTAGTCCATGATGGAACTACCTAGACACACCGTTTCTACACTCTGCTGGGGGGTTCCCACCTGGAAAAGCAACAAAAAAATCATAAGACCATCTTTCTGCACACATCTTTCAGTACTGACATCGCATAGGCAGAGTTGACATGATCAGAGTTGACGCAGCAAACTCACGTAGGTGTGGAAAATCCCACCATTTGCTTATCACATTCCCACGGAAAGCCCATTTTTAAGAGCCCTCCGGTGTCATCCAACGTGGCAATGGAAAAATAGTGATCTAATGATTGATGTTTTTCTCAATAAGACACTTCATTTAAGGGCTATTTCCCGTTGCCATGTTTCAGTACAGCAGGGCATTCCGAAAAAAAAAAAAAAATGTTTTAAAAAAAACAATATGACTGCATCTTTGATGTTTAACATAATGGCTGGATCAGTTCAACATATATACATGTTTAGTACTGCAGGGGTATTCCCAAAGATTGATCCAGAAACTGCCCAAGGATCCCCATGCCTGCTGCCCACTGCACAGGAGAGCAGATGATGCCTAGCAACGCCAATGGCGAATGGGTCAGGACATTGGGGGCAATCGTATGTCTTATGACTCCATATATGCATCTAGACATATATACGGTATATATATATAATATCATAATACATATATATATATATATATATGTATGTATATATGTATTATGATATGTATATATATAATATACCATATATGCTGTATATAATACCTAAATAATAGAATCATATACATGATAGATACCATATGATATACATTACGTACCTGGTTGTTCTGTAATGTAAAAATGTATGTATGTATTCATATATTATAAATATATTATATACAATACATACTAACTTTGTAGGTCTCACGTGTTACTGGTAAATGTCTGAAACATCTTGACACATCTTGATTGTATACAGATAGAATGTCCTTGATTGTCACAAAACCATTTTCAGAAAATGATTCTCTTTTGACGTATTGCCATCGCCGATCTCTGTCTAATGCTTTCCCTGGTGAGAGATCTGAACCGTCATAGCGTACCTTCTCTAATTTGCCTTGAAACCAGACCATCCTTCAAACAATCCAACCTGACAGTGAAACATCAGCACTTTTTTCACTGTTGATTTTCCAAGTCAAACATATGAGCTATGTTACCTTCTAGTAGTTTAACATTGCTATAGACAAGCATCAGTCATAAATCATCGGGCCGTTTTCCATAGCCATGCTAAATTTCCAGGGATATGTTGAGTCTGACAATGATTTGCAACATGTTTCTGCTGGGACTTTTGACACTGTCGGCTTCTGGATTGGAGGGCAACTTTGCAGAAAAATCTGGCTACACATATCCAAACTGGTCTGCAACTGCACAGCTGTCGCCACCAAAATCTAGATGGCCCCATGTAACAATTGATCCACTCGCCACTATAGCAGCAAATGCCCCCCAAGTTGCTTGAACCCGTTGCACACCTTTGAGCTGGTCCTGGACTTCAGAGCTGTCACCACCTATATCTGGATTGCCCCAGACCACAACAGACCCATCCAAAAGGATTGCAGCGAATGCAGAGTCAGTTGCTTGAAGATACTGGACACCTTTGAGCTGGTCCTGGACTTCAGAGCTGTCACCACCTATATCTGGATTGCCCCAGACCACAACAGACCCATCCAAAAGGATTGCAGCGAATGCAGAGTCAGTTGCTTGAAGATACTGGACACCTTTGAGCTGGTCCTGGACTTCAGAGCCGTCACCACCTCTATATGGATCGCCCCAGACCACAACAGACCCATCCGCCAGGATCGCGTGTGCAGCCCCAGTTGCTTGAATTTGTTGGACGTTGCCGCAACCTTTGCCTCTATGGCAATAGCTGTGAGGTGGGCTCCGTCTTCGAGTCCTGCAGCTTGCAAAGATTTTGTAGGATCCACCACACTATGGTCGGCAGCAACAAGCCTCAAGAAGCCAAGTTGAAACGATTTCTGCGCCAGAACCCTCAAGTCCCCTACTTTGGAGGACTGCGCAATCGAAAAAATCTCACTGCGACCGCTTGGCACTGCCACAGTGACTTGAAGCATGTATGGAAAAATCAGCTGTACCAATCTCTCCAACAATTGTTCTTGAGCCAAATTGCACCACTTGTTGAGCGCTTGAATAAACTCCCAAGACTAACCGTGCGATGCCTTTGCACGCGAGACCTCGACTGGAATGATTGAAAATTGTCCCATCATTATGAGCAAAGCCCGTTCACTCAAACATGTGCGGATGGGTAAGTCCGAAAATAGGCTAATTGCTCCAAAATTCTTTCATTGATTCATTGATCATCATCTTGGCAATTTCAATGGCATTATAAAATATACATGACCATCAAATCATCAACAAACCAGATGATTTGTATATTTCTCTTGTTTTCCCCTTCCTTTTGAGGATCCAAAAAGGGACGTCCCGCGGTGAGTGAAACTCACCATGTCAGCCTGCAGATTGGCATCTCCCGAGATGGTCAACTGATTTTTTGCCATCAAGACCTGGTTTTTCAGCTGGGACATCCCCAATGGGCATTGAAATTATTGACATCACCAAGGCTATGGAATTGAGAAAAAGCACATGTTTTCTATAAATCTATATACCCTCCGATGTCATCAAACATGGCGGGCCGCTGGGAAAGTCCCCGAACTGAATGGAGGTTTCAATGGGAAAATCATCGAACTAAATGGAGATGTTCCTTCGTGTTTGACTGCCAGAGCGTAGATTTGAGATGTTTCACGTCTTTTCTCCCATCAGATAATCAGATCCTCGCGTTTTGGAGAAAATGGGGAGGCCTGAGTTCATCCGAGCGATATCTGCTTGCAACGGTGCTTGTGGTGCTTTTGGTACTCTAGATCAAACGACGTCTTTCCCGTAGAAAAAAGGCTCAAAGCACGAATCCAATAGCGAATTTAATGATCAGTTTACTATCCAGCAGGGCGACTTGGTTTAGCACGTGTTTAAATGTTTCGTTCAACGTTAACATTACCTAGATTTCAATGAGCGTTGAACCAAATAGTACCATGAACAACAATTATCCTATCTCATCCCATTGTACTTGTTGCTTGATAGGCATCCTTCTTATAGGTTAAACAAAGTTAATCTGGTTGGTGGTATACCTACCCCTCTGAAAAATATGAACGTCAGTTGGGATTATGATTCCCAATATATGGAAAATCAAACATGTTCCAAACCACCAACCAGAAATTAAATCTGAATTTATAACCTCTTTTTTCAGAATCAATCAGCTGGAGTATTCTACAACAAAACACCCAACCACTTCCCAGTTTTTTGGGTTGCATCCCAATTGTCCATGGTGAGATCCGTTTGACGTTTACATCAAGTTAAATCACCATGGTTTATGGTCCATGTTGAATTCAACGATGTCATGGTAACATCCACATCTTTTCACCAACTAAAGCTACAGTCCTTGTGTCTTAAGGTCAAATCTTATTTTTCCCGGCTCAAACCCCCATCAATCCACATGTTTCATGGTCAATTCCAAGTGTTTCATTGAAAAAACAACGTGTTTGATGGTAACATCACCTTACCATCATCCTTTTTCAAAGTGAAATCTCCAGTTTTCATGTTTCAAACATGGTAAATCCATATAAATTCCATATCTGGTTGGTGGTGCAATAACCATCTTCAAAAATATGAGTTCGTCAATGGTAAGGATGACATCCCATATCTTATGGAAACAAATGTTTGAAACCACCAACCAGATATACCCTTTGGTAATTTAACATCATCTATGGGAAAATCACCATTGTTAAGTTCGGTAAACCATCTATACATGGGCCATTTTCATCCATTTTCCATGTTGTTAATAGGTAAACCATCTATACATGGGCCATCTATGCCATAGCTATGTTAAATTCGCCGCGGGTAACTCCATCCAGGCGCCAGGTCGAAGGAGACGTTGCCATCGTCCGAGCTGGGCGGCCAGGTCGAGCCCGTGGAGCCCCAGGAGGAGAGCAACGTTTGACATTTGTCTTCCAGGCGACTTCCTGGGGGATTTGGTCTCATTCAATGGCCATTTTAGGAACCGATTGATTGGGGCTACCTACCATAGAAAAAAGGCCTATATAAGAAGGCCTATGTAAGGGAACATCCCCATAAAATATGGCCGGAAATATGGTACTAACGTACCTCCATTTAGGATCCTGAAATTCCCATTGTCTCATGCCTTGGGATGGTTGATGGCTTTTCTGGATTGGTTTTCTTGGGAAAATCTGAGCCGGAAACCATGGTGTTTACCATCAAATTGATCGGGGTTTCGGGTTAAAATTTTCCCATCATCCAATTCTACGATTGATGGCTTTTCTGGGAGTTTTGTTGCTAGGCAAAATGGGATTTTTAGCCAAATGACTTCCTGATTGATGGAATGTTTGATGGGATGTTTGATGGGACATGTTTATCGGTTATAGAAGAAAATTATGGGATGTTTAACTGGATAATCATGTTTTTCTAAAACATTATCATCATTCCATGTTTTAATCATGGTTTTCTAATGTTTTCTATGGATAATCAAGAGATTATCATCATTCCTCCTTATGAATGTCGGGATTTTTATCGGTGACTTCCGAAAAAGGGGATGGCCGTTTTTTCCTCTCCTCTGGGAATCTCTGGGACATTTACATCATTTCCGGCGACTTCTTGGAGATTGGAAGAGTCGTTTTTTTCAATGTTTCATGGGAATATCATGGGAATATCATGGGAATATCTTGGGAATATCATGGGAATACCTGGAGGTTGAAAAACTGGCAGAAGAACTGGATTTCTGGGAGAGTTTAATGGGATATAGCCTGATATCGCTTACACAAATGCCAATGATACTGAGATGTTATGGAAATATGATGGGAAAATTATGGGATATGTTCCCAATAATTTTCATCATGGGATGATGCGACTTCTTGGAGGTTTCAGCAGATTTTTTTGCATTGATGTTCTGGGAATACAATGGTTTTTGTTACTGATTATACCATCTGGTTATTTAATACCAAGTAACAAAAAATGGTTTGGAGGTTTCCTAAGTGGGTACCTCTAAAATCATCCAAGTCATGGATGACCATTTTACCATCTGGTTATGACTAACATAGCCATAGAAAATCACCATTGTTAATAGGTAAACCATCTATAAATGGACCATTTTCCATGGCTATGTTAAATGACCAGAGAGAAATCTGTGGATGTTGAAAAAAAATGCATGTGTGATCCAAAGTTCATGCACATACAACTAACAATGGGAATATATGTATATATATATATACATAATATTTAAAAAAATGTCCAAGTGGTTATGTCAAATGTCATGATTATAAAAGTATCATTGGATGTTGATTTAATGGGATTTCATGGTTATTATAGGTGTCTAAAATGGGACCCTCAACGAACAGCAGGATGTATTTCTGGGATCTTTGATGGGATTATTGTGGGAATATCAAGGGATGATGGGATAGAACCAACAATCAGGGACAGTATTTTCACCAGTAACCTGGCACTGGCTGGATATGATGGCACTGCCTGGGAGTTTTCGAAAAACAAAATTGGATTATTTAAGGTATCAAAAGTTTTCACCGGGCTTTTTCATGGGAATTCGAATGGGAATCTAATGAGATTTAATGGGAGATAGTGGGCATAGAACTACCAAAGAAATGATTATGGTGCGACTTACTTCCTGGATATGTCATGGGAATTGAATGGTTATTTTGATGGGAGTTAAACATGGGGATTTGATGGGATTGGATTTAAATAAACCATGAGATTCAATGGTTATTTTACTTGTGATGAATGATGATAAACCAATGGATTTGATATGATTTGAAATCAATTTTGGGATTGCTATGGGAATATCATGGGATATAACCAACAATAGGAAAATGTAATGATCAGATTTAGTGGGGAAAGAATGGGAATTAGGTAGATATAATGGGGATCTGAATGGGATATTTAATCCTATCACCAGCAATGTGGGGTATTTGGCCGATGTTTCATACATATATTCCTCATTGTTTCATGAGGATTTCCTCGGGATTAATCTCCATTTTGGTGTGGATTGAAGTTTCGTACATGGACAAAAAATACTTCCCATTGCTATGGGAAAAAATAGGGATATAATTGAATATAATGGGACAACCAACAACCTGGCAGATGTAATATATATGGATTGAATGGCATATTTAATGGAATATAATTAATTACGTACATATCACCAACACTTTTGTGGGTTTGTAAACAAAACAATGGATTTATCCCCATGATTGTATAAATCCCAGAAACGGAATGAATGTAGGAAGTTGGCAATCCAATTCCAGGCAAGTGGTTGTCACAGGCAAGAGTGGAGACCACACCCCACCATGTTTTGACATGGACCGTGGCACATACAGTAATATGTTGATATATATATATATGTTGATATCATCGCAATCTATCTAGCTGTCTAGGCTGTCTATTCTGTTTAGGAATCTGTCCGTGTATCTATTATCTTATCGTGTCTTCTCTCATCTATCTCTTCAAAATACTTATGACAACGATAACGGACAAATATTGACAAAAATAGTTATCTACTGCAAGTTGACCATGTTTAACAATGATTTTCGCAGGGCAGCAGGCATGTACTCCAGTCATATCCATCAAATCCCTATGAAAAACCCCTATGCGACCCACATGTTGGCTGGTTCCATCCCATTGGACCTCATTTAAGAAGCAGCATTAATCCCAATGAAATTCCCATTGACACCCAATTATCTCCTATGTTCATACCCATCAAATAGGAAATCCCACGCAAAAAAGAAAAGTGGTTTTACTGGTTTAACTATGTTTAAACCCAACAATACACTATCCTCAGAATCACCATTTTTATGGATGCTATCAACCCTTCCCAAATGGTTTATGGCAGCAAGGGTTTCCAACACTGGTTCAACAAACCATCAATGCAACTCTGACAGGTCCTCCTGTGTTTTTGCAGGTGTTGTACTCCTGCACCCGCACTTGGCCCTTCTGCACCACCATCAAGTTTTTGGCCGAAGCATTCAGCCCTCGCTGTGACGCGCCGGTGTGGGAAAATGTGGAGTTCACCTGGGAAAAAATAAGTGGAGTTCACCTGGAAGAAATGGCATCGAATTTGTTTCAAAAATGGAAAATTATGTTCAAAGTTTGAGATGGATGAGATACATCTTGGGTAAACTCAAGAAAGTCTGTGAATTGCATTGAAACATGGCTTTGGAACTGGTAACGAATGGTTGGAGCTCCATTTTTCTTGACAAAACACCCTGAGAGCGGTTGTGATTCAAGAGCGAAATCCAGAAAACTCAAACATCACCTTGAGTTTACAGCGGAACCGCTGCGGCTGTGGTGTGATGGAGAAAGGTTCAAGGCAGTTCTTAATCAGAGTTCCATCAGAAAACGTGTGACCCTCAATGTCCATTGCCATGATATACCCTCCAGTAAATTAACATAGACCCTGGCAGTCACCGGGGTTTGAAGATTAATTAGTGTCCACGAAAAATTGGTGATTCTCAGGGTCGAACTGTTAATCAGAGGGTACACCTAGCCAGTACTACACCATCATATTCAGATCAAAGGCAGGATCTTTAAAGAGAAAACCGCGTCATACAGTTGGTTCTATTTCCCAAACATATACTATCATCATAGTAAAAAGTCAGAAACGCAATTTATGATAATTTATGATCTATATTTTTAGTAGGATTTTAATGTTTCTATCTTAAATTTGGGTCTTACTTACTATAGAATACAGGATCCATGTATGCTATATATGGTAACATTTACCATCAATATACCCCCAATGTTAGCATATATACCATACATGGATCCTATGGGATATACCGTCTCATCTCATCGTGGAGACCGTCGAGACCGTCGCCGCCGAGGGGCTGGAAAGACTCCAGGTCACACTGCGATTTCCCAGGCTCATGTCGCCTCAACCGATGGCCAGGCTCTTTTGATGGGAAAATGATGGAAAATGATGGTCCGAACTGGGTCTAGAACTGATGAACTGGGTGATGTTCCACAAAAAACGTGATGTTGTGATGTTCCACCGGAGAGTTGAGGATCCTCGTGATTTTTCTTTCGCATGGTGAATCCATCAGATTGCGCTGGCCACCAAACTGGAGGTAGAAAAATCGACGCGTAGAACCTAGGGCAACTAGTAACTAACTAGTAGAGACTATCAGAACCACTTTGCTACCAATTCCAAATCGTGTCAGGGACCCCTCACAGTATGCATTAATATATATATATATATTAATATATTATGGGGGTCAAAAGTGATTCACGAGATGCAAAATTGATGCATGGATCAATGGACAAGCAACAATCAAAAGTGTTCATTTGACCAATAATTTGACACAGTTTAACAGCGACCAACTGGGTCATTGTACAACCAAACAAGTGTGAAATTGTTACTTTGACAGAGGTTTGATTGGATACTGGTCGGCATAACAACTTTGCTAAATAAAACTGTACAAATATGCAATAATCATCTGCACTCTGACTCAAGTGGCAGGTGCAAACCGCTCTGGGTCACCTTATCTCTCAAACATTCTCAAACAATGCTATGTTGGGGATATCTAAACTGGATGCTGGTTGTCCAGCCAAAACAAACTTAGCCAACTGAGTTATTTATCACCTCCAAAAGGAACCCGTCAGTAGGAACTGCTTGAAACCACTCCTACCTGCCATTGGGTCAAGATCTGGGCCCCTCTGGGCAACCCCGACAAAAATACAAGTGCTAGTGGATTTGAGGATGGTAAACCCACCATCCAAATTGTGAGTATGCAATTCTCATGTGTATGCATGCATGGATGGATGTACCTACGTACGTATGTTTGTATTAACACTAGAAATGAGGTAAATCATCTAACTAAATGCCCCGTGGCTTCTATAGCTAATTGTTTAATTGTCACAGGTTAGAACATATCATTCCATTAAACCAGCATAATATCCCATTAAAATCACATCAAATCTGACTAAACCACCGCTAAATCACATGAACATCACGTCGTTTCTCCCATTAAATCACCATGAAACCACCATAAAATCCCATAAAATTCCATATTCCCAGTAAATCCCATTAAATCCTCCTTAAATTCCCCATGGAAAAATCCGACCACCGGTCTCACCGGTCTTAACTCGCTTCACCTTGAGCTGTGAGGTCCAGGACCGTCGGAATCACTTGCTCCTTGGTGCTGATACCTGACGCAATCCCCAAATAGTTTACTGATGTTTACTGGATTTAGTGATATTTATCATTTTCACGATCATGATTTTAGTTATACATGATCATGATTTTAGTGATACATGATCATGATTTTAGTGATACATGATCCTGACTTTAGAGATACATGATCATGACTTTAGTGATACATGATCATGATATTAGTGATACATGATCATGACTTTAGTGATACATGATCATGACTTTAGTGATACATGATCATGACTTTAGTGATACATGATCATGACTTTAGTGATACATGATCATGACTTTAGTGATGCATGATCATGACTTTAGTGATACATGATCATGACTTTAGTGATACATGATCATGACTTTAGTGATACATGATCATGGCTTTAGTGATACATGATCATGACTTTAGTGATACATGATCATGACTTTAGTGATACATGATCATGACTTTAGTGATACATGATCATGACTTTAGTGATACATGATCATGACTTTAGTGATAAATGATCATGACTTTAGTGATACATGATCATGATTTTAGTGATACATGGTCATGATTTTAGTGATACATGGTCATGATTTTAGTGATACATGATCATGATCTTAGTGATACATGATCATGATCTTAGTGATACATGATCATGACTTTAGTGATACATGATCATGACTTTAGTGATACATGATCATGATTTTAGTGATACATGATCATGGTTTTAGTGATGCATGATCATGACTTTAGTGATACATGATCATGACTTTAGTGATGCATGATCATGACTTTAGTGATACATGATCATGACTTTAGTGATACATGATCATGACTTTAGTGATACATGATCATGGCTTTAGTGATACATGATCATGACTTTAGTGAGACATGATCATGACTTTAGTGATACATGATCATGACTTTAGTGATACATGATCATGACTTTAGTGAGACATGATCATGACTTTAGTGATACATGATCATGACTTTAGTGATACATGATCATGACTTTAGTGATACATGATCATGACTTTAGTGATACATGATCATGGAGTTTGAGTGATACATGATCATGACTTTAGTGATAATGATCATGATTTAGTGATACATGATCATGATTTTAGTGATACATGATCATGATTTAGTGATACATGATTTTAGTGATACATGATCATGATTTTAGTGATACATGATGATACATGACATTTTCGTGATACATGATACAGATGATTTATGGTCATGATCTTAGTGATACATGATCATGACTTTAGCATGATCATGACTTTAGTGATACATGATCATGATTTTAGTGATACATGATCATGATTTTAGTGATACATGATTAATGATTTTAGTGATACATGATCATGATTTTAGTGATACATGATCATGATCTTAGTGATACATGATCATGATTTTTGTGATAAATGATCATGATTTTTGTGATACATGATCATGATCTTAGTGATACATGATCATGATTTTAGTGATACATGATCATGATTTTAGTGATACATGATCATGATTTTAGTGATACATGATCATGATTTTAGTGATACATGGTCATGATTTTAGTGATACATGATCATGATTTTAGTGATACATGATCATGATCTTAGTGATACATGATCATGATCTTAGTGATACATGATCATGACTTTAGTGATCATGATCATGACTTTAGTGATACATGATCATGATTTTAGTGATACATGGTCATGATTTTAGTGATACATGGTCATGATTTTAGTGATACATGATCATGATTTTAGTGATACATGATCATGACTTTAGTGATACATGATCATGACTTTAGTGATACATGATCATGACTTTAGTGATACATGATCATGATTTTAGTGATACATGATCATGATTTTAGTGATACATGGTCATGATTTTAGTGATACATGATCATGATTTTAGTGATACATGGTCATGATTTTTGTGATACATGATCATGATTTTAGTGATACATGATCATGATTTTAGTGGTATGTGATCATGATTTTAGTGATACATGATCATGACTTTAGTGATACATGATCATGATTTTAGTGATACATGATCATGATTTTAGTGATACATGGTCATGATTTTAGTGATACATGGTCATGATTTTAGTGATACATGATCATGATTTTAGTGATACATGATCATGATTTTAGTGATACATGGTCATGATTTTAGTGATACATGATCATGATTTTAGTGATACATGATTATGATTTTAGTGATTCATGGTCATGACTTTAGTGATACATGATCGTGATTTTAGTGATACATGATCATGATTTCAGTGATACATGATCATGATTTTAGTGATACATGATCATGATTTTAGTGATACATGATCATGACTTTAGTGATACATGGCCATGATTTTAGTGAAACATGATCATGATTTTAGTGATACATGATCATGTTTTTAGTGATACATGATCATGATTTTAGTGTTACATGGTCATGATCTTAGTGATACATGATCATGACTTTAGTGATACATGATCATGATTTTAGTGATACATGATCATGATTTTAGTGATACATGGTCATGACTTTAGTGATACATGATCATGATTTTAGTGATACATGATCATGATTTTAGTGATACATGATCATCACTTTAGAGATACATGATCATGATTTTAGTGATACATGATCATGATTTTAGTGATACATGATCATGATTTTAGTGATACATGATTCATATGTTCATGATTTTAGTGATAACATGATGATGATTTTAGTGAAACATGATCATGATTTTATTGATACATGATCATAATTTTAGTGATACATGATCATGATTTTAGTGATACATGATCATGATTTTAGTGATACATGATCATGACTTTAGTGATACATGATCATGATTTTAGTGATACATGGTCATGATTTTAGTGATACATGATCATGGTTTTAGTGATACATGATCATGATTTTAGTGATACATGGTCATGATCTTAGTGATACATGATCATGATTTTAGTGATACATGATCATGATTTTAGTGATACATGATCATGATTTTAGTGATACATGATCATGATTTTAGTGATACATGATCATGATTTTAGTGATACATGATCATGATTTTAGTGATGCATGATCATCATTTTAGAGATACATGATCATGATTTTAGTGATACATGATCATGTTTTTAGTGATACATGGTCATGATTTTAGTGATACATGATCATGATTTTAGTGATACATGATCATGATTTTAGTGATACATGATCATGATCTTAGTGATACATGATCATGATTTTAGTGATACATGGTCATGGTTTTAGTGATACATGATCATGATTTTACTGATACATGATCATGATTTTAGTGATACATGATCATGACTTTAGTGATACATGATCATGACTTTAGTGATACATGATCATGATTTTAGTGATACATGATCATGATTTTAGTGATACATGATCATGATTTTAGTGATACATGACCATGATTTTAGTGATACATGGTCATGATTTTAGTGATACATGATCATGATTTTAGTGATGCATGATCATGATTTTAGTGATACATGATCATGATTTTAGTGATACATGAGCATGATTTTAGTGATACATGGTCATGATTTTAGTGATACATGATCATGATTTTAGTGATACATGGTCATGATTTTAGTGATACATGATCATGATTTTAGTGATACATGATCATGATCTTAGTGATACATGATCATGATTTTAGTGATACATGATCATGATTTTAGTGATACATGATCATGATTTTAGTGATACATGATCATGGTTTTAGTGATACATGATCATGATTTTAGTGATACATGGTCATGATCTTAGTGATACATGATCATGATTTTAGTGATACATGATCATGATTTTAGTGATACATGATCATGATTTTAGTGATACATGATCATGAATTTAGTGATACATGATCATGAATTTAGTGATACATGATCATGATTTTAGTGATACATGATCATGTTTTTAGTGATACATGGTCATGATTTTAGTGATACATGATCATGATTTTAGTGATACATGATCATGAATTTAGTGATACATGATCATGATTTTAGTGATAAATCTAACCGTAAACTAAGTGATATATGTTTAATTAAGGGATATTTAGCAAATCTACTGAAATTGATGGGAGATTTAACGATCATAATTTTAGTGGATCTGTTTTTTGGATTTATCACTTGATGTAGATTTTTTCGTGGGATTTTGCGAATTTCAATCGTTTTGGGAGTAATTTTAGTGGGAGTTTGTTGCTGATTGTGATCCGAAATGGATCAACAAAATGTCTTTGGGGGTTACCATCTGGTTATGACTAACATAGCCATGGAAAATCCCTTAAATGGATGTTTATAGCTGGGAAAATCATCTATAAATGGGCATTTGTTCCATGGCTATGTTAAATAACCAGAGGGTACTGTATATTATATAAGTATTATGTTTCGAATATGTGAATGTCATGAAGCCAAGATATGTATTGAATGTATTTAACATCTAATGTGTGTATTTCAAAGACATACCACATAAATATACCAACCGGACAAACACTGTGAAACTGCAGTACACAAAAAAAAAAAACATCATCACTGAAACACAACGAATGCGTCGCTGCCGAAGCTCCTGGTCCTGCCCGTACAGGATGCTATATCATATGATATCAAAGTATATTGTATTATATTATATGATGTTGAGTTATACTACATTCTGTTATGTTCAATATTATTTCTGAATTGGTTATTATCGCGATGTTGATAGTACAGTATATGTTGATTACAAACGTATGTTGTTTAGCTAATTGTTAAGTATATAATGTATATACATACATATTATGTAAGAACAACACATACTGACTTTCATATTTGTCTTTTGCATATATATATATAGAATTATATAGTTGTGTTTTATATCTCATGCAAGTATTTACGGTATGTATATGTTTTGGGGGTTCTGACAACTCCAATTGTAGTGCCGATATCTTGAGCTGACAACTCCAAAGTGGACTAGCTAAAGAAAAGCACGGCCCCAATGTAACATAATGTAACTTCCGCTGCACCTTCTTAGTCAACTGCCAGTGATTCTCAAATCTCCGAGTGGGCTGAAGGAACACCTCACCTGTAAATTGTAAACTCAATCTGTCCAGTCTAGAGACAAATTTCAAATGACTGACAATCCTTGGCGGTCTGTTGATCTGCCAACAATCCACTGTCAAAAACACAAAAGCACATCAAAGTGTATGGCTGTAATCCATGCAGACATGCAGAACTGGGTGTACTAAACTTTCCTGCCAATTGTACATCAACCATCATCAACTCATTTTCACGACCTGCAGTCCTGAGCCGCTGCTAGGCTGCTAGGTATAGGTTGGCCATAACCCCACTGAAGTCCCAGAACCCGAACCCAAGCACAAACCATCCCAAACCCAATCTGCCATCTATGGCATCCTGCCGGCATCGCCGTACACCAAGGTACCAGGAACGTAAGCTTCCAACTGCAGATCCCCTGCCGAGGCGATTCGGATGTTTCTGGCCACGAGCTGCGCCTTGCTATTGGTCGCCTCAAGAGACTGGCAAGGGGCAGCCGCTGCAAATGTCCCAGTGCTGTCCATGTTTTGAAAGGGAACCTTGGGCACAAACGACCTGACAATCGGAAGTGGTGAAAAAAAAAATCTCCACCAGTCCGGAGTCCGGTCCCACATTTTTTCCCATCCGTTTCCCCCATCCATGGCCAGGTTGCGGTGAAGCGCGCTGCAGAGATTTCCAGCTGCTTGCTGTGATCTGTGACCTGCAGCGAGCTGCTGCCTTGGAAGTTCATCCAGCTCTTGTTGCAGTTCACCTCTATGCCCTGACCTTCCACGGCTTGGAGCGTTGCGATCGTCCAATTCTCCAAGTTTCTGCACAAAGGCCCCTGTTGAATGTATATGGTTACTTAGTATCTATCAGCAAACTTTAGTAAAAGTTTAGATCAGGAAATCACGCGATTCAATGCGCAAGCATGCCAGGTGAAAGGATTACTGTGCACTGTGCAGCCAGCTGTTCCCGAACGGTCGAAACCTCTGAATTTTGATGCTTCTGATATCAATGTGCGAGAGAAAAATAGATAAAATCTATGCTTGTGGTATTCCCTCATAGTTGGACAACCAGCTTCTATTATATGAGTCACTGCTTCAATCTTTTGGTCACTCAACCATCTCAACCCACAGATTTCGGTCAATCTAAGCTGGTGGAATAATTCGGTTGGTGGAATCGTTATTGTTGCTGATAAAACGTCGTGGTTGCATGTTTCTCGTTGCAAACATCCACATGTGTATATGTTTATTAGATTCAAATCCCCCATTCGTTGGTAAAATCACATGTATTTTTTGTTGGTGAAATCAGTTAAACATCAGCTTAAGTCACATTCTGGTTGGTGGTATACCTACCCCTCTGAAAAAATGATGGACTTCGTCAGTTGGGATGATGACATTCCATTCCCAACTGAATGGAAAGTCATAAAATTCCATAGTTCCAGTCACCACCAACCAGCCATAATTACTAGATAAATCACCATTTTCCCATGGTTTTCCCATGCTTTTCCCATGGTTTTTCAATGGTTCGATGACTATTTTCGCCATCTTTCGTGGCATCAACCCACAGCACCTTGGATGCTTGAATCGATCATTTCAAGGCCCAAGGAGACATTTCCAGAATCCTGGCAACGGCCATGGAAATATAGGGCCTGCAACAAAACATTTGAAGGGGGGTTGGTATTATACATATACATATGTTTGTATATATAGAAATCCATGGTACGGAACTGGATTTACGTCCCAACATCAACAGTTGGACCCCTGAAAATAGCAAATCTATAGTGGAATGTATTCTTCCAACTGTTTGGCAGGGTCTATGTTGACTTGGGGGAATGTAACATTTATGACCGGGGTTTATTTGATTTTGTTTGATTTTATGCTCACGCACTACAAGTTTGAGCCGGGGATGATCAATGGGAATAAATAATGATATACATATATAGGTTCATCCAGCACACATGACCGACCAAGACCAAGAAAGCTCCATCTATCTATCTATCCATCCATCCATCCATCCATCTATCTATACACACATGATATCATACACCTACAATCTAACATGAAACTCACACGTCTGGCATTTCATGGCCATATCCAGGTGCGCACCTGGAACCATGTTTCAAGTCGTGGCGGCATCTACTCAAACAGAGTAAAATAGCTGGATTACAGATGAACATATAGTGAAAAAGAACATATTAGCTATGTGGTATAATTTTTCCACATAGCTAGATTTATTTTACCATATTGGATGAACATTAGCTCTGTGGTATTTTTTTCCATCCCCGATATATCCCAAGATATCGCATTTTAAATGGATGAAATCATCCCAAAATGGTCCCACTGCTCCGCCGAGAGGCCGAATGGATCAAAGGCCTCTGGCCTGTAACGAGATGTATCGAGTCACATAGCCGTGTTGGTCATTTCACGGATCAGCATCTGCAAATGATACTGTATATATATATATATATTATATATATATATGCATGGATGGATGTAATGTAATGTAATGTAATGTAAAGTAAGGTAAGGTAAGGTAAGGTAATGTAATGTAATGTAATGTATGTTGTATGTATATCACCAAATCACCAACAATAATTCAGGTGAGTGGAAAAAAGTGGTTTGGAAACTATGACTCTTTGGGGGGGGCTACAATGGGCTTACAACCAAACAAAAACCATGGTAAGTTTCGCAACGCTAAGTTTGAGGACCCTGGATCAGTGACAAAAATTCATGGTTGGTTGGATTTGGCTGGTGATTATTTATTTGCATTTATGGATTTTATGGCTAGGTATACTGGGGATATACAATCAGCAATGGAGATAATGGAGATATAGGATGGTTCGTCAGCCAAGTTATCATCCAAGTTCAACTGATTGTTTAAAGGAAACGCGCAAGCAATGGTGAAATTGAGTACTTCCATGACTGGAGAAACACCAATCTGCTTCAAATCGCTTTTGTTGGTATTTTGACTTCAAAGAGTTAAAACAAGTAAGACTGGAAAGCAGTTCCTTCGGATCAAGCACAACGACATTATGAAGTGATCACAGGTTAGATTTTAGTTAACAGGGAATAGTTTGATGTCTTGAGCCATCTTGAGCCATCTTGAGCAGTAAGTCAGTAGTTGGTGGTAGTTGCTCTTCCTTTTGGACACATGGCTCCAAGACTTGTCGTTCCGGGCGGCTGATTCTGGTGGTTTTCCCCAGTTCTGAGGTGGTTTGGAGGCCTCACCTTGAAATATCTCCACAAACAAAAACCACGAATCACCTAGCCTCCGGTAGGTTTTTTGCATATACTAGTTACTAGTAAGCTATGGAAAATCATCATCTGGTAGGTGGTTGAGCCCTACCCCTCTGAAAAATGATGGAGTTCGTCAGTTGGGATTATGACAGTCCCAACTGAATGGAAATTCATAAAAAAAAATCCATGGTTCCAAAGCACCAACCAGTCATTAAAATCAGGTCAATCATCGAACTAAACAGCCCATGCCGCCACGGCGCTCTGTCTGGGGTTCATGTGACCTGCTGTGAATAAGCAATCATGCCACTGCTTAGTAAAGGACTGATGTTTCAAAATCTCCGACATGTCCCTTACCCCAAAGGTCTCATCGTTTTTTCAATTTTGTTGATTCCCTTCTTTCCTCCCAGGAAGCTCCAATTCTTCTGGTCAAAACACCCTGCGCCATATCCATCTCCGCCTCCAAGCCCCACGGTACCGATGAAGGTGATGGGACCAGAGGCGGTCAAGCTACTTTGATGGATGAAAATGCTACTGCCGTTGATGGTCAAAGCTCCTGCCAGGGCTGCTGTGTGAACAGTCTTGCTGAAGACTTCATTATGTAATGGTATATGTGGTATCACCAATATTCCTATAGTTTTGAACCTGGTGAAATTGGAATTTCAAGATTGGGTTTTCTAAGATTGACACCATTTCAAGATCTCTACAATGCGGTGACCCCTCGTTGCAGTACAAGTGGGTTTTGAACCCCATCTAACTGTAGAACATATCCGCTAGAAACCCCGGTTTTGTAGTTATAAACCAACTTGCATGATCGTGCATGGAATTAGCTTGGCTATATATCCATTGAATCCATCTAAATCTAGGATCAATCCCTAAGTTTGCTGCATCAATTCCCCGTTTCAAACCGCCTCACATGGAGGTTTCGTAAAATGGGGTACCCGGTACCCCCAAATCATCCAAGTCATCAGACCATGGCTTAGTATTGAAACCTATGGTGACTTGGGGATCCCCCATGACTTAAGAACCCCCCAATATAGCCATTAATAGCCATTCATCACTATTTATTCACCATTATTAACAATGATTAACCATTCAATTCTGAATTTCTATCCCATTCTTAACCCTGTATTCCACCTATCCCATTCTTAACCATGTATTCCACCACGCTGCACAACGATGTCAACCTGTAACCACTGTCACCGCTCCTCTAGTGGTGAGCACTGAGCCCTGCTCCACCGTCACAGTGCCCACAGCATCGATACGCAAAGTTGAGTCGGAGGTGATCTGGCAACCTGCCAGTCTTTAGGTTCTTCATCATTATAAGTTGCGGTTAATGATTATTAAATAATGTCATTAATAGTTATTTATTGTTATTAATGATTATTAATGATTTTAATGGTATTGATGATTTTAATGGTTATTAGATATTAGATGTTATTAGTGATTTTTAACGGTTGTTAAGAGGTTGTGAATGGTTATCTTGGGATTTTTCAACTTCGATAAGCTGTGAAAAAAGGGGACCCCAGAACTATGGTGGAATCTCGCCCACTTAGTGGAACGGCACCAAGTATAGAACATATTTAAATCATCTTGAATCCACTAAACAGATGAGGTTTTGAATAATCCGCTACCAATAAAACTGGATGTGTCTGGTTCTATCGCTAGGAAGGTTGCAGGAAACCAACTCTGGGACTCTTTTTGGGGGATGTTGCCCTCATCGACCAACACGTCCAGCTTTGCCAGTGCCGCTGGTTTCACTTACCCTGCCGCGCCACCATTCGTGGGGACTATCTTAAGGTAAACATGACCAACAAGACAACAAACATTCACATACATTTACAGTGGTCACATAGAAAACTACCGTAAACTAGAATAATTTAAAGATTTCCTAAAATGGGGGTACCCCCAAATCATCCATTTGAATGGGATGTTCCATTATAAACCAACCAGCTATTGGGGTACCCCCATTTGTTCAAGGCACCTGGACCCCTCTGTCGCGCGCCTTTGGTGATCAACACATTGCCAGGGTAGGACAACTCAACGTTCTCAGGAGGAGCATGTTTCGAAGCCTGAGACTACAGGAACCCGTAACCCTGCAGCTACTTGTAGCCATTGTATGTCATTACTATATAGATAGATAGATAGATAGATAGATAGATAGATAGATAGATAGATAGATAGATAGATAGATAGATAGATAGATAGATAGATAGATAGATAGATAACATATCAGACTCATATGGGATGATTTATAGCATAGGTTTATCTAAAAATGACATACCTTAAATTTAATGGTTATTTAATGGTTAAGCAGTGAACTATCAGTTTCCCCGTTTCAAACCGCCTCACATGGAGGTTTCGTAAAATGGGGTACCTGGTACCCCAAATCATTCAAAATTCGATCATGTTAGTATTGAACGCCATGATTTTCGGGACCCCCCATTAAAACTCCCTGATTTTCAAACAGACCCAGCAGTTTTAGGATTATTACTACATACATCTACATTGTTACATACTACCAGAAACTGCGGTCCATCTTTCACCTCATGTTTTTTTTCTGGGTAGCAGTCGCTGATTGGCTCTACACTCTAGAGGCTCCCAATCCCAAAAATGCCTGGACTTGATTTAGTCATCAACCAGACTCTTGACGCAGTCTGCTTCAATTGTACTTCACAAAAACAGCCAATATGTGAAACCTCCCGAGCAGGTGGGGTCATGGAGGTATTGATCCTTGTTCAACCAGAAGTGCTGGCAACACACGTCTGGATTCCAATTTCAGCTTTGTGACCAGAGAATGATATGGCATTGAACTAGTCAACCACTTAATCTACTGGCAGAAGCTAACACTCCGAATTATTATTCGTTACAGCGACGTAGCCATCAATCATACATGGATTTCATGGCGTAACTGAATGAGATATTTTCCAAGCGACATTGATGATGCACTGATTGTTCTGCTCAGCATCACACCATTTGCAGTGGACCCTTATCACTGCCAGCAATAGCAGCCATGCTTTGTACATGGCACACGGTTCAACAGAGCGTAAAGCGCTCCACAACAACTTTGTTTTCTAGTTGAAACCACTTGAGGCTGAGGTACTTTCTCAAGTATCTGCTAATTTATATAATGCAAACCGATTGAAATGGGAAGCAAAGCAACCAAACTCGCTCTCTCTCTCTCTCTCTTTCAGTCTAGGTATATAGACATATAGAACGTACACATATATATATATATATATAATATTATATATATATATACATATCGGGTGTGCAAGGCTATATATATATATATATATATATGCATTGCATCCAGTACTTGCAAATTTCAGGTCATAGGTCATAGGTAGCTGATGCCAGTTACGTGCTGCTGCCGCTCCCCAATGAAGCGTTTCCCAACTGGTGGGTATTTACTCTGTGGGACTGTCCTGTTCTGTTCAAGCCAATGCTTTCCAAACATATATATATATATGTATATAGTGCATGTTTCCTGAAAGATCTGAAAGTAGATAGGCACCAAAAAACGAATTCTACCACCTATCTCAGAAGTGCAGTAGCCTGAGCTTAGGCCTTAGGCGGAGCACTACATCCTCTTCTGTGCAAGTAAAAAATGATGGATGTCTTGAGATTGGCTCCAAGTTAGTCTCCGAGCAGGTTTCCTTCCCAGCTGTCATTGAGTCTACTTTTTCATACACATCAGCTATTTCTCACACCTTCGTAAACATCTATCATATAGTTTAAGCCAGTTACAACTGGTGCCCCCACAGTTGCAAGCTGGTTATAAACCCCACTATTCGCTTCAAGATATCTACCAGAAACCCTATAGTGAAAGTGATTTGCAGCAACTGAGCGAGTCTAAACTTTGGAAATGCCGTTGAATCCCACACTTTTTTTGCAAAAAAATCATGTGAATGTCCCCCATGGTTCCCACTTTTCATGGTGTTTTTCCCCACATTGACGTGTGGGGTTTTTGTTTTTAGTTCTGTATCCGCTCCTCTTCCTCCTCCTCCCGCCGCCTCGCCTCCCGCCTCACTCACTCACTCACTCATCACTCATCACTCATCACTCACTCACTCACTCACTCACGCACGCACGCACGCACGCACGCACGCACGCACGCACGCACGCACGCACTCACGCACTCACGCACTCACGCACTCACGCACTCACGCACTCACGCACTCACGCACTCACGCACTCAACTCACGCACTCACTCACTCACTCACTCACTCACTCACTCACTCACTCACTCACTCACTCACTCACTCACTCACTCACTCATCCGCCGCTTTTGCGTGGCAGGCGTGGGACAACGTGCACTGCCAAGGGGTCGGATGTACGCCCTGGCGTCCCTCCGGTGTCCCTTGGTCTCCGCCGCTTTTGCGTGGCAGGCGTGGGACAACGTGCACTGCCAAGGGGTCGGGTGTACGCCCTGGCGTCCCTCCGGTGTCCCTTGGTCTCCGCCGCTTTTGCGTGGCAGGCGTGGGACAACGTGCACTGCCAAGGGGTCGGATGTACGCTCTGGCGTCCCTCCGGTGTCCCTTGGTCTCCGCCGCTTTTGCGTGGCAGGCGTGGGACAACGTGCACTGCCAAGGGGTCGGATGTACGCCCTGGCGTCCCTCCGGTGTCCCTTGGTCTCCGCCGCTTTTGCGTGGCAGGTGTGGGACAACGTGCACTGCCAAGGGGTCGGATGTACGCCCTGGCGTCCCTCCGGTGTCCCTTGGTCTCCGCCTCTTTTGCGTGGCAGGCGTGGGACAATGTGCACCGCCAAGGGGTCGGATGTACGCCCTGGCGTTCCCTTGGTCTCCGCCGCTTTTGCGTGGCAGGCGTGGGACAACGTGCACTGCCAAGGGGTCGGATGTACGCCCTGGCGTCCCTCCGGTGTCCCTTGGTCTCCGCCGCTTTTGCGTGGCAGGCGTGGGACAATGTGCACTGCCAAGGGGTCGGATGTACGCCCTGGCGTCCCTCGGGCTCCGCCTCTTTTGCGTGGCAGGCGTGGGACAATGTCGGACTCACTCACTCACTCACTCACTCATTCACTCACTCGCTCACACACTCACACACTCACTCACTCACTCACTCACTCACTCACTCACTCACTCACTCACTCGCTCCCTCGCTCCCTCGCTCCCTCGCTCCCTCGCTCCCTCGCTCCCTCGCTCCCTCGCTCCCTCGCTCACCCACTCACTCACTTCACTTCACTTCACTTCACTTCACTTCACTTCACTTCACTTCACTTCACTTCACTTCACTTCACTCACTTCACTCACTCTCACATCCCTCACTCACACACACCACACTCACATCACTCACTCACACTCTCACTCACTCACTGTACATGAACATACATACATACACACAAACTCACCTACCATCACCGCTCCATCACTCTTATACTTCCTCTTCCCTTCTTGCTTTTCTATGGTCAGTCTAAGTCTAAAGAAGTTGGTAACATGTGGGGTTATCCGGTCCTTTAATTCACTACCCGGGCACCCAACTCCCATCCAACTCGCCCAACGCCGTGTGAATTTTCAGAGCTTGGCAGGTGCCACGGACGCGTTCACCGGGTACCAGCGGGCCGAGTCTCCGAAGTCATTCACCTGACGGCATGTGTTCAACGGACATCTGGATGACACCTGGCTTTGCTCAAAAATTTGGGCGAATTTTAGAGAAACACCTCCAAATCTGATGGGACAAACCGGAAAAACCGTTGAAATTTAGGGACAACCCATCAAATTTCATGGTTTTGCGGCATTGTTTCCCAATGCAGCAGCTGAAATGCTTGATAAGTCTTTAGAAAATCATGTGCATCTGTGTTTCGCATTGAAATTGCTGCTTTATGATATTAAGCTTCTGTGTCCCCCAAAGGTTCAGATAAGTTCAGCGACAAATCAGGGACCATCCCATCTAGGGGGTGCCGGTTGCCTCAAAATGGGTGATAAATTATCCAAAATTGTCATTTTGATCAAGAAAAACATATTCCAACCTATGGGACTTCCGGAACCAATGTCCAAGCTGCCATGTTTTCTCCAAAGTCTGCTACAAGCCCCATATGTGTCACGGTCATTCCACCATTATTGGAATCCTTCATGTGTTTTTTTTCCGATGTCAAGTTATGGACATCCCACCATTGTCGGGAATCCTTCAATAGTGTTCCTTTAGAACGAAATCAAGGGGGCCATATATGATTGGGTAGGAAACTGTTTGGGTTTTTTTTGTTTTTTTTAGTTTGTTTTTTTTTTTGGATTTCCGGTTCTCACCATTTTCCATGCTATTTGCAGCATTTTTGAGCTGGAATCTGCATTTCCACCGTATGTGCAATATTTTACAGCTACATTCCTCACAGTACTTGCAGGATTTTGGAGCTGAAGGCTGACATTCCAACAGTTGTTTGTTGTTACTGTTACTGTTGTTGGTGTTGGTGTTGGTGTTGTTGT